AATTTGTATGATGTTGTGGAAAGTTCAGTTGCATGTCGCCAGTGATGCTCGCGCTTTGATAATAATCTCTAACGGAGACACATCTAACAAACGGATGGTTATAATTTTCAGCAAAAGATCGATGATTGCCTAAGTTCTTTGATAAAGCGATTACTAAGTTATGCAATTTATGCTATAACTCTATATTAATTTTCTTTTCCATCAGCTTTCAACAAAGTTTTATGACGTATCTTTACCAGCTGTAGTCATTTGCGTCAAGATCTATACAATGTTTTAGTGAGAATTGGCGGCAGAGAAACAGTTTCGATTTCATCCTAGAGATCACTGTATAGTTAAAACAGGGAGTTACGCACTGTTAACTCTGTATACAGCTTATCCAAGGTAAGAACATGATAATGCAAATGAAGATGGTAACTTTTAACCCCGGTGATTCTGAGTGATGGACGTTGTTATTCAGTGAATAACCAAGATATTACCCGTAAAAAAGTTGAGTACGTATTTAACTCAGCTCAAATTGTAATATCGAAAAGAGATTTGAAGAAACTTGAAGAGCAAAATTTCTTCACCTCCCTCAAGTGAGCATCCCTTCAGTTTCCAATTCTGGTGCACAACTCCAAACCTGGAGAAGTGCGCTAATATTGCACTAGCGGCACCTGAATTTAAACCTGAGCTAATAGCTTCAAATGCAGATTCGATTGCACAATATTTTTGTTCTAACTTTTTCATCAATGAAGTGCAAAAACTGCCAGCTAATAGTGGATTTATGTCTGTAATCACGCATGATCATTTTCAACTCGTGGAAGAATTCAGTCACGAGAATTATGGTAATTTATTCTCAAATTTACCCTGATACTAAATATTCTCATCAAAAAGCTCTTATAAAACAAACTAAATGTACGAAAATGACTGTTGATCGTGCAAAAATGGTAATTCCTTATTAATTGTTAACAGAATAACTGAAATTCAACACCAACACCGATAATTCGAACCCCCGCAATAACCTCAAACGTTTCCCTCCGGAGTTCGAGTTGGCAGGGTTCTACTGCAGTTGAATCACTATTCAGACAGTTTTCTGTTTGAATCAGTCTGTTTGCTCGATTTCTTTCCGTGATTACTTATTTTTTTTCGTTTTCCTTGGAAATTCAAGTTTCTAAATCAGCTGTAACGGTTAACTTTCGTAAGTACAAACTCACGACATTCTTGGTGAGTAAAGTGCCCTGCGCTTAAAAAAGGTAAACAACATCCAAGGAAATCGAAGGAAAAATCTTTTATGCTGAACCTTGTTAAACACCTTGATGGAAGAGAATCTGCCCACACAAAATTTCTTGTAGCATTGCGTATGCGTTCTTGAATTCGTTTATTAATTATTAACGACGAATTCTAAATTTAGAGCCTGATTGACAAGCTATCTTTCTATGCTTGCGTCAATGAACCTTCTAAGTTCCATTCGTTTCCTTTCGTTGAAAAGACGTCAATTACAGGTTAACAAAACATCGTACTACATTCTTCAAACACTCCTGGCAGTTTTTTTATCTTTCTTATTACTCTGACCTTTGACCGAATACTAAACATAATCTTTTCAACACCTTAAAAACGTACTGATTGAAAACATTGAACTATGATACGAAAATAAGCACCGTACGACCCGTCAATTGGAAAAATAAAAAAGAAGAAAAAAACTGCTGATGCACTTTATGAAACAAAGAATTTTTACTCTGAGAGTCTGGTTTAAAAGAAATTCTTCAAATAGACTTTTAAAACTGGAGAAAATATTCTAGAGCGGAGGTAAAAATCGCAAATTTACACCAAAAGCAAAGCTATAATTGCTAGAGTAGAAATACCCAAACCAAATCAGTTTACCCCCACCTCACTATCAAACCAAAGGGAAACGATGGGCAACGAATTATTATATAGGAAGAGAAATAATGGCCTCTCATGACTGTATGCAAAATCAAGCCGCAGTTTTGTTATCGCTCCGACTAACGTGTGCACACTGCTGCTGAACAGGATACAATGCTTCTACGTAGAGGAAATCGCAATATACATCGGCAGGCAGCAAAACACTGAAGTCGTTAAATTTATCTCGAAAGTGCGGCCGGAATGTAAATCATAACATCAACATCGTCAAAGAAATCATTTAACTCCGTTGGAAATACAGCAGTAAAGCAGAAAAAGACCAATATATTTCTACACTATTCATTTTCAATTTCTTCTTGTGGCATACCCGTCTACAAATTTAAAGTTATGAAAATGTTCTTGTTTATTCTCTCATAGTTCCTCCCATCCTATCGAACCCTGGTTATTTTACAGGCTTCCTGCTGCTGAAATTGCATCTTACCTGCCAGGGTCAAGGCTTTATTTGACTCTCATCGTTTGTTGATGAAAATTTAAATCCTCAGAGCTAAGAAATAAAATTTTCGCTCAGAAAAATAAAAGGAAAACAAAAGCAAACAGCCGGCCAAATTCCGAGGTGCGCCCCTCAGTAATTTACATAAATTTAGAGCAATTTTGCTTTTGAAGTTTCATATAGGTCAAGAAACTAAAAAGTTGCTATGAACTGATTGTTTCTGGTAAACAATTCGAATTTAAAACGAGCGCCTTTGGTACATTTGGATCAGCCTTTACACTGTTTTACCGTCCAGTTCTTTTCGTTTATGTCATGTTTTTCTTCAATTACATCTCCGTTCTCACCTGCAGCAGTCTGAACGATAATTAAGATAAACATTCATCGAAATTAGGAATTATGATTCGTCTACTAGAAAATGATTTTTTGTTGGAAAACGTGCATAGCTGTTAATGCTAATTTTACTTTCCATCACCGAGACCTTTTCTTTGTGATGTTGTTGTTTTTTTTCAATGGGAGAAGTTTTTTTCAATCCATATCAGATAAAATACAATGGTAAGTTTTTTGAGCTCTGATATTTATGTTTTGGATATCAAAAGATTTGAAAAGACTTCTTTGAACAGTGTAACTCATTAACTTACTCCGGCTGAACGGCCGTGTACTTATTTCATGGGACCTTCGCTACCAAGGCAACCGATAAACGACGGCAAAATTGAAAACCTATTGAACGCGAAAATATCACAATTGTAGTTTGAAAACTGAACTAGCTATTGAATACTGAAACCTCGAGCACTACCCGCAGGCATAAGAAAGCGATTTGAATCAAAACGGGTCCATATATTTTTTGGCGTTCTGTCGAGTATTGCAAGTTTCTATGTTTGCTGTCGTTCTCAAAGAATAATCTTTTCCGCTATTTTACAAAGAAGTAAGGTATAATTTCTCAGAAATAGAGTAAACAAATTCTTCCATCTTGCCTCTTTGAATGCAAACCACGGTACTCATACAATAAGACTTAAAGATGTTCATTTAAGGTATTGTTGCGGAGGTGGTAAAACCTCCTTGCCAAAGACATCGTAAAGATAGCAGCTGGTACGAGTCAGTGAAGTCATTAGAAGTTTGCATTTAGGCGTAAAATGTGCTAAAAATCACAGATAATGAATTGAAACAAGAACAAATCGCCTGAACGTGGAGTATATCAATTTAATAAAAGCACCTATTACTTAAGATCTTAACAAGAAGAGCCTGCGTTGACCAATTAAATTTGAGATGGCCCGGTGACATCAATAGCTCGCTTGCCCGTTGAATGGATCCTTGACGAAGTTCTACTGAAGATGTTTGATTTTGTTTAATATTTTGACCTCAAACAACTCAAATGTACGAGAATCATCAATCGAGAATGGGCACGTTTTTAAGGTAAAATGGGCGAGAAAATCTTTCTTAAAACATGTCTCATTTTTTTTCTCTGTTTTTTTTTTTTATTTTTATTAATTTTTTGTTTTCGGTAATTTTGTACTGGTAAGATTTCAGGAAGCAATACTGGGTGCCGGTTCTCCACCTGGCGGGCGAATTTAGCGACGGAAAAATGATTCTTGTCGATTCTATAGAAAATGTCGGCGGGGGTTTTTACTGATTTACGGTAGCTTAATTCTATTTTTATTATGCTACGAAATGAGACTATAACAAAGAAGGGAAGGCAGCTGCAAAGCAATCGAGCGTACGACACTTCATCGTACCGAGAATGAAGACGTGAATTTCACTTTTGAAAGAATTGGTTAAAACTAGAGTTTTCCTCTAACAAAAATTATCGTTAAAAACGCAGGCAGGTACGAAATTATGATACTTTATATCAGTCCTTATCTTAAGATGTATAGGCAAGTGATATAGATCTGATTAAAGAGAAATCACCGCTTTCGGAAAGAGAAAAAAAAAGATAAGGTAAAATCGTCCGAAATTTTCTGTTTGAAATTTCGTACCCCGAAATTTTTAAACTTAGATTGATGTAAACTGAACGCTTATGTCAAACAACAACAATACGAATCTGAAATTTTCAGTCGCACAGGAAAAGCGCGCAATTTTTAAATGGCAATGATCAGTGGTTGTTTGACAATATTTAATTGCTTCATTCGTATCTCGAGGGCCTCCTTCGTAAAATGATAGAAAAGATTATGTTACTGACACGGGATGTGTGATCAATTTCACTCGATTATCGTGTAACTGAACAAAACTAGAGTCTTGTTGCTATATGCATATTTACGATCAGTTCACAATGCCCACGGCAACCGCTTTAGTTAGATATAGTAAGTCACTGCTAAAGTGCCCTAGAGAAAGTGTCTTAGACAGTTGGCTCGTTAAGTTCTGTTTGTACACCTGTAAAAGTGAGATTTTATTGAGTGCTTTAAAAGCTAGTCGTAAACGAAGCGCTCGGCACAAACAACAAGAAAAGAAATACGTGCTGCGCTGTACTTCGCGTGCTAAAAACACATTTAGCTACGCAAAGGCGTCGTTAAAGATGAATTTATTCAAAAAGAATCTTCATTTGTTTGTTATTTGCAGGACAAATGACTCCAATTCAGTTCCTACAGCTTTCATCAATTAGAGTTTTTCAGAAAGGTTCGCTCACATCCGAGAGAAGCGATTTAAACAACCCGCGTGCATCATGTCGGAAAAATCAAGGCTATCTGCAATAGTTCGTTACTTTAGAACGCTGAAGAAGATGGCCATCCCTAACAGGAATACGAAACAAACTGTGATTCTCGACCGCGAAATTGTGGATAAAATACTTCGGCCAATCCACGTTCTGACAGCTTTTATCGGACACAAGAGCAGACATCATCCGATCCTCGGCACGTTGGGGCTGATACTTTGGGTCGTGAATTTAGTCTGCCACTTTTCGCTTGACTTTTACGAAGCTGCTCATATTTTTGGTTGGGCGTGGGCTACAGCAATAGGGTTGTTCTTCATTTCGTTCAGTTCGGGAACATACTTTTTAGTCCGAGATACACTTCCATGGCTGGAAGATGGACTGGAGATTTTGAACGTGGATGGAAATTTTTCCGAGACGTTGGAAAAGGCGCGTGGCATCGCGGCAGTAAGTAAATTATATTTTTCCAACACTTACTAATTTATTTTCTATTCAGCCATGTCTTAAACATCCCATCAAATGTTATGTTTTTTTCTCTGACGCGCTTCAAGTACGGTTTCAAAAAAATTACATTTAGAAATGCAAAATGACTGACACCACTTGACTTTTTAATGACTCTGTCATCGGCTAGTTTACATTTTTTTCATGAGAGGCTTTTAGCCTACTTTGCGCTTTTTTTTTTACGGAATTTCGTGAAGCGCGCTATTCAAACGCCAAAACCTGCCTTTTAATTCAATGGAAGCATGGTAATATTTGCCGAGATGAAAACTCGTTATCCGTAACTTAGCCATTTTGCTTTCCACAAATTTGACCGTCATAAATTTACTTGATTTGTTCTTGTTACTAAACGTAGGTTATTAAAGATATTGATTGGTATTATTCGTAATAAATTCTATTATAATAAAAAAGCTCTGAAATGCTTTGAAACCCTTTGAAAGCTTTTGAAGAGGCTGAATCATTTCATCTGTCAATGGCCATCGCTCGCCATCAGCTATTCTACTATGGAGTTTGTTCTCAATAAAATTGTACTAGGCAGCTGTCAGATAGAGAATTATCTATTTTCTTCACAAAAAGTCCTCTTCAAACAACTCTCATTTCAATAACAATAAGATAAGTCAGTGAATTCCCGATATTTCCGTCAAATTATATCACAATTGAGAATATCTTTATTGAGTTTTGTGGCGAAGAATATCAAAACCTTTGGGTGAGTAAACCCAGGAACAAGGTGAAACATTTAAATTCTTTAGCTGAATATTCATAGTTGCAAAAACCCTCGCAACAATAGATGCTAACACTATTGCTTTTATTAACGTCATGTGTCTCTAAAGTCGGTGCAATGAAAAATAAACATTTCAAAATCTTGTAAATTGAAACTCCACTAGGTCTGCGCTTGAAACATCGTGTATCATTTGGCCCGATGACAAAACAGCATTACAAAAAAGAGAAAATCATAAATTGGATCTTGCCATCTAAATACGATCTCCAAACAAACGGTTTTTGCTAAGCGTGCATTCGTCATCAAAATTTATGAGCATCAAGAAGTAAAGAGAATATTTACACAATCTTGATTTTGAACGTCTGAAGCAGCTTGCTTTGAATAACCCTTCTCAATACTTTAAATAAATAACTGCCTCTTCAGAGCAGCTCTATTTGCCCGCTCTGTATTTCGCCAAAACAAAGCACTTCTCCAATGCACGAAATGAATTGTTATTACCGTGAAAAATGATATATTGAAGCCCGGTACAAAAATTAAAAAAAAGGGATTTTTTTTTCTGAGTAAGTCTACCAGAGTATCAGAAATATTTATTCTCAAAAATTTCACTATGAGCCGCTGAATTTTAAGAAAGATTGAAATAAATCATGGACCGACTTAAAGCACTCATATAAATTCAGAGAGATTGTTATGTATTGTATTAGAAACATGTCAGCGTGAATCTTTTCAATAATGTTGTATATTCAATCAGCAAGTTTGTATAATTTCCTTAAAACGGCCACTGATGGCTATCTCGAATCTAACCCAACTGAGAATTTCAAGAAACCCACGTAGGGATTACATTTTATTCTTTAAATCTTTTTTTTAAACTTTGATTCTATTATCAAGATTTCTAAACATGTAGAAAATATGACCCTCTTCTTAAACAAAATTTGAAACTTGCACTTCAGTTTTTATTTCGGGGTAAATTTTTTTCAACTGATTTTCAATATTTTCAACCCATCTTAATGAGGAGATTCTTTCCAGATGAGAAAACCTTCCAGAAATCACTTGCATTTCTATTGCTCGATGCCAAGGACACAGCAGTTATGCACCTTCATTCTGAATTTTTTATTCAACATTTATTTAATATTTCTCCAGAAAAATCTTTCGTTGCAATTGAGAAAATGCTAACGGGTTTGATAACGTTTTAGTAATCAACAGTTCTCTTCAGTAGCACTTGTATCTATTATTTAAATAAAACCTCATCAACTTATCAGGGAAACAGACTATAACGTTGTCTAAAGGTCTTTTGGGAAAACTAGTTTTTGGCTACAATCTGTGCATTTGCAAATGACGACAAGGAAAAATAGTTATGGGTTTTTTGTGCCAAAGTGTGCACAGATCATTCTCCTTGGATTACATAGCTTTCAAAGTTGTAATTATTACCATTCCCACCTCTACGGAAATTAAAAACACATTCACTCTATATCCGAAAAACAATAACGATATCCTAGGCGTTTCTGAGTAATGCATTCATATTTGTTTGCAAATAATAATAAAAGATAGTTCTAGGTTCGCATCTACTTCTTGCGTCATAACTTTCAACTTGTTCAGGTATTGTCTTTTGCTGTAAAATGATTTATCCTGTAAAAAAAGATAACAATTTTTCTTTGGAAGATGTGGATGAAACATTGAATTTCAGATAAGGATACCAGAAGACTTATTTAGCTAAACTTTCATCGGTTTTGAATCAGATGAAATTTCAATCCGTTCTATTCCTCTCAGGGCTAAAGCGAAAAGAATAACAAAACTTGAACATAGCCATTTAATTAAGCATTATTATTTGATTCACCCAAATCTGTTAATTACTGACAGGATCAAAGGAATTTTATGGCAAACGTGACAGCCGAGCAGCGTTTTATTGCGTTTTACTTAGTAGTAATAGCGCCAAATATTACCCTTTGGGTGTTAAACTATTATCATTACCAGTTGAAAACTAATCAAGTCAAAGTAAATGGACTCATTAGCACTAAACAGCTACAAACTAGAGTCGCTAATTCTTTGCGCAGTTAATGGAACCGTATGATTAAGGCTTTGGAAACTCTCATGAGCAGCACAGTGAACCAATTTGAAAAAAAATGTACCTTTTCTGTTGTTTAGCTCGCTAAGAGAGACTCCAAAAAAATGCAGCCCCTCCGTCGCTAAAGAAAGATAACAGTGGAATAGAAATAAACAAGAAACATTTAACAGAGATCAAAAACTGGGCTGATGGTCTTAAAAGATAACAATTCCCAAGTCAGTCTAGGATCTTTTAAAAAATAATTATTGCAAAACAGATAAGATGAATAAGCAGCTTTTCAGATTCATGAAATGGCAACCGATATCAAACTGATGTTTACTCTTTAACTAGTATTTACTTTGATTTGTAACTCAATGTTTGCCAATCCCCAGAAACTGCCGTGGTTATTGCCCGCAGCCAGCATATTGGCGGCATGCGGTCAATACGTGTGTTATTTCATCGACAACGCCGTACAGCTTGAGATAGGAAAGCCCTGGTTATCAATCCTACTCAACATCGTAAGAGTGCTTAGTTTACTTCACGTACTGTATGGCTATATATTGTTCCTTGTTATCATCCTGTTCACTATGTATGTCACTGGAGCCTCCATGAAAGAATTCAGAGGTAAGAGTGAAAAAAACGCTTTCCGATAGCGCATTAGATCATATCCACATGTATTTTGCGCTATATAAGTAATAAATTATTATTATTATTAAATTATTGTAAGATTCAGGTATTTCTAGTACCTTCAACTTTCACTCAAAGGTGTGGGAAGGATGTTTATTACAAAAACTGCGGTATTTAACAAGGATTTCCAGCCCAAATTTCCAGTTTTACAAGGGTTTCCAGCCCTGAGAAAAGTTGTTGACCACACACATATAAACTTACGATAATTTTTCACATGCGTTTGGTTTCGCCAATCAGCAGCTAACACGTCACTCGCATTTCGCCCCACTCTGTCAGGTTGACAAATTAATGGAAAAGCGTTAATTCCCCATTTGTTATAATCTATTTAAAACCCTGCGGGGGTGAGCTGCATTTACAAAAACTTCATTTGGGTGAGTTTCAGTTCAGAATGTTAATCCATGGTCAAAAAATCCCAAGTAAGAACATTTCATTAGAGAGTTTATGAACAATTATGAGAGACGGTCACCACTATGAGTTACATCATGGCTTAGGGAAATAACAGAGAGGAGGAAATTCGCTCGACTTAAGCCGGTTACACACGTAGCGATTTTATTCGCCGACGCGAATCACCGATATCTGACATGCCATGCAATTGCACCGGGAACATCTGGTGATTTTTGCCAATCCCCGTGATCGGCGTAAAAAAAACGCCAAGTGTGTCACTGACCTGAGGCATTCGTGAGCAAGAGCAACGACATTGTTAACACGTGAGCGAGGAAATTCTTTCTGCTTTGAAGAAGGAAGAGAATTAAAAATAGTTATGTTTGTTTTCAGATGGTGTGGAGGGAGAGTTTCGTGAACCGAATGTCAGACTGACCTTCCGTGAAGCAGTGCAGTTGTTTGAACATCGGTCACAGTTTATTAGAAGATCATCAGATGCATGTTTGGTAAGGGTGCATTATTCAAACAAAATGGCATTTGCAAACTCTTACAAACAGAGATTTTTTTATTGTTACTGATCCACAGAAACTACCGTGGTTATTTCTTACAGCCAGCATATTAGCGGCATGTGGCACTGAATTTAATAGCGGAGCTCCCAGCGCGTTAAGTGCGCGCGCAGCAAAGCCCCATCGTTATTCGTGTTTCTGCAAGTGTAAAATATTCAGCAAACAATCGATAAATGGTATCGGTAAATTCAAGAGCTCCGTTCGTCGATGTCTTCTATCGTGGTAATCGGCTTTTTTTGTCAGACATTTAATCCGTTACTTATTGTTTTCTGTTTTATAGTTCATGTTGTGTAATCTCGTCTTGACCACCGTTCTGTCATTTGTCATCAACGGCTACAACTTTCTTTTCTTCAATCGCCGAGCCATCTACTTGTGGTTTGCACTAGTTCCCTCGATCTGGAGTGTAGCACCGTTGATCTTAGCAGCGTGGGCTACAGAGAATTACCAGGCCTACGTGGCATCTGTCGTGAGATCCTGGGGTGAGCACCCAGAATCGGACGAAAGCGAGTCTGAGGAGGAAGATATGGAAGAATACCAAGAAGCTATGAAGAAACTGAGAGTAAACCGCTCACGCAGCGTTTTGATAGCCAGCACAAATTTACTGAAGACGCTTAAGCGCAAGAGACTTATTCTGCGCCGGGACAGACGAATGTCACTTGCAGCCCAAAGGCGGGAATCTCAAGTAAGCGAATCCAGACCCTCTCTGACAATCGATGATCAGTCGCCAAACGTTAATTATCGAAATCTCCTTGAAGTTCAAAACCCGTTGCGATTGATCGATATGGAGACGGGAGGCGAGGAAGACACCTTTTCGGAGTCACGACTGTCTTCGACTTGCGTCGTGAATTCGGGTTTCACGATGAACTCAATGAACGGTGGCAATGTTCAGAACAAATCAAGCAAGAAAAGCAAATTTAATTTCAAGTCGTATGTTATGTACTTACAAGGACTTATCAAGGAGGTGGGTTTCTCTGTCGGAGGAATGATCCTTTCTTGGGAAAAGGTGTCCAGTATCGGTATTTTGTGGGTGTCAGTGTTGGCGATCTTTATCCAAGAAATCGTGTTTGGAAACAGAAAGAGCACGCTGCTTACATGAGTAAGATAAAACAACCGCTGTACATACATGTGGTGTGACCCTACAAATATTTATTGACGTGTGGAAAAGTCGTCATAGATACTCAGATGAATTAATCTAGAGAATTAACTGTCACAGTTTACCCCCGGAAAAGAGGCACTTTAAGGCCAAAAAGTGCGCCAATCCAAGATCAAACATGAGGCGAGAAATGGCCAAAAGCTATGACGTATACCACAGAAACAAACAATTACTCAAATCACATCATGGAGTAAATCAATTGCAAGAGCTGAAGAACCTTCGCTAGTGTTCCACCCAGCGAACCAAACACTGTAATACCTAGCCAAGTGGTCGTTTTCGTCTACTTACCTCCAGGTTGAAATCAAATAAATATTTAACAGCGCGTTACGAAATTTCAGAGAAGATTTATGCGACTTGTAGTGCTTCTAACGTACTCCACTACTTAACGTAATGGCTAGTAACTAACATGAGTGGATGGACGGTGGTTTAGTGGCTTACTAAATTACCAAATCATAGAGGTAATATCAAAGAAATCAAAGAGCAGTAACGTTTTAAAGAAATTGAAAAGTAAAAACAGAAAAGACACTGAACAAATTGAAATAAATCAAAACAAAGTGAAAAAAAACACCTGGAATGAAAAACAAAATTAAAAAAAACACTAGGTGTGAATGCAAATCACAATTCGTTGCTTAGAATATTCATGGTTGCTGGTTAGTTTTCGAGTTCAAAGTGAGCCCTTAGACATATACATCGATCACTCAAAACCACAGATTTCTCTCTAACTGGCGTGACATGAAAATTCCATCAAATCCGATAAGATTCAGGAGGCTGTTGAGTCCAATAGTTCGTGTGATTTGTGAACTGTTTTAATATTTATTAGAGGAGGAGCACAATAGTTCTAAGCCTTTTAACCAACCCGCACGAGTAATAGAGCCTGAATTTTTAGCACCATTCGCTTCCACTTGTTTTGAATCCAGCGTTAGATTAATATTACTCTTTTAAACTTTAAGCATAGGGTGAAAACACAGTTTCATAACCGATGTATTTCATACTTCATACGTCATACTTCATAAACTATTACCTGAAGGAGGAACTTCAAAATATTTGGAATCTTTTTCTTAACTTGTCTTGGATCCTCGCTGCAATTTATGACTAAATAATTCAATTGTCACTGTTGCCTAAGGTCTCAAATAAAATATATTCTAATAAAATCAAAGTCAGTTCTGGTAGGTAAAGGGAAGGTCTTCACTCGAGCCTTGTGGCCCAATTTATTGAGGCTTATAACGGTTTCCGTAGCATAGGGCGACCAGGGTAACTTTGCCTTTTCCTAAATGGGATGCCGGTCAACCGCCACGTTACCTCCGCTACAGTATTTCGTCAAACCATCCTGACAGTTCGATTGCAAACATCTGTGTTCCTGGGTGGAGATGGGAACTGTAATAATATGCAGTCTCGCTCAGACTCAAGACAGTGACCAAGCCTGGTCTTGAACCCAGACCTCTCGACCTGGAGTCCAGAGGGTGAACCGTCTCGCCACCGCTTCTCCCACACCTTCTGAGAGAAGGCAGGCGGAAATTCATGACCCATGGCTGTTTTGCCTCACAACTACCAACGAGTTAATTTAAGAAAGGAGACCTCGGGCTACTCTATTTTACGAGACAAAAACAACCCCTGTCGAGGGTGGGGTGAGATCGTTGGCGCAGACATATAATAGGGTAGATTCCGCGATATTACAAGTAAATATCGTCGTCGAAATGACAGAAGACTCCGAGAATGATTTTACTTTGGGTCAAAAGTACAGTGCAACCGTTTGTTAAACAGATTGCAAGAAACGAGCGGTGATTTCTACCTTTATTTTTTTGTGATCTGTGCTTGCTTTAGTCCTAAGTAATGATGGCACAATTTATTCAGTTGGGATCAATGGACGTTCCTAAAATGTGATTGGTTAATTCTATTTACGTGACCCTAGCAACGAAAATATCACATCGCGAAACATTTGTTCAAATCAACTCCATATCGACGTATTCTTTACCAACAGTCTTATCGTTTGGTCCATACGAAAAACTAATACGTCATAACCGCATGTACAAATAGTAAAATAAATTAAAACTTTTAAAAAGCCACAGCATAGTAACAACATTTACCTTGCGTTTCTACTTGGTGATAAACTAGTCCTATCAATTTTTTACATACGCGCTATTCAGTTTTTTAAAGTGACAATTTCTTATTCATTTGGCTCAAATTGGTTTCGTTAATTTTAAACACCCCTTCTTTTATTATTTGTTATCGTCACACTTCTCCATGTGATCTATTAAAGACAAAGTCAAAAATTTCAATTATTGTTCGTTATTTTAAATCATTTTTATGGCATATTAGGAAACCATAGTAACAATACAGCCCCTAAAAAAACATCCCTAATACACCCGGAAAACAGCATTTCAATATTCATCTTTCTACAAAGAGCTGTGTTGCTATGGTCACCTATGATCACGATTTGTCAAAGAACAGAGGGAAATTTCAAAAACAAGGGTGGAAGCTAATATTAAATAATTGTTGTCTAAAAATAACAACACTCTATGAGCCATCTTACGAAAAAGGTTGTCCATCTCTGATCAATACCTCAAATCTCAGAGGTAATAATTACCGTATTTATTCAATTATGCGCCCTGGGTACCTCTTAAAGTTTTGCACCTTAAGAATGGGGGCTTATGCGAGGTGGGCGCGTATTCAATTTTCATACCCACAGGGGGCGCTTGATCGAATAAATACGGCTATTAAGGTACACCGAAAACACCTACAATAGCACAATGCATTATTTCGTCTCTCTACAATTTAAAATTTGACTCAAAAACGACCGAAGTTCTCATAGTATGTACAAAAATAACTTCTACCTTCCGCGTTGAAAATTTTCCTACACAATTCCTATCTATGAACTTGAATGAGAAAATGCGTTTCTAAATTAAATAAATTTGAAAAGCTACGTAATGCTGTTCGTCATAGGAGTACTTTCCAAATGAGACAGCATTCACACTGATAATCTTGGAATGAAGACTATGGAGAGGACACGAAAGTCACCTGTGCGTTCCCTCCCCCTGTTCGTCTCCAACAGGGAGTGCTGTAAACAAATTATTTCTCCCCATCTCCTCTACCCTGTGCAGCGCAATTTCATCCTGTATCCATCTCCTCCCCTTGATTGACAAGCTTACGGCTGCATGTGGTACAGAGCTGTTTATTAGCAAGCATCTGTTCAATAAGCTTGTCTCTCTCTTCAAGCTGCCGCCTCAGTTCACTAACTTCATCCATCCTAGCGTCCAGCTCTTCGTCTTTCTTCAATAGCATTTTCCGCAGTTCTATTATTTCAGACGCTTGTTCCTTGACCTTTTCCCTCAGGTGATCACTTAGTTGCTGTGGGAAGACCCATAAAACATCTAAGTTTTTTATATAAACAAATAAAGTGCTGTTCTGAACAAAAGTGCCAAAGGACCTATCCTATTCCTTTAGAAATGAAAAGGGCTTAGTTAGTCGTTTTTCTCTGTTCCCCTCCATCCTCTATTGACCCCACCGCTTCAGGCCAGAGAATAAAAAGCTTAGCTTGAGAGAAGACAGGGGTACTTAGTTTGGCCCTCCGTCAAAGTTCTGATGAAGGAAAAACGCACGCCAATTTACATTACCAACTCAGTTGATAAAACCAAACCCCCCAGCCCCTCCACCGACGCAGCACCACAATTGCCTTAGACACTACCCCTTTATTCATATGTGCTATATATTTGACATGAAAATGTCAAAACGACAAACCTTTAACAATCCTTTATACTGACAACAACAATACTGAAGCAGAGCTTCTTAGCACACTTATCAGAAAAGTTCAATCCAAGATGCAGTGTAACGAATTTTTTAACATAATCCTTATTTTTTTCGGCTTAAGCCCTCTACAGAGAGGGTTGGTTCTTCTTTCTGTAGATACTTGCTAGATATATCTTGTTATCCATTATTATATTTCAAGGTAGAAAACTACCTTTTATTAAAACTCGAAACAAAACCGAACCAAACAAACGGAACAAAAACAAATATGCTACACAAATGAACAAAGAAAGAGACAAAAAAGGAAGAATCCAAACTTACCGTGTGCTTTGCTTTCAAGAAGCCAAGCTCAAGAAGAGACTCTGCTGTAGGCCGGTTGCCAGAGTTTTCAGCTACCATCTCCAATATCAGCTTAGACTACAACGAAACATGACAATACAAAGCGTCTTTTGACTTGTCATGATTTATAAAAAGTTTGAAACCAACCTGTTGCTTCGATAACTTAACAAAGAACATGTTTACTTGCATGCAAAACCATTCTCGATTTAGTTAAAAAGCGTATTCTAGCACTTGAGGTTTGTGACATGTTTTAAAATGAATAGCAGCTAAACTGCTTTGTTCACCTTTTTTTATGATTCGCTCAATAATTGTAAAACAATCTTTATCTTTATCTTATCTTTATCTTTATCTTGGTTATAGAACTTTATCTTCTTTATCTTTATCTTCGATCTAGTAGGAGAGAAATCTTCCCCAAAAACTGTGTCGGCAGCCTATTAGTCAGAGAAACATTACCTTTTTAATTCTCTGAACAGACTCTCCGGTAAAAATTTCAATTGTAATCAATGACTAGCCGATGCTGCAACAATTTTATTAACACAGTATTCACGTCTTCTGTTAAGTTACGTAACTTTGCCTGCAACATCTGACAAAAACCTTACGCTAAGTTATATTAACAGCGAAGTAAGGCAACAATTTTGGGTAGAAATAGTAGAGATGGTAAGTTTTGAGCTCGGTAAAGAATTAAGAAAGATGTTTTTTCGTCTTATCACAAGCGTGGGACAAAGGAAAAATTCTGAGTCCCCATGAGAAATCGAACCTCAGACCTTCGGATTTGCGCTCCGATGCTCTACCACTGAGCCTGGGGTTCAAAAATTACACCGGTCTCAATTCACGGAGTCCATTCGCGATATCTTAATAAAAAATGTTTAATACTAAACGATTGAGTGCAGTCCCACTGGAGGATATTTGTAGCGGCACAAGAATAAACTTATCTTGTTATTTGTTCGGTGAATAAACGATCTTGGTAATATTCAATACCGGTCCAATGATAAGTCCAACGACCTTTCCGACAAAACATAAAGTCCACTGGATGAATTTTCCTTGGAGTTTCCGAAGGAAGCTTGGATTGCATTGGTTTTGCTTTAATTAGCTTTAATTGGCAACTTGGTCATCAACGTTTTACCTCACTTCAGGCTGTTTCCCTGTTTTTAGATAATTTAGTGTTAACAACTGAGTTGAAAACGTAACATAACCACCGTAAAGGGTAAAAAGCTGACGATTCGAGCGTTAACCCTTCGTCAGAGCGATTGACGAAGGGCTAACGCTCGAAACGTCAGCTTTTTCTCCCTTTAAGGCGGCTAATTTACGTTTTCAACTCAGTTGTTAACACTAAATTACCTGCTTTACTCTCCCACCGATGCACCACCACAGTTTCTTTAGAAACTTTCCCCTTTTATTCATTTGTTTACCTGTTTTTACTTTGATTTCTCATCGCCTCTTGGCGATATTTTTCTTTGCCTGATTGGCTGTCATGGTAACTTTGTTTCTGGCTTTACAAGAGGCGACCGAAAAGCGCTCAAAAAACGATACAGCCAAGGGAATGGACCCTAACTTGGCTGCGAAGCGCACCTATGTAACAAAGATGATTAAAATATGTTACTCTAACCTCTTCTGGCCATTTCTCACAGAAGTCTTCTGGTAACCTTCCCTGCCTGAGATCTTTTATACTCTTTACTCGTTCCATCTCAGTACCAAAAGGACAGTACAGCTCGAAGAGGATAATTCCCAAGCTGTAAATATCCGCCTAAGTCAACAAATAACAAATACAAATACAGTATTTATATAGCACTATTTCTATTGCTATTCAATAGCGCTTTACAATTCATTTTTAATTTAATTTATTTACTTCTATAGCGCCCTTTAACATTTGGATGATCAAAGGCGCTTTACAATTAGTGTTTCTTCCACCCATCCCACCCCAGGGGAGGACATCCACCACACAGTAATCTCGTGCGTGGGAAATTAACGTCTCCTACCCCAACCCTGCAGGAGACGGGGCCTACGGTTTTACGTCCTATCCGAGAAGACGGATAGGACGTAAATAAGTCAGTTGAGCAAACAAAGAAAATCCGAAATATCTTGTTAAATTATAAGCAGACTTTTAGCTAAGATTACGATTACAACCCACTAAACCTTGGTTCTTACAATTTAGTCGAGATCAAAGGAAACGAATGACCTATGGAGTAACTTTGGTGAAAAACGGCGTTTAACTATGTTTCCACTTCAAAAAACTTTCGGCTCAGGGACTGCTCCTGGTCCATCGCCTCAACCAATCCGATGCCTGAAAAAAGTACAAACAACTCTGACTCCTGATTGCTTCCTCGTGATATTTTCCTTTCTCTTGATTCACCGTTGTCTTTACTCCGTTTTAGTATTCCGATACTCGATCGAAGAGCACTCTGCTGTGAGTCTTATAAATTCACCTTGTTATCGTATATGTTGTTCCTTAGTTGCTCAGGTGAAGCATAAGTGCATGTGCCAACACCAGCGGTGGGAACATCTTTACCAGAACATCCTGTTTGATATAATCAGATAAATGTTACCTTGAAACTTCGAAATTACAACAACACATTAAGCTGGTAATACAGCACTTTCATACCTGGAGAAAATAACGGGGTGAGTGGCTCAATCAAACTGGCCAGCGGACTACTAGCTCCAGGACTCACGACCACTTCTTTCCGAGCCAAACCAAAGTCACCGATTTTGACCTGGAAACTATATCGTTCTTCCTTTGGATGTCTGAGTCCTTGGAGAAAGATATTTCTTGGCTGGAAAAGAGAGTGGTAATGAAATTACACTTGTGTGCGACTAAACTTCGCGTATACAAAGCACCTACTCGCAATTGTTACTAGCATCTTTCTTTGTGTGGACAGTTAATGTGTGGAATTCCTTTCCCAGAGAAGTCTTGCACGCTGGATCGTTGACTCTATTTCTTAATAATCGAAGACTTGCACGAATATTAAGTGAAATACTTGTGAACATGATATGTGAATCATTTCTAAAGTTTAGATTGTCGCCTTTCTTTAATGGCGGTCGTTTGTAAATTGGGTCAACCTCACGATTTTCACTGTTACAGACATTTTGTTAAAGTTATTTTTTCAATCTCTTGTAAAAGCGATTGCGTAACAAATAAAAGCTTCAGATCTTTCTACCCTAACTTGGCCACTTGCTTCATCGTTGGATCGTTGGGGAAAAGAGAGAGAGAAAGATGAAGTAGAAACGAAAGAGTAGAAACGCACACTCGGTACACATTTCGTGATAGCTATATCACTTGCAGATGCTGTTACCTTCAAATCTCGATGAAGAAGCGCTTGAGAGTGAATGTAGCTCACGCCTTCCACAACTTGGCGAAAAATTTCCACAACAGCTGATTTGTCGACTTGGCCGTCTGACAAGAAAGGAAGAAATAAAACGTTCAGTGAAATACTACCGATCGATACGAACTCTTTCCCTTGGTACTTACCAGTGGTGTGGGAGATTTCCTCGTTACGTTTCACCAGCCAGTCTCGCAGTGTTGTTGTGCAGAGCTGCATCTGAATAAACAGCAACATTCCTAGACGCTGATGACACAATGAATGAACATATTGAAACAAACAACGCAGGCCAACAACCACACAAACAAAAAAAGACATGCAATGTTCTTATTCTCTGACAGCGCTTCCCTAACACTCTCGCTTCCACTTTTTGTGTTTTTGCGGATAAAAATGAATGAAAAATAAACTTTTAGCGATGTTGTGTTTTAATTGTGTTCTTTGAACTGATCTTCGTAAAGAGTTATTAAGAGAGAAGGGATATGGTAGACCAATTTTGCAGATCTAGGGCAATCTACAAAATTGGAAACCTGCTAACTTTCCACGTTACACTTTATCAGATTGGGTTTTAATCCGTAGATTCAGATTGTAATTGCATAAGAGCAGTTTTCAAAAGTGTTAAAAAAGCAAAACCAAAGTGATCACAATTACCAATCAGAAAAAAAATTGACGTTATCATCAACTAATGAAAACTCAAAGTAAAAGCGGACAACCAGCATAAGGCGCGGGAAAACGCGAGTGACCAAGCTGGAATTGGTTTTAGTTTTGTATCTGATTGGTTTTTGATGGCGGCACGAGCTTTCTAAACCAATCACAGAGCGAAGTTGAGCAAACCAATTGAAATAAAAATTTCTCTAATGATCTCAAAAAACATTTCACCTTACTAACGGCTGTACTTTTCAGTATGCTCTCTGCTAATGCACTGCTCTGATCGCTACTCAGCTCGTTGCTTTGTTCATCATCAATACGGTCACCATCTTTAGCCATGGAGCCTAAGCTTGAACTGGACGCTGATCGACGCATGCTGCGACGTGAAGCATGATAAGGGGCCGTGCTTTTACGAGTATTATTGGTGCTCCTGAGGTTGGTTGAATGGATCTTGCCCAAGTGACTTTCAGCTGTGAATTGAAAATAATAGTTAAAAGCGAACAAGCAGTACACCATTCACTCTGCGACCCTCAGTTTCTTCGGCTTAAATTTAACGATATTTCAGTAAAGAAAGAGAATATTGGTAGAGAAAAAACTGGAGCGCAACATTGGGAGTGGAGCGGGGTCAAGCTGTTTCAACAAAATTTGAAGAGGGCTGTGGGTTTGAATGTGAGAAGAGTCTTGCGTAGTGATAGGATTAGAAATTTCAGAGGTGTTGTGAGTGTAAATAGATTGAGGGAGATCGTAGTATTTCTAATATCAAATTCACCACCATTCTAAATCTATCTCATTACTTACACGTTCTCTTCACCACTTGCGTAAACCAGCAAAAGCGACTCGGTTACCATATCAGTATCCAGTCGTTTCGCACCCTCGGACGTTTCGTATTCAGGCGATTCGTACCCAAATTCAGACGATTCGTACCCAGTTTGAGTCGGTTTCTGCCCAATCAGCTGGTCGATTCGCACCCGCCGAAACATTCAGTGACGATCAAAATCTAGGAGATTCCACGAAATACCTCACGCGCGAATGTGAACAGACGTCGATTGTTACAAGCGAAAACATACTCACAAGGAAAACATAGTTTATGACCATGGGTACGAAACGGCTAAACAAACTGGGTATACGAATGGTCCCAGCAGGGTACGAATCAACTGAGTACGAAACGTCCTTGGGTATAAAACGACTGGTAAGCATCATACCATGGGCACCACGCTGCTTTCCTTCCGCCTGGCTCCCAGTCCCCACTGAGTCATCATCAGCCATGAACACAATGCCACTATTAGAGGGATCCTGAGATGAACTTTCAAACACTATGCTGTTTTGGCTATCTTGACTAACTTCCATGATCCTGAAAAGAGAGACGTGTCTAACCTTTTAACCCCTTGGAGTGACTGGCATGTAATTTCTCCTTATAATATAACCCCTAAATCACTCATTAAGGTCACGAGAATAAAGGACATGATCACTAACAGAAGAAGCTCTTGATTTTCAAACTGATTCTCCTGGTCAGCACCTTAGGAAATGTATAGGGAATAGTGTAGAGAATAAAGAGACGTTTGTCGACGTTTGTCAAATGTAGCACAACGTAAATATAAGTTAAAGATCACCTAAACCTTGTGTAAAATTCAGTTTCTTAGTTTTCTGTGGCTGATTTTCTTTCAGTCAAACCTAGTTCATTTTAACATGTTTTGCTGGTGTGATGGGGTTTAAGGAGTTTTGCACTGAGAATGAACAATAAAGCAAGACTGCAGCCTCTCATAACACAAGTTCCAGATGAAGAAAAAGTTTTGAACATTTGTTGCAAGCCTAGGACAAAAAAAGTCCGAGTTCCCATTGAGCCAGGATTCCAACCACCTACCTTCTGGCTTTCTAGACAGATGCTCCACCAGCGAGCTACAGAGAACAAGCCAGTAATTTACGTCGTGGAACAGGTTCACACATGTGCTGACAAATTCAAGTTTACTAAAGAAGGGTACCTACCTGTGAATTCCATTTAAAGAAGAAAGATCACTGAATTCCTGTAGGTTTGTGGGAACCGTAGCTACTCCTGACGAGAAAAGTACTTCAATCAGTCACCATCTACAACCTTTTCTGAAACCTCTTATCATAACTGGTGTTAGGAGAGCATTAAGTCGAAGATACCTTATGAGAGCAGAAAGAACACAAATTATATTATTCTAAGGTTTACGAGCAAAATAGGGATCAATATCAGTATCTGGGCAACTGCCCACCTTCCCCTCCCCTAACCCAACATTAACCCTAACTTGTTATCAATTGACTGTTGATGAGTTAGGGGAGGGGTAGGTGGGCAGTTGCCCAGATACTAATATTGATCCCAAAATAGTTTTCCACACACAAAATTAAACACCTTTTCCTCTCTGTATGGATCCTTTAACCCCCCAAGGGTGACCAACATGTAATTTCTCCTAAAGTATCACCCCTGAATCCACATTGAGGTCATGAGAATAAATGAAATGATCACTAGTTAAAGATGTTCTCAATTTTTAACCAAATTCTCCTTGTCAGCACCCTAGGAAATGTATTAAGAACAGTAAGGAGAATATGCATACTGATCTTTGGGTGTAAAGGGTTAATCCCCCATTAAGCTCTTTTTGAACTGTTTCTGTTAACATGCATCAGTTCTTTGACTGGTTTCAATTCCTTGCAAGGTATGGTTTTTATTTTTTCCAATGGTTTACAAAGATTTTTCCTTACTGGGCATAGTGGTGCTGACAGTATCTGTCGTCACATACTCTAGCCATGCTGCATGATATCCAACAACATTACTGTGACTTAGGTTTGCCAGAACTTTGACTTCTCGCAAAACCTATATGCAAGAAACAAAGGCAATTGCCAGTGTTACTGTGTCCTATTCTGTGGTAATGGCTGTGATATGCAAGCCCTGAAAATATTTCTTAAAGTAGCTAAAAAGTTTTTTCTAGTTTTAAACAACAATTTCTTAAAGGACTGAATCTGTCACACTGTGTTTAAGTCTATACTTGAGCCAAGTTTGTTTCCATAACATGAAGTGAGTAGGGAGTACTTTTACCCCCCCCCCTCCATCCTGGATGGGAAGCTTCTCCATCAGGAGATTAACCCCCCTAGAATTTCATCCAGCCTCCCTGAAAAATCACTGGTATCCATTTATCTTCCTAAGTTGAGAGAGGCATGGTGAAAGTACAGTGTTTTGCCCAAGAATATAACATACAATGACCTGGCCAGGCTTTGAACCCAGACCTCTTGACCCAGAGTCCAGCACACATAATTACAAAAAAAACTCATATGGCTTACAAAGGTACAGTTACCGTTTGTGGAGTACTGGATTTTTGTGTATACCTTCAAACAAAGATCAGGATTTGTTTCTTTCAGTGGAACCTTTTTTACTGCATACTCTCTTCCATCAAGTTTGTTTTTCACCTTAAAAGAAAAAAACAAGAAGTAACTTCAGTCTTGAGTTTTATACTTAATAAATGCCCATGATGATAAAAACTTTCACCTACTCCCAAAGCTATGGTTGGGCCACAAACCTTGAAAACACTTCCAAAGCCTCCTTTACCAAGTCGTATGATCTCAACAAACTCCTCCTTATAACGAGAAGTTCCATTTTGCAAAAGATCCTGCATTTTATGGGGAGCAGATAGGCTCCTGAAGAGACAAGCCAGGGTGAAATCAAAAGAAAATAAATAACTCTGGGGATTGAATTCACATAATTAGAAACATTTATCCAAACAAGAAAGTTCATTTCTGCTCTAAGGAAAACAAGTGAATGTATAACCACCAAATTTCTTACCTACACATACATCTGCCAAAAGGGCCCTTATTCCTCAACCCAGATGGGAAACTAAGGAGCTGAAATTTCAGTAACATATCAAACACATTAACAAACATTTTTCATACTTTCAACCTGAGTTCCTGTAAATTATACTCCTCATCCTGACCCAAAGGGAGAGTCACATGAGGTTGTGAGGCAGAGGATGTGGCTGCATTGCAGAGTTGAGGCACAGTTATATTGAAAAGGCAAAAAATTCTCAAATGGTGTGTGTAGGGTAATAATTGACTGGCACAACAAACCAATCAGCACATAAGGTTCAGAGTATGACATCATTATTTTTTCTCAAGATTTTCACATTATGGTTGATTAACCAGTTCAGGTGTTTCATCTGCTTATTTAACCTACAAAAAAAGTTTGATGTACTGATGTACCTTTTTGAAATGTGTTAAGTTGAACAAGGTTTGTTTTCCCCCACTGTTTGTTTTATTTATCACAAAAGGGGAAAATGACAGGAGTATGCAATTTGGCTCAAGGATTAGAAAACTCCAGATATATTCATTACAACCTCATATATTCCAACAGTATCCCACTCCCAATCTCAAGTCCAAAATGCCATGGCATAAACATGCTTTCTTACATCTGTTCCAGTGGTCCTTGCAGCAGCTTGCATGAGATCACTGAAAGCTGTTTTGTATTTTGCCCTGATAACACTGAATTCCTCAAGAAATGAAAAGGGGGGCATCACCTGGAAAAAAGTAAATCAGTTGAATAATGTAACCTCTTAACCCTTTGACTCCTATGGCCCATGAAAGGGTTTTTCTTGGAAAACCATTTTTCAACAATAGCATGCTCAAGGCCTTACATGTATTACACAGAAGTACAAGGAACAGGAGTTAAAAACAAGTGCATACCTTCATCTTCACAAGCTGCTGACAGATAACTGCAAAAAAAAAGTTCTTGTCAATTAAATGCCATTTTCATTGCATTAAAAATAGAGAACACTAAGAAGGTACAGTCTGCACCAATTTTCAGCCAAGAAGAAGTTAATGACAATTTCTCAATTCATGCTTGTTTCCAACATAATTCAGAGGGATATGTGGGAGTTACATGTACACCAGGCCCTATGACAGAGATAGTCTGACACAAAAGCTCAAAATCTGCCCAAAGATTTCATAGAAGTGACTGACCTTCCATTTGATCCACTACATTGCATTAAGTGAGACCTTTTTTTTTTTTCCATGTATTGTTATTAAAAGACCATGTTACTAATTTGCTGCAGTCTAATTTAGTTTACAATATTACATCAATTATCAAAATACTATTTACATGTAACTATTGCATTGACTCTTATAGATATGACTGTTCAAACCTATATTTATGATAAATTTGCACAGCATCTCAGTGGATCCTATCAGTGACCATTACAGTTCTTTAAAACAAATTTGACTCATATATTTTGTGTTCAGTATTTCCAAAGTGTGACAAGATTCTAAAATCTTACCATTAAAGATCTTCTTGCTTTTCTCTGGATCAGTCTCATACAGAGAACAGAGATGTTCCAGTAGAGAAACTAACAACAGATAGTTAGGCACTCTGCCTTCCAAAGCTTGCACACTGGTGGAAGGGTCTTTATTGGGGACATATGTATCCGAGAGATCAGCATCTGTCAAAAACACAGAATTAGTTACAGTGGAACTTCCCCACAATGAGGAAAAGGGAGGTGGATGTTATAGAAAGGTGCCCATTGCTGAGGGTAGCAAAGTGGAGGAAGGGTTCTGATCACATTTCATGCACTTAAGTACAGGTATGCATATTCTCCATACTGTTCTCTATACATTTGGTACAAAGAGAACAAGGAGAATTTGTTTGGCAATAAAGAGCTTCTTTAGTTAGTGATCATTTCCTTTATTTTCATGACCCTTACATTTGATTCTGAGGTACTACTGTAAAGAGAAATTAGATGTTAGTCTCTCTCAGGGGTCAAAGGGCAAAGAAGAAGTATCAGTACTTTGTTATTCTCATATTTTCCTATTGACTACCAAACTATATACTCATGAAAGTCAAGGGCACATTACTGCTGAACGTTGACTGTAAACAATGAATCACCCTATATATCATACTTATTGCTAATTTCATGATCAGGTGATGATCACACCTACAATCACGCCCACAAAAACACCTTCATCACGTCCAAGATATTAGTAATTTGATAACACAGTGATCATCAATCTCTCTTCAAATTACGGAAGGCTGATTCATGCTACCACGAAAACTCGTTTAGGCAAAATCATACCGTTGTTTATTCACACATAAATTGACAAATAAATATGTAAAAAGCTGTCGAATATCTTCGTTGCATGCTATGATTTGAGACAATTGAAATTGTACCGTTAAGTAAGTAACCGCTTCTTAAAGAGTAATCCGAGTCATTCTAGTGATAACACACCTGGTTATGGTCTCAGACTTACTAAAAGGGAGAGCTGTACATAGCATTGTACATTTGTATACGATTTACTGCAGTTCATGTTCGCTTTACACCAAAAATTGTAAGTCGCAACAGTTCAACTAATCACGTACGACGGAAGTTGAGCTGAGTCGAGAAGGATCGAATCACTGATAACTGCTTAGACGATTCCCGCAAGTAGAATTAATGCTGTTTTACCGCCCTAAGATACAAAAAAATGAGGAACACCTTGTCCTTGCAAAATTCGACTTAAGTTACGCTGCGCTTACCCTGAAACTCGGTCAAGCGAGCTGGAAGACGAGGAGGCTCCAGTTTGGAGCGAGTCCACTTCGATCTTGTGTTCCATGCCATATTTCACAAATTTAGCAGACATAAGAGTCCGATGTCTTCATTTTCAAGCGATTAAAAACCGAAAAAGCGTAAACCAAAACATCGTAACCTTAAATGAAATAATACGAAATTATTACATGGTTACGAAAACCTTTCTGCAAACTATGCTATTTTGACAGGTACATGTCATCAGACTAATCGAGAGGCTACCAAGCAATCGAAAAGTCTTTGCGCGGCTGCTTGGCAAGATGGCGGCCGCGTTCGTGCGTTTCCGAACAAGATATTTTCTATGGAAATTTTTTTATTTTGAGAGGACGGCAACGCGGTTTTTCAATTCCTTCGGATTGGAAAACAACTTAGTCAAACGGCTAAGGAATTTACGTATCGAAAAACCGACAGAAATTCAGAAAAAGGTGAGGTTTATTCCAGTACAATTCAATACGGGCCTACTAAAGTAACCTTTTTACTCCCTAGATCGGACTGTAAATTCCCCCCTTTAGCTGCTTCAAATAAATTACGAGAATTTGGGGTTAAATCGAGAAAACACCTTTTACCTGATAAGTTTGAGTATTCTCATTACCCATTTTCTTGACAATGTATGGATGTCTTAGCGAGAAGCTACATATTAATCACAGGTGGGAGTTAAAGGGGGAATAGTATCTACTCTTTCGTTCTTCGTTTTGTAAAAGTATCGGAAGGACTCAGACGTCGGTGGCTTTGCATTATGATTTTGCTCTCTAAGGAATGCAGGTGCTGAAAAGAAACTGTTGAGACACAACCTTCCTGTACCATGACCATACAATTCAGGAGGGTTTCCTTGGGAGTTCTCCGGGTACCTAGGCGAAGTAGATTTTTCATGAAAACTTTTGTGTTGCCATGGAATTTAAATCTTGTTCTAGCCATATAATTTCTTAATGTTCCTTTAGGCCCTGAGACCAGTTTTAGAGGAAAGAAACACAATCATTAATGCAGAAACAGGAAGTGGAAAAACTCTTTGTAAGTGGGTAAATTATTATAACAGGAGATGAGTTAGTGTTTTCCACAAACCATCTGCTTTGATGATTTTCAAGTATTTTTATATTTTGGTTTTGAATAATGTTGTGTACTTTTAAAATCACTTTGACTCAACTAAGAGGTCAATTTATGGTAAGAACCTAAGTGACACATTTGGTGCGACTCTTTTTTGTTTTTACCACATTTTTTAGGTCATCTGTGATTTAACACTTCACAGACACAAGGCATCATGGTTTTTTTTTTTCTTTAAAGGATCTATATATCCTGATTGAAAGTAGTTGAGATTTCTTCAGTGTATCAACTCAAGGTGCTGTTCTGGTTGTTCCTGCAGGTTACCTTCTTCCTATTATCAATAAACTTCTTGTGGACAAAGAAACAGTTTCTAAGCCACCATATGCTCTTGTGTTGCTGCCCACTATTGAACTTTGCCATCAGGTGAGGTCAGATGCCATGAAATAATGCATAGAACTCTCCGCTCCTTGGATCTGATTTTTAAAATCCAGCTAACAGTGAAATTAAAATGTTTACACATTTTCAGAGTTAAAGGAGTAACAAGTCAAGTGCTTTGTCCTTTGCTATTGTAAACTTTTCTTTGAAACTGCTAATTAAGATCCTTGCAAAATTCTTGAAGAATTTGAAAACTTGGAAACTTATCTCTCTCGTTTGAATAGGTTGCCAATGTGTTTCAAAGTCTAACAGATGATTCAATGCAGCCATGCACTGTTCATAAAGACTCCAAGTTACAAATAAACTCCAAACACCCCATTGTACTGGCCACACCCAGTGCCTTGCTCACCTATAGCCCCAGGACTCTACGTAACATTAGAGTAGTGGTTACTGATGAAGCAGACCTCTTGTTAACCAATGGACAACAAGAAATTTATGAAATTCTCAGTTATTTTATGGGTATAGAGATCACAACGAAGAGGCGGAAAAAGCTAAGATCAAAGTCTTTAAAAGTTGTAAATATTACTGAAGTACATGGTAAGGAATCAAATGAACACAAGTTGAATGAAACTGTACATTTGCCAGTTGAAGGGTCAGGTTTTCAAGCCAGCACAACTCCTCTGGCCCTGCATCGGCAATTTATCTTTGTGGCTGCAACGTTGCCTTCACGTGGGGAAAAGGACATTTATAATGTGTTGAGGGAATGGTTACCAGATGCTGAATTTGTCTCCACAGATTTGGCCCATCACACAGTGCCAACAGTAGATATATGTTACGTTAAGGTAGAGGATGCTCTTAAATTGCCTGAGTTGTTGCGTTGCTTGAATTCGTTAGCGGGGTCGATCAGGTATCCACTTAGCAATATTGGAAGAGCAAAGAATGGAAACGTAACTTCCATGCAGAAAGTAAATGTTGATCATAGCACAAATGATTCTAGCAGTAAAAAAGATGAAGACAAATCGTATTCAGTTGAAAGGGTGGCTGGGAGATTGGATCTTGAAAAGGAAATTAATATTGATGGTGAAACTCAAGGAAGGCAAGGAGAAGCTTGTCTTGAGCCAGTTCGTTTGAAAAATTTACGGGTGTTGGTGTTTGTTAACACGACAAAAGCAGCAGAGGAAGCTTATAACTTTCTCAATGGTACTGCAGAGCAAGGACAGAGTGACTCGGTGCCTTGGAAACATGTCATTCTGAATGATCAAACTATAACTATTTGGCAAAATGACCCGGGAGAATCGGACATTGGTGTTGAGGCAAAAGCACAAAGACGTTTTGTGACACGTACCGGCTACATCGATCTATGGCAAGGCACAGTTGGTCAGATTCACAAAAATATCTTGCCCGCTGAAAGAATAGATAGGCTAAAGAAATTTACATCTGGAGAATTGAAGGTCTTGATTTGCACAGACTTAGCATCTAGAGGGTTGGACATCCCGGATGTTAGTCATGTGATTCAATTGGACTTTGCCCTGAGTGCCACTCAGGTGCTGCATCGCACGGGGAGGACGGCTAGGGCGGGTGCATCGGGTAAAGGTAGGATATGAGTTTTTTTAAATCCATGCGAACGAAATATCATTTTGTCTAAAAGCGATCCTTAATTTCGCTTGACGGTGCTTTGACAAGGAGTTCAAGCTTGAACTCTTTACAAAATTGGTAAGGTGACTAACCATGCAAAGTCTGAATGAAAGCATGTATTTAATCGAAATATTTTGGAGAATAACTTAAAACAGATGTTCCAGCGTTTTCACAATCAGGAACCGGTTACACGAAACTTTAAGTCCGGAAACCAGGAGCCCATTACTTAATAAGTAATGGCTCCTACTGAAACTGAGTGAAAAATGAAAATCTGAAAGAGACGTTCCAAATCGGTGGTTTCGTGGCACTTTTTGAAGAGACCATTCTTGTGCTTGTTCGAAACTTAAATATCCCGTACGTGACAATGGCTAAATTAGTGCGCATGCTAATAACGCGCGAGAAATTTTACGAGCGCAAAGGAATGGGAACGACGATATTTCTGTAGCAACACTGTTGCAGCAATATGGCTCATTTTTTAACTGAAAATTTCCGTATTTTTTTTGTTATTTTGCAAGCATAAGCTCAAACCAAAACGATAAGGTTACCGTTTTTAGGAAGGTTTCTGTCGAACCTCATCCGTCACATATCTCACTCAACAAAAAAAAAATGCTGTAACAGAGTGAATTTAACAACAGAAGTAGAGCATTCGTATTAAGGTTACGAAGTTTGAAACATTTTTTATCGCTGTAGCGCTTGTTGTCATCGTCTCCTCAATAGGTGAACCTCCTGGAGAAAAAGTTTGTTGTCTCGGTGTTAAAACCCGCGTTAGCTTTGTTTGCAGAGGAAGAATAATGGTAGCGATGAACGCTCATACAGTTCCAGTAGCGGAGCATGCGCACTCATTTTGCCGCTGTGTCATCCTGTATGGGTCGTATGGGAACCCAGGCTAGGCCTTGCGTTAACTAGCTGTAGCAGTATTCTCCAGTATATAAACTGCACCCACTGCACCCACTGCACCCAGCTGTATTCAAATTGGTACAGGTTCTTTTGTTTCTGTTGCAGTGATAAACCTTGTCACCGAAAATGACCAAGATCTAGCTCGCGCTGTACGAGCTTGTGACCAGTCCCGGAGCAGTGATGGTTATCAAGCCACGTTTAGCAGGAAAAGAAGGTTCAGGAAGAAATTGAAAAAGAACGCTATTGCTTTAGTTGACAAGCTGTAATACCCCCGCTGTTGATTTTTGTCCACACTGTGCGCAGATTTGTCCCCACGGTGATAGGGTGATCTCTCACCTTTTTCATCACGAATAAATGGAGATTAAGGATGATAGTTTTTGTAGTTTTAGTTTCGGCTATCGAATGAGGAAAGATGTTTTGCTCTCGTCAGGAGCACGAGAAATCGAAAAAAAATTTGAGTTCCTTACAAGGAATCAGACGTCTTTAGGGCCCAATGTTGTACATAGAAGTCAGCTCTTTCGTGAGGTAAGCCATGAAAAGGATACTATGGTTCTAAGCGTTTTGCATACGGCCGGGATCAGCTTTGTCAAAAGTAACGTGTGTGGAAACAGATTTTACAAAATGATAGATTTTCCGTCGTTGCTTTTAATTTCGGAGTTTACCATTTGCATCTGCTTTTACTCAGTTTTAGCCCATGCTAATTAGATTTCTATTTTATTTATTCCAACTCATGAAATTAGCTTCTTATCAACCCTCACTATTGTGATTTTGCTTTTTCAAAAGCTCTACGTATAGATTTTTTAAGTTTTGTAGACTTGACCTATTTTGACAAGATTTAATCCTGTGGGGGTGGCACTTCTTCCACGTAAATCCGGGATACTGAGTTCCAGCCCGTGTACGCGTCACCACTTTTGACACTCTGGCAATTGCCGACCCAGAATCCCACGCGCACGATTCCCGGGGGGACTTTCTCACATACACCTTCGATTTGTCGCACCCGGTGTAAATTCTTCTTGTTTCCATCCCCATGTACCATGTACACTAAACCATCAATGGCAGCGGGGGCCGAGCACTCCACGTCGTTGAAGGTGAAATACCACCGCTTGCAGCAAGCGTGGCAGTTGTAGATACGGAGAGCACCATTCCAGTAAACACGGAGGCCAGTGTTGGGAGACAATTTGTTGAAAACACATTCCTGAAAATATCATCAACAATGGATTGCTACAATCAAGAATCCTCCTAGCACAAGGAAGCTGGACCAGTTTTTAAGTACTAATTTCACAGAATTCAACCAAGAAAAAAAGATAACGAAAAAAGAAGCGAATTTGAATTGACTGGTTAGGATGCGCCTTCAATGCGTTAAAAATCCGCTTTTTGAAAGCTAGCGATGATTGCAGTATTTTCTTATATCATGTTATCCAAGTACGCATTACACTTAGCAAGTTCGAAGTCATTATTGTAAATTACTGATAAAAAAATCAAAGGTTAGATCATTTAAGGTAAGGAAAGGAAATATAAGGTATGTTGAGTATCTTTCATATCTCTTCTTTGTGTCTGACTTGTTTGGAAAGGGTTCCTTACGCGGAACGCCTTCAAATTAATATCGCACGTGGAGAGCAAAACGAATCCTTTTCTAGTCGATGTTCGGTGGTCAGCACATTTTCAGGACATACAATTTTTAGCAAACAGTTGTTTAAGCTTTTAGTTTCCCATGAAAAATGCCACGAACTAGCGATAAATGGCGAGGTATTTTGGCAACAAACACAAATTTTGATCATGGCGCGGCCCTCTAAATTGACCAATCGCAGTGCGCGTTATAATGAGGAGATGAGAATATATTTTTAAGCTTATTAGTTTCAGTTTCTCAACAGCTTGAACTGACGGGAAAGTATTGTCTGCCCATCAAATAAAAATGCGAATTCAATCATTTACCTTGACTAATCCAGAGTCCCTATCATCGTTCAGATTTTTGAAAACGCACTGTTTCCAGTTACTTCCCAATGTTCCTGGTGGTCCCTGAGGGCCTGGGGCTCCTTGGCTTCCTTTGTCGCCGGCAGCACCTTGTGGACCCTCTCGGCCCGTAGACCCTGGAGTTCCTGGTGTCCCTGCCTCTCCTTTGTCCCCTGCTTGTCCTCGAGGGCCAGGCGATCCCGCTACACCCGCGGGCCCTGCCGGTCCAGGACTCCCGGGAATGCCTGGGATACCAGGCGCGCAAGAGCAATGCATGCAATGACTGTGACCACAAGCTCCGTTACTATTTTTACCATTACTGTTATCATCAGTCACTGCTAGACACGATGTGATTAGCGGTAAAATGAGTACCAATAAAGTCCAAATTGGCGAGGCATTCATTGTGGAAAGTAAATCTGTTAAATCCCGATTGATCTGTAGGAAAATGGAGTGAACACATCATTGCATTGAGATGTCACGCAACGCTTAAGGGGCGTGACATATCTACAAGAAAGAAATCACCCATTTTTGACATCATATTCGAACGCATTGGAACGCTTTTCTTCCCCCGTGACGAGTCGCCGTAGTCGAGGAGAGGTTTGCTTGGGTTCTCGCATTATCAATGCTAGATCTCTCACAGACCTCGCACCGGCTCGCGTTGCCCAGAGGGTCTCAACAGGGTTAACCGTTAGCCCTAAAAACGGCCAAAAATATTAGCCGTTAGGCGTAATAATTAAAAAATTTTAGCCGTTAGCCTCACCAAAAGTTAAATGCAAAAATTTTTCTGGTGAACTCAGTGTAAAGATATCAACCGTTAGCCGTAAAATGGCCAAAATTTTAACCGTTAGTCTTAACCAAAGTGAATTGCGAAAATGTTTCTGGTGAACACAGTGGAAAGATATAAACCGTTAGCCGTAAAATGGCCAAAATTTTAACCGTTGGTCGTAGAAGCCATCAGCCCATTGAAACCCTCTTGCGCAAGGCATCATATTTTCGAACAAACATTCTGATGCCGAGCGCTATTGACGAGAGCCTGCTCGTTGTCTAGTAAGTTGTTCTTTGACATAACTATAACACTCACCCGACCTGACGTGGAAGGAGTTGCGTTCAAGTCACAAGACGCCTTGTGTTAAGAAAGAGGCAAACTGTAGTTCTTAGATGTTTGAAAATACTGATTGATTTTTCCTTACTGGACTTGCTTTTCAAGTACAATCACCGGAAATTAGTTAGAATGAAACCTGAACGTGTGACGTATGGGAAATCCTTTGATACAGTTCCGATGTGAAGTAGATCATCAAAATAGATTTGGTTAACAGCGGAAAAGATTTCTGTCAAAATGTATTTCGAAATTTGTAATGAGAAATTCCCAATCACGTTCTGTCCTTCAAATCAAATTAATCCCTACAACTCCCACTAGTGACCGAGTCAGAATTTTTCCTTACAATAACATCAAGGAGACAAGTGGCAAGAATAAAGAAAAATATGTATTAGGAGATTATTTGTAGATCTAATACCAAATTCTCCAAACTTACATCATAAAAATGTTATAGCAGACCGTAAGGAGAATCACTAATGAGATCTTGGGAGTGAAAGGGTTTAAATCAGTTAGGAAAGTGTCCCAATGCTGTCAGGAATGAGAAAGATATCAAAATAGCTTTAAAAAAAAGTTAATGAGTGGTTAAAAAAACACAACCTTTCTCTCCAGTTTAGCCAAAATTTGAGCCCCGAAGTTGCCAATTAATACTTCTGTGAAAGTATTCGTAACCTGAGAGGATGTAAATTTCAACTTAAAGAAAGGTGATTACAATAGAAAAGTCCTTCTGCTCAGTAGAAAGTCGCGATCCACTATAGTTTTTTACATCGTAAGATCCCAGATAGTGTTACGACTGACTTAATGTCAAGGGGAACTAGCTATCGAGCGCACCAAGCCCAGCGAAAGGCACCAGGACTCTCAAACCGTCTTTTTCTGCTTTCTTCAATTACTCGGTTCTCCAGTACACAATTCCACTTACAGTACACAGTAGTGAAAGCTCTTGAATACAGTTTCGAGAGCTCTCAAGCTCATTTTCGAAACAAAAACGGATCGTTCAACATCTAAACCGTTCTGATTGAGAGAAATTAAGTCTAACCGAAGCAGAATGCTCCATCGAAGGGCGTATAAATCAACAGACTGTATCGAGCTTGTTTAAAAATGTTACCTGTTTCCTAGATATTAAAGACAACACACCCTTTGAAAAGGTGATCACTTTACAACGCAAGTACCGATAATGAAAGGCAATCAAGGATTGCTTTAAAGGAAAATAAGTTTGGTAAAAACGCAAAAAATTCAGGCGGAAATTGTTTAAAAAAACGAGGTGTTGTTGTGATCTCATGGATGCAACAAATTTCGAATGCTGTGCGTTATCCTTACCTCACTTCAGCTATGGTCCTTGCACTGATTTTTTTCTCCTGTCACCGCAAATCGAGAGGCACGATATTGTGTTCTGTTGAATATTGTAAAACTTCGAGACGCCAGCTGAATACTCACGCTAACATATAGCCGTGGGTGTTGTCTAGACGTCATGTACGTTTCTCGGAAACTCCGGAACCAAATCAAATCAGCAAGCGATTGACTGAAACGTCATGTTCAAGTGCTTAGTAAACCGGAAGTAGTTTTATTAGAGGTATGTTAGCTCACTTCCGCTCAATCACATTTCAGCTTGAACGAGCGGGGGTCACCATAAATAAAGACATGTCACATAGTTTCAAGCAAATCTGATTGATCTTACAATATCTAACAACGCTCGTAATGTACTTCGTAAAACTCGAATCAATAACGCGTTACCATATCATTTTATGTTAAATCCATCACTTCGTGTTAAGGTCAGCTTTTTTTTTTTACGTTGAATTCTGGACACAAGTTTCGCTTTCGGTAGGAAAGCGTTTGCTTCATAAACATTTCTACTGTTGCGTCACGTCCTTCTGCTCAGTTGAAAGTCGCGATCCACTATAGTTTTTTACATCGTAAGATCACAGATAATGTTACGACTGACTTAATGTCAAGGGGAACTAGCTATCGAGCGCACCAAGCCCAGCGAAAGGCACCAGGACTCTCAAACCGTCTTTTTCTGTTTTCTTCAATTACTCGGTTCTCCAGTACACAATTCCACTTACATCCAAGTTTATTTCATTCTGTGTAACTCTGGTTAATCCCTTAGGCTCTCACACGCTGATTCTCATTGGATACTTCAACTTCAACTGCGGAATTCTGACTCCACTCTACTGCACACTGTCTACGTCAGTTCTTCTCTTCTCTTCTTTCTATTTTCTCTCTTCTCTTTTCTCTCTTCTCCCCACTCTCTTCTCTTTTCTCTCTTCTCCCCACTCTCTTCTCTTTTCTCTCTTCTCCCCACTCTCTTCTCTTTTCTCTCTTCTCCCCACTCTCTTCTCTTTTCTCTCTTCTCCCCACTCTCTTCTAAGTAAACTCTAAAGAACATGCTTATGTATTCACTACTGACTGATATGGGTGGGCATGCTAGCTGGCTGACATTGGGAGATCAATTATTTGTTGTTAGAACGCTAAACCAAACAATTTCACGAGACTTTCGATTTGAACTATTAAGTACTTAGTCATAATGCTTCCGATCAATTAAGTCAACTTCTGACTGAGTCAGTCAAAACAAGAACTTTCGTGTGAGTCCAAAGCAAGGTCAGCAAACAGACCAAGCACGTCCACTTGAGGACGAACCATTTTTATACCAACGTCAAGGCTAAGGTTTTCAACAATATCTTAACAACTTCTTAGGAACGGGTAAAAACGTTATTTTTACTTTATTGATCATTATTTATAGACATGTTGAACGTAAACGGCCGGAACTAACGTACCACTGTGGTCCAACAGGAAAATGACCCAATTACTTCAGGACATGTTTTGAATTTTTTTACATAAACGATGATGCACAGAGGAACAAAACAGTTAATTATCGACCTTAATCTACACGTAATAAACTACTTAGTAAGGTTTCCCGGTCACGTCCGTGTTGCGAACGTTCGGCTTCGTTCACAAGATTAGATGTTCTTTCATGAAAAAGAGCGCATTTCAACATATTCCCACGATAAATAGCGCTATCTGTTTTACCATATTTTTTATTTACTTACCACTTATTCCTACGTTTAGCGGTGTGGATAAGTTCGTGACTTCTTTTGATTTAAAAACCCGCGGGGGGGATCAGTTACGGGAAACAGAAGTCATTCTCTTGATAATTCGCTTTTCTTTGGTTTCGAACCCGTTCTGCCATGTTGAATCACAGCCCGTCAGAACCCTCTCCTTACTCAATATCACATGCACGAGTCTTCAACCAGAAAGTTTCTGTGATCTGCGGACTGCGGACTGCTGCCAGGTCACGCCTTAGTTCATCGTATTCAAGAAGAATGAAATACCTATGAGTGGGGGATGGGAGAGGAGCGATTAACGGGGAGAGGGGTGGTATTCCAAGGGTCTTTCAATTAATTTATCTCGAAATATTTATAACTTTAGCAATCACCTCACAAACATTTAGGAGACTGGATGTGAAAAGGTCGGGCTCTTCGACATGCGATTTGATATCAATTCACCGTGATTTTCCTTTTGGCCACCTCCAATGGGATTCAGTCACCATTCAAAGCATAGTGAAAATACATTTTATGCGGCGGAATAACTCAGAGTTCACCACGATATCAAGCACTTTTCAACTGAGTATTGAAAGTAATCCGGGACTGTTTTGGTTTTGCTTTTGTCTTTTGTCTGAATTTGTCTCCACAGATTTGGCCCATCACACAAGGCCAACAGTAGATATATGTTACGTTAAGGTAGAAGATGCTCTTAAATTGCTTGAGTTGTTGCGTTGCCTGAATTTGCTAGCGGGGTCGATCAGGTATCCCCTTAGCAATATTGGAAGAGCAAAGAATGGAAACATAACTTCCATGCAGAAAGTAAATGTTGATCATAGCACAAATGATTCTAGCAGTAAAAAAGAGGAAGACAAATCGTATTCATTTGAAAGGGTGCTGAGAGATTGGATCTTGAAAATGAAATTAAAATTGATGGTGAAACTCAAGGACGGCAATGAGAAGCCTGTCTTGAGCCAGTTTGCTTGAAAAATTTACGGGTGTTGGTGTTTGTTAACACGACAAAAGCAGCAGAGGAAGCTTATAACTTTCTCAATGGCACTGCAGAGCAAGGAGAGAGTGACTCAGTGCTTTAGAAACATGTCATTCTGAATGATCAAACTATAACTATTTGGCTAGGGCGGGTACATCGGGTAAAGGTAGGATATGAGTTTTTTTTAATCCATGCGGACAAAATATCACTTTGTCTAAAAGCGACATTTCGCTTGACAGGGCTTTGACAAGAAGTTCAAGCCTGAACTCTTTACAAAATTGGTACGGTGACTAACCATGCAAAGTCTAAGCGAAAGCATGTATTGAATCGAAACATTTAACAAAACAAAACAGATGTTCCAGCGTTTACACAATTAGGAACCGGTAACACGAAACTTTAAGTCCTGAAACCAGGAGCCCATTACTTAATAAGTAATGGCCCCTGCTGAAACTGAGTGAAAAATAAAAATCTGAAAGAGACGTTCCAAATCGGTGGTTTCGTGGCACTTTTTGAAGAGACCATTTTTCGCTTGTTAGAAACTTAAATATCCCGTACGTCACAGCGGCTAAACTAGTGTGCATGCTAATAACGAGCAAGAAATTTTACGAGCGCAAAGGAATGGGAACGACGATATTTCTGTAGCAACACTATTGCAGCAATAGGGCGGCATTTTTTCAAATTCCCAAATTTTTTTGTCACTTGCGAAGATAAGCTCAAACTAAAACATGCAGGTAAGGTTGCCGTTTTCAGGAAGGTTTCTGTCGACCCTCATCCGTCACATATCTCACTCAACCAAAAAAACTATCGCTATAACAGTTGTGAATTTTAAGAAGTAGAGCATCCGTATTTTGACCACGAAGTCTGAAGCATTTTTTATCGCTTGAGCGCTTCTTATCATTGTCTCCTCAGTAGGTAAACCTCGTGGAGAAAAAGTTTGTTGTCTCGGCGTAAAAACCCGCGTCAGCTTTGTTTGCAGACGAAGAATAATGGTTGCCATGAACGCTCATACAGTTCTAATAGCGGAGTACGCGCACTCATTTTGCCGCTTTGTCATCCCGTATGGGTCGTATGGGAACCCAGGCTGGGCCGCGCATTGACTAACTGTAACAGTTGGGACAACCCAAGAGAGTAGTGCCATTAATCAAATTTCAGTACGCAGTGCTACATACAATTGTGCCAAAGTTGTGTTCGCGTGACTGTGGTATTTTCAAGATTGTGTCGCAATGTATCCCTTACAGATCATCTTAAGTATTCTACAGAATATTAACTGCACCCACTCCACCATGCTGTATTCAAATTGGTACAGATTCTTTTGTTTCTGTTGCAGTGATAAATCTTGTCACCGAACATGACCAAGATCTAGCTCTCGCTATAAGAGCTTGTGACCAGTCCCGAAACAGTGATGGTTATCAAGCCACTTTCAGCGGGAAAAGAAGGTTCAGGAAGAAATTGAAAAAGAACGCTATTGCTTTCGCTGAGAAGCTGTAATACCCGCCCTGGATTTTTGTCCACACTGCGCGCAGATTTATCCTCACGGTGATCTGTCACCTTTTTCATCACGAATAAATAACGATGGAGGAAGATAGTTTTTGTAGTTTTTAATTTCGGCTTTCGAAAGAAGAAGGATGCTTTGCTTTTGTTAGGAGCACGAGAAATCGAAAAAAAATTGAGTTCCTTACAAAGAATCAGACGTCTTAAGGGTCCGATGTTGTACATGGAAGACAGTTCGTTCGTTAGTTAAGCCATTACAAGGATGCTATGGCTCTAGGTGTTTTGTATACGGCTGGGATCAGCTTTGTCAAAAGCAACGTGTGTGGAAATAGATTTTACAAAATGATAGATTTTCCGTCGATCCTTTTAATTTCGGAGTTTACCATTTGCATCTGCTTTTACTCAATTTGAGCCCATGCTTATTAGATTTCTATTTTATTTATTCCAACTCATGATATTAGCCGCTCATTAACCCTCACTATTTTGATTTTGCTTTTTTAAGAGCTTTACGTATAGTTTTTCTAAGTTTGACAGACTTGACGTAGTTTTAACAGGTTTTAGTCCTGTGGGGGTGGCACTTCTTCCACGTAAATCCGGGATACTGAGTTCCAGCCCGTGTACGCGTCAGCACTTCTGACACCCTGGCAATTGCCGACCCAGAATCCCACGCGCACGATTCCCGGGGGGACTTTCTCACATACACCTTCGATTTGTCGCACCCGGTGTAAATTCTTCTTGTTTCCATTCCCATGTACCATGTACACTAAACCATCAATGGCGGCGGGGGCCGAGCACTCTACGTCGTTGAAGGTGAAATACCACCGCTTGCAGCAAGCGTGGCAGTTGTAGATACTGAGAGCGCTATTCCAGTAAACACGGAGGCCAGTGTTGGGAGACAATTTGTTGAAAACACATTCCTGAAAATATCATCAACAATGGATTGCTACAATCAAGAATCATCTTAGCACAAGGAAGCTGGACCAATTTTTAAGTACTAATTTCACAGAATTCAAGCAAGAAAAAAAGATAACGAAAAAAGAAGCGAATTTGAATTGACTGGTTAGGATGCACCTTCAATGTGTTAAAAATCGGCTTTTTTAAAGCTAGCGACGATTGCAATACTTTCTAACATCAGGTTCTCCAAGTACGTATTACACTTAGCGAGTTTGAGGTCGTTACTGTAAATTACGAACAGCGGTTTTCCTCTTTGATTTATATTGATAATCAAAAAATCCAAGGTTAGATTGTTTATGCTAAGGAAAGGAAAGATAAAGTTTGTTGAGTATCTTTCATATCTCTTCTGTGTGTCTGACTGGTTTGGACAGGGTTCCTTACGCGGAACGCCTTTAAATGGGATGATTAACGCACGTCGAAAGCAAAACGAATCCTTTTCTAATCGATGTCCAGTCGTCAACACATTTTCAGGACATACAATATATAGCAAACGCTTGATTAAACCTTTATTTTCCTATGAAAAATGACACGAATTGGTGATAAATGGCGAGGTGTTTTGGCAACAAACACAAATTTTGACTGTGGCGCTGTCCTCTAAATTGATTAATCGCAGTGCGCCTTATAATGAGACAATACTTTTCTATGCCTATTAGTTTCAGTTTCTCAACAGCCTAAAAATGACGGGAAAATATTTTCTACCCATCAGAGGAAGACACGAATGCAATTGTTTACCTTGACTAATCCAATGTCCCTATCGTCGTTCAGATTTTTGAAAACGCACTGTTTCCAGTTACTTCCCAATGTCCCTGGTAGGCCTTGAGGGCCAGGGGCTCCGTGGCTTCCTTTGTCGCCAGCGTCACCTTTAATTCCTTGTGGACCCTCGCGGCCCGTAGACCCTGGAGTTCCTGGTGTCCCTGCCACTCCTTTGTCCCCTGCTTGTCCTCGAGGGCCGGGCGATCCCGCTACACCCGCGGGCCCCGCGGGCCCAGGGCTCCCAGGAATACCTGGGATACCAGGCGCGCAAGAGCAATGCATCCAATGACTGTGACCACAAGCTCCGTCACTATCTTTACCATCATTGTTATTATCAGTCACTGCTAGACACGATGTGATCAGCGGTAAAATGAGTACCAATAACGTCAAAATTGGCGAGACATTCATTGTGGAAAGCAAATCTGTTAAATCTTGACTGATCTGTAGGAAAATGGAGTAAAAAACACATTATCGCGTATCCGTTCCTTGAGATGTTACGCAACGCTTAAGGTGCGTGAATAACGGCAACGGCGAAGAAATCACTCATTTTTGACACCATATTCATACACCTTGGAACGCTTTTTTCCCTTCGAGACGAGTCGCCGTAGTCGAGGAGAGGTTCGCTTGGGTTCTGGCATCATCAGTGCACACCTCTCGCCGGCTCGCGTTGTCCAGAGGGTTTCAATGGGGTTAACCGTTAGCCCTAAAAACAGCCAGAAATATTAGCCGTTAGGCATAATAATTGAGAAATTTTAACCTTTAGTCCTAACCGAAGTGAATTGCAAAAATGCTTCTGGTGTTTACGGAGGAAAGTTATTAACCGTTAGCCGCAAAATGGCTAAAGTTTTAACCGTTGGTCGTAGAAGCCGTCACCCCATTGAAACCCCCTTGCAACAAGGAATCCTATTTTCGAGCAAACTCTCTCCTGCCGAGGCGCTAATGATGAGGGCCTGCTCGTAGTCTAGTAAGTTTGTTTTCTGCAATAACTGCAACACTTACCCGACCTAAAGTGGAGTGGGTTGCGTTTAAGTTACAAGACGCCTTGTTTTAGGAAAGAAGCAAAGTGTAACTCTCTGATGTTTGAAAATACTGATTGATTTGTCCCCGCTGGACTTGCTTTTAAGGTATAATTACATGAATGTAATTAGAATCAAACCTGGGAAATCCCTTGATACAGTTCCGGAGTAAATAAGATTATCCACTTAGATTTGATTAACAGTGGAAAAGGTTTCTGTCAGTATATATTTAGAAATTTATAATAGGAAATTCACACAATCAAGTTGTGCCCTCCAAATCCTATTAATCCCCACAACTCCAACGAGTGACCAAGTCAGAATTTCTCCTTGCAATATCAATATAATCAGTATCAAGTAGACAAGTGGCAAGAATAAAGAAAAATATGAATGGGTGGGCATATCAGGTGGCTGACCTAGGGAAATCAAACATTTTTTGTTAGAACACTAGACCGAACAACTTTACGAGACTTTTGATCTGAACAACAAAGTACTTAATCATAATGCTTCCGATCGCCTGAGCCAACTTCTGACTGAGTTAGTCAAAACAAGAACTTTCGAGTGGGTCTAAAGCGAGGTCAGTAAACAAATTAAGCACGTCCACTTGAGGAAGTTAGAAAAGGCGGTCACAATTCGGAAACTCATCACGACAGCTCAAACCTAAACAACTTTGGAATTCGAATTCATGCATCAAATACTTCCTAAATATAAACGAAAATTCATAATCATACTGAAAAATCATACTGAACCGACTAACTGATAAAATAACTAAATGCTTCTTAACAATAATACTAATTTAACCATTTTTTATATAAGAACTATTTTTACACCAACGTCAAGGCTGAGGTTTTCAACAATATCTTAACAACCTCTTAGAGACGGTTAAAAAAGTAATTTTTACTTAACTGATTTATTTATGCATATGTGGAACGAAGACGAAACTAACTTAGAACTGTGGTCCAACAGGAAAATTACCCAATTACTTTAGGACATGTTTTGAATTTTTATAACTGTGTTTAACCTTAGGATCATATCAAAAGCAAACGTTCGGCTTCGTCTACAAGATTAGATGTTCTTTCATAAAAAAGAGCGCATTACAGCATTTTCCCACGATAAATAGCGTTATTTGTTTTACCATATTTTTTATTTCACTCACCACTTATTCCTACGTTTAGCGGTGTGGATAAGTTCGTGACTGCTTCTGATGTATAAACCCGCAGGGTGATCAGTTACAGGAAACGGAATTCATAGTCTTGATAATTCGCTTTTCTTTGGTTTCGAACCCGTTCCGCCATGTTGAATCACAGCCAATAGGTCAGAACCCTCTCCTTACACAGTGTTACATGCACAAGTCTTCAACCAGAAAGTTTCCGTGATCTGTGGACTGTTGCCAGGTCACGCCTTAGTTCATCGTATTCGAGAACAATGAAATACTTATGAGTGGGGGATGGGAGAGGAGCGATTAACGGGGAGAGGGGTGGTATTCCAAGGGTCTTTTACCAATTTATCTCGAAATACTTATAACTCTAGCAATCACCTCACAAACATTTAGGAGACTGAATGTGAAAATGAAGGGCTTTTCGACGTGCGATTTGATATCAATTCCCTGAGATCTTCCTTTTGGCCACCTCCAATGAGACTAAGTCACCATTCTCAACATTGTTATCTTTCCAAAGCATAGTGAAAAGATGTTTTACGCGACGGAATAACTCAGAGTTCACCACGATATCAAGCACTTTTCAACTGAGTATTGAAAATAATGCGAGACTGTTTTGGTTTTTCTTTGCTTTACCATTCGATTGGTTCAGAAAACTCGTACAAACTTCTTAATCAATCAGATTCAAAACCTAGAACGAATCGCAATTTGGTAACTCGCGTTTTGCCGAACTTTAGGCAGTGTGTTTGTTTCTACTTTGAGTTCCCATCAGCTCCTTTAAATACTTCCTTTTGCTCTGATTATCTGATATGATTACTCTGGTTTTGATTTAACGACACATTAAAATGCTTTCTGATTCTTTTAGCAGACTTAATTGCTTAATCAATCCAAATCTTTAAAGAGTACAATTGGTTGCAAAAAACCCAGGATCGCGGATCGAATTTGCGTCCTTTGCCGAAGAATTTCTCTCTTTTGCTCCAGACGCGCCTTCTACCTTCTCCCACCAACTCCTCCCCCCCCCCTCCCCCCAAAGGTTGAGAAGAGAGGGAGGGGGTACACACGAACAAGACACGGTTAAGAAAAAGCGTCATAAAATTCTTACCACTTCTTGTGGCAAAAAACAGCATGTTCGGTTTGAAACTCAGATACAAGAGTAAAGAACCTTTTCATTTCGTTTCTTTTTTAAACTATCCTCGTTGTCGCGAGGACCAGTTTTTGCTACCTCAATTCAACTTAGGGCGTCTTCTCACGAACCCAGTAAAATGGCTGACTTGTTTAGCGGGAAAAGGGGAAACTTTCGCTGTGCTTTCAAGCCAAGAGTTTATCTCAGTCACCTAACTATAAGGCTTCAGCTATCAGATATATGTTCAGCCATTAGACCAGCCTGGTATCTGATCAGTTTGTCTTTTGTTTATATGGGACCTATTGGCTACGCTTCCAAATTAACCAACTCAATTATGCAGTAATCTTACTTAAAATTTTTATTTCTCTCTGACGAAGAACTAACGCTCGAAACGTCAGCTTTATAAAACCTCTGCGGTGGCCAATTTACATTAGCAACTCAGTGGATAAAACCAAATTATCTTGTATCACCCCCTACCGACGGAGCACCACAATTTCGTTAGAAACTAACCCTCTTTATTACTTAAATTAACTTTGCAGTTCCTTTTAATCAGACAAGTTACCGTCCATACCGCAGCTGTTGAATATGATAGAACAAAACCAGTCGTAATGAGGTGGCTAACAACCACTGTGCATGTTTCACAAGACTCTCTCTTGGCAAGTTCAGTCAATATTTATTTTTCAATCTCTTCTTAGGAAAAGTGAACATTACAGTTCAAACTTATACTGAGCTACTTCAGTTGGCGGACTTCTTTATCAATATTCCTCAATCCACTTGATCAAAAAATGTTTAAGGGATCATGGTGCGCTCTCGTTTTCGGAGATCCCATGAAGGTACAATGATAGACTAATCCTGAGTCTCAGTGAAGGTTTGTGTAGCAGTTAGTTACAATAAAAGTCTATACACGAGCCAAGTGATCTTTCCAGCCGGAGCTCGTCCAAGTTTCCATAGCATTAAACGACTAGAAGTATTACTGCTGCTACTCCCCCCTGGTTTGGATGCCACAAGGTTTCATCAGGCGTCCCTGACACTTTGCCGCTACCCATTCATACTCCTGGGTGGAGAGGGGCGCTGTGAGAGTGAAGTGTTTCGCCTCAGAACACAACACATTAACCCGGCCAGGTCTCGAACCCAGATTCTCGACCCAGAGTCCAGCGCAATAGGCTGACCTTAAGGCGAGCAGGGGTCTCCCACATTTAGCTACAATGAGTATATCTAATCCTACTCAATAGTATTTTATACGATTGCAAGTAACTCCTCCGCTTGTATTTACCTTCCCGGGTGAGCCTGGGCAAAGAGAGGTGGGAGAGATGCATTGAAGGAGTAAAGTTTCTTGTTAAGAACGAACAAAACGACCCGGCCTGGGCACGAACCCCAGCCTCAAGACCTGGAGTTCAGCACGATTGACCGTTAGCCATACTGCGTCTCCCAAAAGAGAAAGACACAGTTAACTACGGTAGTACTGGTCTTCGAGTCTTGGTAAAAGTTGCATGATTCCATTGAAAACCTAGGAAAGATGGCGGGTCATCGTGTACCACAAGCGTTGATAGATCTCGTCGGTTCCCACCAGCGTGAATGGAGATTGTGTTGAGAGTAGTGTTGCGTGTGAGCGAGGGAAATTGGAAAATTCTCTTGAAACCACGTTGAAATTCGTTGGATCTGATCATGTAGATAATCGGGTTCAGAGCGCTGTTGATGACAACCACCACAACAACGGCCGACATAACTGCGTTGGGAACTCGACTGGGACCAATTGTTGCTGTGATTAGCAAACAAATGAATCCCGGGAGATAGCAGAATGCAAATGCACCAACTACCATCGCTGAAAAAAAATGAAACAAATCAAACGGCGTTATTGTATTTTTCATATCCCTCGAAGTCGAGGGAAACTCTTGGGTGAGCAGAAAAAGAGCCCCTCCCTGTGAGTGACAAAGCTGAGCCCGGACTTAATATGTTGTTAGATACTTCAACCTCCCAGACATGAAACAGGCATCACGCAAAACTTGGGCTCATGAGGCAATGGCAAGGCGGGTGCACGTGAAGAGACACGTGCGACGTGAAAGGCATTTGTTTAGGGGTGTATCTTCGCCGATGGTTGCTTTAGCATCAGCGCTTCCTCCTCGACTCAGGGCATTTTCGCGCCACTTTAGTCGAAAAAATGGACAAGCGTTATTTTTTTGCAAGCCATCCCTCACGCACGTTTCACTCCCATAGCGGACCTAGCGCAGAGCATGGTTTCCAAGGTTTTTAGTCTTAAACGAGAAATGTAGGTTCACTATTAAGCGTCTTAAATGAGGTGTTTTCTCGACTGGAAACCTGAAACAGTGTGTACTTTTGGCACGAGGTCTATATGTGTGGTACTAATAACTGTTATACTTGAATCTTATGCTAAAAACAATTTTGCTTGAATGTGTTATCTAGACGCAGTCCCCTCAGATCAACTGGCCACAACTTACGCAGATTATAAAGCGCTTCGAGCATCTTACCTATGGTTCGCATCCACTTCATTTCTTTTTTCTTTTTTCTCTTCATTTCAGCTGCTTCGAGATTCAGGTTTTCACCGGGTTCGACTCTGTTGTTCTGAGACCACGAGATCTTAGCCAGACGACCGTACACGAATAAAATCACTGCAAAAGGGATACCAACGAAGAAGGTAATATTGAACGCAATATGACAGGTATGTTCCAAGGAAGGCTTATCAAAATTCTGCGAACAGCCAATAATGCTTCTCCAGTAGTCAGAACGACTGGAATTGCCATGAGTCCAATTTGAGACCGTAATAGATAACACCGGGGCAAACCAAGCTGCAAACAACGCACGGCTGACGCGCTTTTTGGTGACGATGGCTGAGTACCTCAAGGGATACAATATCGCCGCGTAGCGATCGCAGCTGAGGAGACAGATGTGAGTAATACTGACATACAATGATATGGTTAACATCCCCAAAAAGTACTCACTCACTTTACACGCGGCTTCATGTTCGTACAGCCATATCAAACGAAACACGAGAAATGATAACAGAGAGAAGTCGGACACTGCTAAACTAACAAGGACAGAACTGTTCGGTTTTTGACGGAGAGATCGCACATGATAAACAGCCAGGCAGACACAGATGTTGCCAAGAAAGTTTACCACTAATGTTGCGCTCAAAATGGTCGTTTGTACCGCTGCCGACATGGCGGTCGGAAGGGTTGTCGCAAAAGTAGGACTGGAATTGAGAGAAGTGAAAGTAGAAGCGGACATGTTTCAAAAGCTTCTTCCAACGATGTAATTCATTGAAGTGTTCGAGAGACTCTCGTTCGATCAAATTACATCCTGATGTTTTGAAGCAAAATAAAGAGTAAAAGACCTTTTGAGCAGCTTAAGTTCATTTCCTCCTAATTGAACAAAAAGCTGCCATACCCAAATAATTTTTAAGTGGACGAGATCCTAACAATAAACGCTGGCAGAATTTATATAAATATGTATTGACTCAAAATTTGGAAGGAAATTCCCCTGTTCCGGCGATTCTTCTAGCGTTAAGTTTTCAGCACACTTAAGAAATTAATTTCTATTTACTTCAACCATAAACTAGGTGATGTATGACGCATAAAATGCAGGTGCCAACGGTTATTCAAAGATTTATCAAAAAAATAACTTATTTGATAAAGTTAGGATAAAAATTCAGCGTGGGATAGTAAACTTTATCTTGAATTAAGGCGCCAGTGTATAAATCATCAATATCAGGCATATAAATGTGATATTGTTCACAAATAGGATAGAGAAAAATTTGATAAGAACATGCAGTTGTTCAGATCTATTCCTTTTCCTATGATATCAGTCATTTTGAGAGTTTTTTAGCTCATTAAAATTCGAGCTTTGATAAAAATCTAAAGATCAATGTTCTACCCAGCAAATTTTAACAGCATTGGAGTAAAGGTTGAATTAAAGTGTGTTGACAATCGGTGAACTGGTTCGTGCATTATTTAGAGTACATACGGTTCTTGGGAAACACGTTTTGCGTTTAACAAAACAAAGAGAGTTTCACGAAAAATTTCCCACGGGTTAAGAATGTTCCTCCCCGCATTAATCGTAATACACATAGACATGAAGTCTTAAGCAGATCTTAGAATGACTCTGGTGCAGATGTTTCCGACGATATCCGCTACTTCAGTTTTATTTTTTATTTTCTTTTTTACAACCCTGGCAAACAGCACGCCGTGCCAAAGATTAATTCAGTAATGGTGAACAATTTATTTTTGACAGTTTTATTCGACGTAAGATATGCGACGTTTAAAATGGATTGAGTTCGTCGCTTTCAATATCTCCGTAGGCACATTTCCCTTTTTGACCCGTTATGTGATAAGTAACGATTGAGCAGTTTAGATAAAACCTTATCTTACTTTTGAGAAGTTCTTGAAAAATAAGTGTCGTTATTGTCACCATGTGCACCTGTCGATAATGATGTTTGCACAAACGTTTTCAAGGCAATTAAGTTTGCCAAAATCAAGACCCCTAATTTTCTCATCTTATTCATGATTGTCATCCATCGCATCGAATCATGATAACGTAAGCATTTAGACAGTTACTTGAGGGTCAGTTTTGATAATTTGTCCTGACACTGTTTATATGTTTGCGTCCAAAACGCAGGAAAGTGTTGTTTTCCTAAAATAGAAAAGAAAATTTAATTGCGACTATTCAACCGACATGAAAACAATTCGCACAAAGGCAAGGAAATAAACTTGCAGTGAACGTGCTATTTTTAAAGGGATCTTCGTCAGACTACGTACAAAGATTTTCTCGATAAACGTGCTGGTAGAGCTAAGCTCATTGTTGCACGGTTTTAGCGCTATGAGACAATGGACTTATCTAAATACATTGGGAAACTTTCTCTGCAACCATTAGGCCGGCTTTCTCAAACTTTTATTGTTGGTTTACTAGTTCCCTAGATTCAACTCAGTTTTCAAACTGGTTTCGTAAATTCAGTTGTAGCTTGATAATTTTTCGATTTTAAAGATTTTCCTTGATCTGCAAAATTAATCTTCCGCGGAAAAAAACAGATAAGTTTAAAAAATTTACCATTTTCAGTCAAATACAAATCCAAGAAGACTAGGGAGGGTTAGGGCATGTTTTCGCTTTATTTATGTTGTTGCTGTTCGCTTCTTAGAGCAACAAGATATATTGTGTATTGGCTTCGAAGTATTATAAAAAAACACGTGCTGAAACTTAACAAGTCATGAAAGTTGTCACTACCTTTCTTTGACTGTTCACATTCTGCTGCTCGAACAGAAAATTGTGTAAAAGTAGTTCCCTGAAAAAGTTTTCGAACCACAAAATAACACACTGAACAAAGAGAAAAACTAAAAGAAAAACGCTAAAGAAAAACACCAACGATCGTAATCTGCGGAATGTAACTCCACGATAATTTTTGAGGCACACGGTGGGTGTTTGCTTAGCTGCTTCTTACGTGCAGCCTCTCAGAGTTTTAGTCTGTATTCACAAAGAATGACAAGCATGACCTTGGAATAAAGCTCGCAATTTCCTTTGCAACTTTTTCTCATTTGTTCAAACAATGAGCGTTTCGTGTTAAACGTGGGGGAAAATTGAACATGTGTCTTAAAGTGCGAGCCAGTTTCTAGTGGTCAGCGTTCTAAATAATACGGCGTTAGAAGGAAAACTGGGTCTAGTTTATATCGCCGAGGCTTGCTGGTAAAGTAACCAAGAAAATTCATCAATTTTAGACCGCGAACTGTTGTGCGAATGTTTCCCCATCCGTTTAAAAAACAGGTTCCGAGGTGACTTTAAATATTGAAATAAAAGCTAAATAACACAAGTCAAGTTACATAAGCAAACTTTGTTGGTCAATGACATTCATTATGCGCCATCAGGAATCTATGATTATCTCTTGGTGCCGTAAGTTCTTAGTAAGAAACCTAGGCCTGCGCCCGCGTGACATGCTATCATGTATGCCAACTTAATATGTCTCCTAAGAGCAAGGGATGCAAATATAGTAAATTTGCCTTTAGCGAGCTCCGCACCGCCTCTATCTTTCGGCGCAAACAGGAGAAGGATGACAAAATTACAAGTAAGGCAAAATCGAAGAACCATCCATAAACGTAATTTTAATAAGACCTATTAATATTAAATTTAAAAATACTCTAACAGCCCTAAACAACTGGTCTCGTACCCAGAACTTTCATGGCAAAGTGGTTGCAGTTACATGTTAGGATCTGAGTACGAGATAGCCAGACTACTGCTAACACTGACCCCGATACCCAATCCCCTCCTCTTATCTAAAATACAATTTTTTTCCCTGAAATAAGCGCTTCAAGGCTTTGGTAATTTATTGTTATCTTATGTCTCATGAACAGCTCCCAATGAAGTTTCTAAGGAAAACTGAGATTAAATTGGCTTTGTTTTGCTCTGTGATTAGTCTAATCAAGCTGTATCACCTCCTCAACCAATCAGATGCAAATGTTACATCAATGGAACTTGGTTACTGTCGTTTTCCCGCGCTTCAGGACGTTTAAAAGTATCTTATTTGAGTTCTGATTGGTTCCTTGTAATATCACTGTCACATCTCAGTGGTTGCTGTGACTGCTTTGGTTTTAAAACGCTCAGTTGAAATGCCCTCTATCATGATGAAAACGTATTTACACACAAATTTGAGACTACTTTCAGCTAATCGAGTGGGATTTTACAACCAGACAACTCTATCTGATTCAAGTTTGTGAAGTGAAGAACTCGTCGAGAATCGTATTTTCAGCATCGCTCTGTGGTTGAGAAGAAGTCCTCGGTAATAACTTCGCTTGATACACCTGTCGTCCTCTATCGTCTATTTGCGAGATCATAAGAAAATCAGGAGTAGCTTCGAGTAAAGTAAATGCTCCAGTTTGTCCATTGAAATACCTGAAAAATGTCACACTTAGATTAACAACAAAATACATAAAAAACGCATAAACTAATCTCTATCTTAACGTAGGCAGGCAAAGGTCAATTCCACCTTGGCGCACAAGAAATAACTTCAGCCTCGTTTCTAGACCCTGGTCTTGAAGAAAAACGCCGATAGCTGGTCAAGGCAACAAGGGCTCGTGGAGAGAGATCGCAGAAACTAAAACTCTAAGACTTGCATTGTCACGCCATTCAAACAATGTTGTTTATTACCAGGCTAGGGGTGAAAGGCTATGGTTAGGAATTTTTTGCTGAAAATTAAGCTGGTTTTCTCACCCGTAAATCGCGTTTAGGCCCATGGAAAGAGATCGCAGAACTAAAATTCTAAAACCTGCATTGCCACGTCATTCAAACAATGTTTATTACCAGGCTAGGGGTGAAAGTCCATGGTTAAGAATTTTCGTTGAAAATTAAGCTGGTTTTCTCTTCTGTAAATCGCGTTTATATCCGAGATGGTTTTGAAGTAGTTAATTCCAAAGAAGGCTAAACTTCTCAGCGACCTGACTGAACTAAACCCACTTTTAATTAAATTACTCATTGCAAATTCAACTATTTTTGACCTCATCATTGTCAATTTAGAGCTTAGAGACCTTCAGACTAGACAGGAAACTCGATCGAGAGGTACTACTAATTACAAGGCTCAAGAAACAATGGAACTTTGAAATTCAATTAAAACCGGAAGTGCATTAGTCATAAATGATACATGTATAACATCTCAGCAACATGAAAGACGCTTGTTACCCATGACTTTAGTATAAGTCCTCGATCTCTGATGAGTTTCCTGTTACCCACTGGAAAAAGATCCAACTGCTGAGTCGAAATGTCTCGTTCTTTGGTGGAAAACAAATTTTTTTCCTTTTTCCTATACTTAAGTCAAATAAATTTAACCATCTTTTACACTTCCATTTCTTATGATTTTTCTTTAAGCGTCCTTACTCGACCACACTTCAGTGCATGGCTTCTTATCCCATTGATCATGTTCTTTGTTTGTTTATTCACTCTGGCAGTAAAGGAATTTCAAAATGGATGACCGTAATAAACAGACAGACACGCAAACAGTCAGACAGGGAAAAAGGACGAGAATTGCAGCAATTAGCTATTCGTCAGACAAATCTCTATCTATGCAGGTAGACGACTGTCGAGAAAAACACGGGGACAAACAAGGGTAAGGGCAGGCAGACAAAATCAACAGTAAGACAAACACATTGAAAGACCAACAGACAGACAAAAGTAGAAAAAGTGAGAACAGCAGATAGTTGAGAAAACCGACCATCAGACCTAAGTCAGATAACAGACAAATAAAATGAAGATCCTTACAGACAAACAGACAGACTGACACTATGCAGTGAGATAGACACACTTGCAGCTGTACAGATTGTAATTCGTACGAGCAAATGGAACAAACAGATCTAACCAGGAAGAAAATGAAGTCTTAGATTGTCTCAGATCAACTGATTCGATTCGTAGTACTTACTTCAGTGACGATTTTACTTTCCACTTGTGTTCTTCCAATGCATTGAAGAAATTTCCATTTCCTGTCACAAAGTAGTGCACGTTAGAGTGCTCTTCCTTGAGATGCTGAGGGTAAACCAAAAAAATTTCGAATGTTATTCTTCACGTTCTCGTAAGTACAGTAAATCGCCATACAGTACAGACCCTCGGGACTAGGAAAATTTAACGGAAGTGTCCCTTCTGTAATCGTAGCAGACATAAAGGTTGAAAGAACATTCGAGAAATTTACGCCAAGAACAATTTTGTTGATAGAAACAGTACAATAAGAATAATTTGAGGGCGAATCGCTTCTGCGCAAGATTAGAATTAGCTCTCACTTACTTGTAGATTGTGATCATGACCGCTGAGATAAACTGTGACGTCGTTCTCCTCCAGCAGTGGTTTAAGTTTAGATACCAAATACAGAGTGCTGCCATGGATACCAGCTGATAAGACTGGATGATGGCCAGCTACTATCAGATAATCTGCTCTGAAGTATGATTAAATGGCATGGTAAGAGGATTTCATCTCACCTTTCACATAAATATCTTAAACATAACAATGGTTTCACTCACCTTGAGTCTCTAAGCGTTCGCTCGATCCATTCTAACTGATCTTTTTGACTCGGCAGATTCTTCAACTTTTTTTGACTAATTAAGAGAGAAATAAAGTTAAAAGAAAGCAGCCAACAAGGTATCTGATGGCTGTAAATTGCATGGAGATTCGTTTGTAACTTTGACTACTGTTTTGAGACAAATTGTGTATCTAAAAAATTACGGAATTCACCTAATTGCGGACACTTTCTTGGCATCCGGAAGACGCCAGTAAATTTAAAATTCAATCTTGTAAAAAGGTTATTTAATATCTTGTAGCTTTATTTTTACACTTGCTTGATAATCCTGTTGAACCCATGTTTGTCGTTACGTTAAATTTTGTTAACAGTTTGTAACGCGACAAGGTCGGACGAAGAGAAACCTGGATTGTTCTTGGTTACCCGCCGTTATCCCAAAAAAGATTCAAACCGATTTTAAGAATTTCGTATCTCTTCGGTAACAAGAACAATCGTGTCCTGTATTTCCGACGATGGGATCGCAAATCACCTTCTGAGCAAGAAAATCGCGATAATTTTGCAATTCTATGGTGCAAGTTTCTTTTTTTAGACCTAAAAGGCCCCCCCCCCCCCAAAAAAAAAAAAAAAAAAAAAAAAAGGAACAGGCTTCTATGCCTCTATATCGTTTTCCCTAATGCTCGGTCAACAGGACCGGTGGGTATATTATGTATAGAAAATTGAAGTTTGAAAGGACGAATACACTTCAGGTGGAATGTGAAAAGACTTACTTTTTACAGCAGAGCAGAGTTGTATCCAACATTACAATTTGAACAGTTTTTGTTGATCCAGGGATCTGCATTACTGAAAAGAACACAAAGATCATATGCTATGTAACACATCTAACGGTTTGATGATGTTACAGAGTAAAACTTTAGAAAAAGGAGAACAGGAAAGAGAGGAAGAAATAGGAGACAGGGCAGATTAAATAAAAAAAAATCGTATTTTGAAGCAAATCTTTGAATTCAGTTGTGTTTCGTACAATCTTTGAAGCACAGGGCAATGAGCTCATTTTTGTATTTAGCAAACAAAAATAATCACCGCATGGAAAGTAAAGAAAAGGGAGAACTTAGATTGTATCATGACAAAAAATTTCCAAAAGACACCGTTTGATTGGCGTGCTAGCGCATCGTTGCGAGCATCTCTTTACCTGCGGAAAAGTTTTTGGGTAGGATTTTATGGTTACTGGTTAAGATTTTGGCCATTTTACTGCTAGCGATTCATTTCTTGAACTTTTCATTCGACAAACGGTTAAAATTTGTCAGTTTTTATGGCTAAAGGTGGATCCCTCAAGTATGAAGCCTTGAGCAACGCAAGCCAGCGGCAGGAATGCAAGATGTTCTGTCACTTATATTAGTGCCAGACCCCCTGCAAACCTCTACCCGACTCGTCTCAAATCCTCACACGGCAGGGGAAACACGCGTCGTGTAGCGCTTATTATTATGAAGGTCTGCTCGCAGACTCAGTGCCGTTCGGCCGTGCTTAGACATTCACTACATTGATAAAGAAACTCTTATCTTCCCCGCCAAGTGGCATAATAATGTTTTGGGTCCTTCTAGGAGTCATTTCTTCCTTTCTGTTTTTTTTTCTGCATAAGTGAGGTGGTTTTCTTCTGTGGGAATTCTTCGGCCTAGCTCTACAATATTTCTGTCAATAAGCCCGCTTTTAGAATAGTTCACAGGCAAGTATCGATATTCTTCACCTTAACTTAAGAGTGAGAAATTTGGACAAATTATAAAACTTCTTCACTGCCCTCTTTCAATCAGAATGTTGCGTGAAGAGCCCCTTCGATAGAAATAGTTCAAATACCCAGACAAGAAAAAAAGTAATGATAAAAAAAAACGTGGCAAATCTACAGAGGAATGTGTGTTTCTGGAGTTGTTGTGTCTAAAATGCCAACCTGGGACAAAAGATTGCATTTCAGTTTTACAGCAGGTTAAGAATTACAAAGTGCTTGATCAGAAACAGCCTGAAAGTGAGAACCTTACCTCTAGAGTAAAAGAAATCCGGAAAGTGCCAGCGGTGGGACACCTTAGTATAGGCTATCTGTGCAGACACATTAGAGGCGTGGTCATGGTTTCCAGCGATCATATACCACGTGGCTGATTTAAGAGCGGGGTTCGTATACACGTGCTCAAAGGTTGAAAAAAATCGGGGATCTTCCACTGACTTCACACCTTCATAATAGAAATTGTCGCCTAAGCCAAGCACAAATTTTACTTCTTTTAAGTCTGCGTACTAGAAATAATGAGGAAAAACAAACATCATTCAACAATCTTTGTCGAGCTGTCTGGCAATTTTAAAATGGCGAGTCAGTATTGAGTAACTTGGGTTCACGCTAATGGAAACTGCACACAGAAAGAATCAAATTCCTGCTGTCTGTTTTTAAAACGAATGTGAAGTATGGTGAAAATGCTTATATTTTTCGTGATCAGAAGATATTATCTGTTGAATTTGTTCAACGGCTACGGAGAGGAAAAGAAAGCTTCAAATTAAAAAGTTAATTTTGTTGTTGGCGTTTGCGGAAAGTTTGGTTTAAAAGCCTTCTATCCTAGTTTCGATTATTACTCTTTTACGGGCTGATTTAGGGCCGTTTAACTTGTTTTTGGTTTATCTTCTTTGCTCTCTATGAAGGGTTATATAGAAGACAAAGCAGATGAACTTAAACTGAGCTAGACGGCCCTAAATTAGCTCAGATAACTCACATGATGCAAGGGTCAACCACTTAAGTGAGGTACGTTTGTCTTCATTCAAAACTAGTTCAGCTTTTTATCCTCATATTTCGCCCATTGCGCAACGTAAACATATTTGCATATTTATGAAGGCTCTTTGCGCGAGCATGGGTTACCTGTGATAAAACTGCAAAATTTCAAATGCGAAGTTAAAATAACTAATTCGAACACTTAAGCTGAAGTTTCAAATTGCGCATGAAATTAACTATTCCCAGAACGGCTTTATGAGAGACTGCGTAGAGAATGAAGCCTTAAGCGCGTCAAAGACGCCAAGTTCTTTTTATGCATTTTATAAAATTTCCAGCGGTTTTGAAAAGGAACTCAGAAGAGATAATAGGAAGCTTGAACAAGTCGTTTTATTACAGACTTTCAGACTTGTTTACTTCTCCATTTACCCTTATATTAACCCAGCAGTTAGAAAATAAAGAGATTCTTTCACAAATAACAAGACACCCATTAAGTGCTGAAATGTGCTCGCATTTTTGTCCGCAGAGATTACACGTTCCGTAAAGTTCCTGATAGCGAAGCTCGAGGAACAGTGCAATGTCTGTGAATAAAGCTTAAGCTTTTTTTCGTGTCGACTGAAGGCTTTTAAGTTTCTTACCCTTCTTTTGTCTTAAAAGCGGATGGGAAAAAACACTTACAAACAGTTTTTTTTATTATTATTATGACTTTTTTCAGGTTTCTTTCTTCTCTGACAATTCTAAAACGTTGTCTGAAGGTTAATTTCACTTTTCATCGTATCGAAGGAAGGGGGGGGGACATACACTCAACAACATTAACCCTTTCACTACCAAGATCTGATAAGTAATTCTCCTTACTATCTGCCATACAAATCTTATGATGTTAGTTCAGAGAATTTGGTATTGGATCAGCTAATAATCCCATGATTGATATTCTTCTCTATTCTCATCACCTGCCTGCTTGATATTGTATTGATATTGTAAGGAGAAATTCTGTCTTGGTCACTTGTGGGAGTGAAAGGGTTAACTAACATTTAGGGAATATCGCTTCTAACCCTGCGTTGCGCAGTTTAAGCCTCACTGTGTCGGAATTATTTGCTGGTTCAGTTTTAATTCAAACAGAATTACAGACGCCTGAATGCATTCAGTGCGAGGTCACTTGCATAGTTCAGATTGCAATATGTTTCATACTCGATAACCCTTATCGGTTGGGTGAGAATCTTAAGAATATTTCATTCATGAATCATAGATAGCGTCAGCTTTCCGCAAATCAGATTAATCAATCTTTTAAATCTACTACTAAGCTGTGATGAAAAATTTGTCCAGCTTTAGCCATGCGTGACGTCACTCGCACGATGTTGGTTTCTTCTTCTAGAGGGGGGGGCTATTAATCCCATTTTCATGTCTCGCAATGTTACGTGAGGTTTGCCCTCTATGCGTGAATCTCCCTTCCTTTTTTCCTTTTTTTTTTTTCTCTTGCAAATCGGATTATTGGGCGCTCACCATATGAAGCTGATTAGATTCTAGTTTAAGCGTGGATTTTGAGAATTCTTCAACATGAGTTAAAACATCTTTTCCGATTTATTCAGTCTATCCCCTCGATAAGTGACTAAGGTGTGTTACTTATAATTGTGTGCTGATTATCTTTGAGGATTTTCACTACTTAAGTTTGATACAATGGCATATATAAACCGATAACCGGTGTAATCATATCGGAAGATGAAATCTATCATTCAACAGGAACCACCAAAAAAGATTGTTTTTTTAACATAACTTACTTTATTTAGCTTTGCGTCGCATAAATTTGCCACCCACTCGAATACTGTTCAGTGGCTGCCGATAACTCGAACCTTCAGAGGAAACTAAAAAAGGTTTGAATCAATCAGAATACGAGCTATTTTGAGTTGAGAACAAATAAGAGGAAATTAGCAAAAATAGTGTTTCCTTTATCTCTAGTCATACAGCGAACGTTTAATCAAAATTTAGTTCTTGAGGGTCTTAGTTTGAAAAATAGAGTCTCAAATCGGTAAAACCCGGTAAAAAATAGCCGTTTTGAGTGATGTATAATAAGAAAAAAAAAAGAATCTACGAATGCTACTAAATCAATTCAATTTTCTTGATTTTGGACTTGGATGCTCCGTGTAAGAACTTGTTATAAATTGTCTAACTCTAGTTCGGGTTATCGAGGGTAAAATTGTACAGAAAATGATCCCAGGAGAAACAAAAATTGTTTTGAGTCCGCGTTAGGTTATAGTTCAATAACGTTCAAGTTACCGAAGGTAAAAACACGCTAAGTCTGTGAAAGAAACCCTTAGGAAATCGATTTTGGCTGTTATTGCGAAGATAGAGATAACTTGGGTTTGAGTTATTAGGAGTGAACTGTTTAAAACACTCTGATTTCTTTGGCTCAAATTTGAGTGAGATTGAAAAATTTCTCTTTTCTAATGCAGGAGAGGCATCTTGTGTTCAAAAGAAGATATGGATTTAAGGTTTCACCTTGCCGAAAATTATCAGTTCCTTTGGTGTTGAGTTTCAATCACGTGTCCTTTAAAATGAGTGCTTTATCGCAACGGCTCCAGTTTGGCGCGAGTCTTATCTCGCGACCAAATGGTCACTAAATTATCCTCTGACACCCATGTCAAAGAAAAGTCTCATTCTCACTGATTTAGCACTGAAAGTCCTAAGTGAAGTTTTGAATTCGAACAGCACAGCTGAAAAAGCACTTTTTGCAAATTAAACAACAGCTGAATCAAGGCACTTGTAAATGCGGAATTCATTAAAGCTGATTTAGATTAAATGCATTGTGCTCAGCAAAAGCGTTTTGAATCGTTTATAGAGCATTTCAGTAACTAGTTACTTCGCTAAACTGTCCTTACATGTCAAATAACGTATTATTTACTTAAGACTTAGTAGGCGCCCAGGACAGATGATACAGAGGAATATTCCAGATGCAAACGTTTAAGACAAAGATAATAACTTGACACTTGTTTTCAGGTGACAGCTCACTTAAGTGTTTGGGAAAACTGAGAGCGAGTTTTCTATAAAAGCAAGTTTATTCCGAGGACATCTATCCAAATATTCACTGATCTACCGAAAAAAATCAATCCTTCATGGATCTTCATACGAATTGTGATCAACATTCATTGAAAATGAGAATTTTATTACCTTACGTTCAAGCGGAAATAAGCTTTCTCTTAGCAAGAGCTCATGAAGAAAATATTCAAGTTGCTAATATGATACAATTCATAAATTACTGAAAAAATCTCGATGGCGATAAGAACTGGCAGAAATTATCTTCAAGTGTTTTACGAGCCAAATTTGTGACATTTTTTACTCAATTCGAGAAGGATATCACAATTGTTAGTTTCGGTTCTACGAGAAATATTCCTTGTTAAAAAATTCCGAACCATTGGTTGCCGTGTACTGAATGTGCTATGGCTTGCATAGTTTCCATGATCTATAAAACAAAATTGCCAACGTGAAATTTTATTTAAATTCAAACAGGATACCGTCAACTCCGCTTTTTCGTCTCGACTAAATGAGAAAAATTTGCAATGAAAAATTTCCTACAACCTTAAATACCGTGTCAAGCATTACTTAAAGTAAAAATTTACATTTTTAGACCATAAATACTAGATTTTAATTCTATTCAAATGGTTCTGTTGTTTGTTTCAGCTCTATGGGAGCAGTTTCACCCAAATAAATTTATGAAACATTGGTTACCATGTAAGCGTTATTTGAAATCGACAGCTAACGAACCAGCTAGAAAGATCAGTTGCCTGAGGATCAGTTGGTATTCCCGTCAATAATTTATCACCCTCCTGAACTTGACCACTTCAAGGTTTCCGGAGGATTTGGCCGACTAAGTCATCCGATTAATAAAAATTAACTTTAGGCGCCTTAGTTTCGACTTGGGTTATTTTCACTTCGGCTAGATTATCTCGGCGCGCCTCGCGAACAATTACATAGGCTTTGGCAGAGACGCTAATAGTTTTGTTTCTCAGGCTCCTTGAAACACAAAACACCAGTTAAATTGAATAGAGAAGTACAAGCAACCGGTCACAAAATATAAAACGGATCAGAACTCTGATAAGCAAATCGTTTTAAAGTCGGTAAGCGACTCTTGAACACTCACCTTCCCCATCACTTTGGCTATCTTCTTTTGCATGTATGTGGTATATGGCGGTAGAGGAGTTCCACCGAAATCTCCAATCGCAGCGAACGTGAGTCTTGGATATTCTGTAGCGCCGACATGGAAACATATCTGTGAGAACAGAAACAGGAACAAGATTCTAACCTCCTCCATTCATCTCCTGCCATGAGTCGTTTTCGATTGTTCTACATTCCACCTCTGTGGCTTTTCATGTTATAATTGAACTCTCGAATCTTACTTGTCTCATTAAGCTGTCATAATAAGACCTTTCATGACGTAAATTTTAACTCATGATCTACGCACGCGCAATGGCACCTGTGTTTTAAGTGGCTTAAGTCAACACCTTGGTGTAATTGAAATAGTTAAAGCATGCATGCGCTTGACACTATAATTTTGCTTTTTAAAGGTAAAATCTTGCCCAATAGCGTGAACTGATCCTTAAAAACTGAAGTCTTTTCTCATATTGATTGTATAAAGATTGTTATTTTAAAACGAAAAGACGGCTAGTGTAAAGTAATTGAATCCTTATGATCTCCATATTTAGTTCTCGCTAAAGCCGCGGTTTCAAGAGAAAAAGGGCTTATTTTTCGAAGTGATAATTTATTTAGAGAGTTTCCGCATATCTAGATTGGTGGAAACTGACTTTCGAACCGAACTGAACCGATCTCCAACCAAACCGGAAAGCACGTTAGCTCACAAAGGGCTCTTCAATTTATTTTTACTAAAAGGGCAAAAAACACAATAAGCATCTTTTTTCACTTATCAGACAAAAACGAACCAAAGGATGTTTAGGAGAGGCCGCGGCGAAATGAACGAACACCTCCAGCCACAAATTCTCGCTTTGAACAATTAACAATTGTAATCACCAACCTTTTGAATTTTAAAATAAAGGTTATGAGTTTATTTATAGAGGGATGAAAAGTGATCCGTTGTCGCGGTGCTGTGAAAGCTTTTCCCTTGAACAAATGGTGTGCTCTCCGTTGTTACTTCCGGCTGGCCGCCCGTTCCTTTAGACTCGACTGATTCCAGACTTCTCGATTGATTGTGACAAACACGATGAGCGACTCTTTCCCCAAGGTATCCTATCGCGCTATTTATTTCAGCCCTTTACTCCCTCACATGATTATGCATATTCTCCATACTGTTCTCCATACATTCTTAAGAAACCGACGAGGAGAATTTCTTCAACAACCAAGAGCTTCTTTAGTTGGTGATATTTCCTAGAAATAAGTGGCTAGTCACTCGTACGAGTCGAAAGGTCAAGCATTTTAACGCAGAGACCTTTTTGCCATTAATTTCTGACGTTTAAAGTTTTCTCAGCAAAAGTGACTGAGGGTAAAGGTACTATGTCTTAGTTATTGATATTTGGGGCTGTGACGAGCTTGCTCCCGCTCAAATCACAAAATTGTCTTAAGTGTGAAGCAAGCACCACTAGAATCCGTAGGCTGTGGTTGCCAATTTTATTTCGTTACACAGCTGTTTCGAAAATTAAAAGATAGTCCGCGTAAAAGAAAATTTCACATGATCACAACAATACCGAATGTATTCTTCTTTCTTGAGCTGAAGGACCTAAGCCGCGGGTCTTTCGCTTCCCTGCATTTTCGTGTGTAAAAACATTCCTTATGCGCGCTAAATCACCAGCAATATGAGCACAAAATGCAGACATATCACTTATCTGCACATAGCTGAGCGTGAAAGTTAAAGTTAGCTTTCCTGGAACTTAAAGAAACTCGCCATTTTTCTCGAATTCACAGCTCCTCAAAGCATGGTCACTTTAAAACAAGCCAGTTCATTTCCTTAACCCTCGCCATTCTTATCGAATTCACAGCTCCTCAAAGCATGGTCACTTTAAAACAAGCCAGTTCATTTGCTTAACCCTTTAAACGCTAAGAGTGACTAACTTCCAGTTTCTCCTTACAGTAATACTGCTGAATCATTCATTAAGATCATGAGAATAAAAGGAAATGATCATCAACCTAAGAAGCTCTGATTGCTAAACGGATTCCCCTTGTCACTAATACCAAAGGAGCTGAAAAGGGAAGAGTATGAAAAATGGTGAATTCGAAGTGATGTCCTGTCATTTTGGGTGGATGATTGAAAAATTTCAGCCTAAATTTTTCAAGCTGGTATTTTCCAAGAGATTCTTTATGCAGCGATCCCTTCTTTTATTCTCATGCCCTAAATTTTCGACTCAGTAACGATACTGTAAGGTGAAATTAGACGCTCATCGTTCTCTCATGCTCATGGGATAAAAGCGTAAGCAATGGCTGGCTATCCGCAATCCCGCCGAAATAGCCAAAGCATTAAGACAACGCTCGAAGCCAACTACACTGTTCAACTGATATCTTCCTTCTTAAATTATTATTTTTATTAGCATTATTATTATTATTATTATTATTATTATTATTTATTATTATTATTATCATATTATTATTATTATTATTATTATCATTATTATTATTATCATATTATTATTATTATTATTATTATTATTATTGTTACTATTATCAGGTAAGAGCATATCTCCCTAAATATAATTTCTCCAAGTTTAATTTATCTAATTTTTTTGCATACTAATAAAAAGAACTAAATAACTATTTCCTTCAAATATGGTCTCTTATTATTGCAGAGCCTTAAACATTTTCCTCTCAAGCTGTCAGTCCTGTTCCAGCACCTTCGGCTTCCAGTTTTCAACGGCCTAATTGTATGTATAAGACTTCTTGCTCCAAGAGTACCAACAATAACCAGCAAAATGGCTAAATACGGAGCACATTTGGGATAGAAGTCGATATTTTTAACCCCTTTCACGGTTTTGGTCCTTGATTTTAACTTCGTGGTGTTCAGCTTCTTCCCATTGCTGTCAATTTGTGAGATTTGAAGTGAACCAGGAGTGGCGTGGAGCAACGTAAATCCTCCAGAAACGCCACTGAAAAACCTAGAGATATAAAAGCAATGAATTAATGATTGTTTTTAAGGCCAGTCAGAAGAAAGGAAAATACCCTGAAGAGCCAATGAGAACTCAAGGTAAAACCAACCAAACTGTCCAATGCGCGGGAAAACGCGGGCAACCAAGTCGTGATTGGTTTCAGCATTGTATCTGATTGGTTAAGAAAGTGGCGCGAATTTCTGGACGGATCACAGAGCGAAGTAAAGCAAAACCAAAGCGATCCCGGGTTACTTTTGGTTTTGGAAGGGTTTATTTATCCGTGAGGCGGATTGGAAAGTGGTGTTCATTAGCTGGAGTTGGCTTAAGACTTTCACCGGTGAAAGAAACTTATCGTTGGTTATGTACAGTGTTCGTGATTTGAAATTATATTCTATCTTTACGCCTCTACCAGTTCAAGACACTGTATATGTAATAAAGTAAGTCGAGCTGTAAGTTGACTCTTCGGTTCTTGAACTGGCGCAAACCAACCGCTAATTCATATTATCTATCAAAAACTCTGGCCATGGACCTATGCCCATTGTATAAACAAGTTAATTGACGCTTATAAATGATAAGATAACCGCCAGCGTCTGCAACATGATCTTAGAGCTTGCTATAAAAAAGTCAGCTGATAGTTTTCTTTAAAAGCCGTTTCGAGAATAAAAATAATTCAGTGGCGATTTGAAACAAAGAAACATCATTGACTTACAGGAGTGATTTCTGCACGGCTTTGTCGTATCCTTTCCTCCCACTGTAAAAATTACCATTTCCTGAGACGAAGTAGTGCACCGTCGTGTCTGGCTCTTTGAGGTGCTGCAAATGAAGAGGACTCAGTTTAGGCTCAGCATTATTTATTAAAGAGCAATTTTTTCATTCAGTGCCGAAATAAAAAATTGTGAACTCTTTTCTTGAAAGTTTTAAAATTATTATAAAACCACTACCAAAATGATGCAGGCATCAATTGATCTGGCTAGAAAATTGTGATGAACAACCATTTGTTTTCTTATGAATTCAACCAGTCTCACCGGCCAGCTCTGACTCATTTAAAGTATCCTTTATTTCAACTGAAGACTTTATCAGAAGCAGATCTAATGGAGGGGTGCATGGCGAGCACACTCCTTCCCCCCCACCCCCTTCCAGGGTGACTTGCGGCTTTCTAATTTAAGGTCATAAGCCTTCTTCTTCGTTGTTGGCTTTTAAATTTGTCTTCAGTTAGGTCATTCTTTAGTGGTGCATCCCCTCCTAAACAAAGATCCTGGATCCGTTCCCGTTAACACATGTGAATGGAACAATTTCGGGATTAATAACGGTCGATCCATTGTGCAATTAGCCTGTTTCTTAAAAGTAAATACGTTTTCAGTTCCAGGTTTAGATTGCTCTCGATTCCAAAGATCCCAGGTAAATCTATGCATACAAATGATTGTGTCGCGAAGTTTGTGCAGGGTCAGAGAACACTGACGTTTTTACTTTGGATTTTTGTAAGCTTTTTCAAACATTCAATTCCACTAACTATGGTTTAATCCCCTCTTGAATTAACACAGTTTAGTCATCAAAGTTGCTATAGCGACAGATTTTTCAGTTATGCACCTACTCACTTGTAGATTGTGATCGTGTCCGCTGAGATAAACCGTGACGTCATTCTCCTCCAGCATTGGTTTGAGCTTAGATACAAGATACTTAGTGTTGCCATGGATGCCAGCTGATAAAACTGGATGGTGACCGGCTACTATGAGATAATCCGCTCTGAAAATCAGTTTGACAGAAAATTGAGATGGGAACTTGTGTTCCAAAGAAATTCACTAGTAAGTCCAGATAGGTGCATAAGAGAAAATAAGGGACAGAGAGGGAAAATAAGAGCGTCGGCAACCGTCTTCTCCTCGTTCTATTATTTTTTCAAGATGCAACGCTGGTTTGACGAATCAAAGACCGACTTTGAGGCCGGGGTTTGTACAATGTTCCATGTTCGTGACAACAACATATGATGTTTGGTGTGGGGCATTCCTTTGCTGTTCTCAAATATCTTTTAATCAATACTCACGTTGAACTTCTGAGTATGTTATTTAGCCACTTCAGCTGTTGTTTCTGACTCGGTAACTTCATTTTATCCATCCATCGACTGCGCAAAAAGAGTAAAATACAGAAAAGGTTTGATTTAGTGGTGCAATTTTCGATTGAATGTCGAAATCAAAGAGGTTTTACCTTGGTTTTGCTTTAATTGCTTTGTTATCTATCCAGACAAATCACACCACTTTCACGCGCTTTAGGCGGTTGGGTTGTTTTTACTTTGAGTACTCATTGGCTCTTCAGGGTATTTTCCCTTCTTCTGATTGCCGTTGTAATACCTTTGGTTTTGGTTTTATGACGCTCAATCGAGAAGTGCTTCAATCTTACGAGTTACGTTGGGGTAAAGTCATTAATTTTATGGGAATTTCTACAAACCAGCAGAAATTTACCGAAAAACAGAAGAACAAAATGCGCTTACTTTCTGCAGCAGAGCAGAGTTGTATCTATCATGACAAGTTGAACAGTCTTAAGTGTGTCAGGAATCTGTAACACTGAAAAAATTAAAAATATATAAACTATTATCAAAGGGAGACTTCCTTTTCGATAACTAAAGCCGACGAGCCGGCCCTTATAAAGTTAGCACTGCGTTTCTCCTCCCGCAGGAAGATTTGAGACGGGTCGGGGAGAGGCTTGCCGAAGGTCTTGTACTGAAAATAACTCAGTACTAGTGCCAGACCCCCTGCAGACCTTTCGCCGACTCGCGTTGTTAAAGGCCTCATACTTTCCCGCAGGTGAAGAAACGCGCGGGCTCAAGTGATAGTGATAATTGATTTTTTAATTAATTAGTTACTAATTATTAGAGCCAGACTCCAGGCAAACCCTTCCTTGACTCGTTTAAATCTTCTCGGGGACAGAGAAATTAAAACCCCGCGTCTAGCAGCGCTAGTTATGAGGGCTGCTCGAAAGCTACAGGAGTCACAGCATTTTAACCGAAAACGGTTGTTTATTGTCTATCGGGAACTTCCACCGTTTTTACTTAAACTAGATGCGGTTCAAACAGCCGATCGATTGGCACACGACCTTTAATTTGTGGCATGTAAGTCATCTCGAGGTTGACGACTCTCCTTTGCATTACCAAAAAATGTTACCTTGACTGTAAAAGAAATCTGGATAATGCCAGCGACGGGAAACCTTGGTGTAAGCTATCTGTGCAGACACGTTCGAGTCGTGGTCATGGTTTCCAGCGATCATGTACCACGTGGCTGAAACAAGGGTGGGGTTCGTGTACACGCGCTCAAAGGTGGTAGTAAATCTTGGATCGTCCACGGTCTTGACGCCATTGCCATAAAAGTTATCACCTAACCCAATAACAAATTGTGCCTTTCCTGAATCGGCATACTAAAAGAGAAGATAAAATCGTTACACAGATAAAGGTGATAATAATATTATAATAGTAATAGTGAAAATAATAATGTATTTTAATACGTATATTTCAATACTAGATTGATGAGAAGATGAAGGGTAGATAATGAAATAAAAAAATGGAGAAAAGAAGCGAAATAAATGGAATAAAGCAAAGCAAATAACTAAAGACAGCACAAAATTGAAAAGACAAACAAATAAAAAAACAGAAATAATAAGAACAAAACAGAGAGAAACAATATAACTAAACGAAACATGTCAAAACTTAAGCAAAAAAGAATTGAATAGCAGAAATAAACAAAAGAGGGAAAGGAACATAACATCTATCACAGACTCGATTTCCGCTTTTTTCGAGAAACGCGCGGGCTCATTTCCCGAACTGCGACTGGTGAGAAAGCATTAATATGTTTATGTAAGTATTTACTTAGTTACGTAATTATGCAGGTAAAATGTACTAAGTTAGCAAAACTGAAAATTATAATCCAGTAGGCGAATCTTGTTACCAACAAATGTACTTTATGGCTGTGTAAAGAACGAATAACACCAACCATATTGGGTAAGGAACCAACTCTCCGCGGTCTCAGCGTTAAAGCGTTCAAAAATTATGAGGCTCTGAATCTTAACCTCGTTTGTTCTTGATCTTTCTGTTTCAAAAATGTTACCTTGACTGTAGTAAAACATCGATCATTTTATGAGATTTTCGACACAGACTTTGAACTTCAAAGGAACAACTATATAACACAGGGCCGCAGAACAGACAAAACGAAAAAAAGAAAACAGTTTTTGCCCCGATTCCTCCGCTTGATAACAAATTTCTTAGTACAAAAGCTAACATCGACGTCAGATAAAATTACAGAGCCACTTCTAATAAAATTGAACTAATTGCTTAATAAGAAACGAGTATCTCGTTGTGGCATTTTCGATTCTGCTCTCAAAAACCATGTGAATTGATAATATTGTATTCACTCTGGTGACGTGGCAGAAGGCTGTTTACAATGCAATTTTAATCACCTCATGCAAACCACCGACTTCAGAACTGTTGATAGCGAAGGCAGTTCTTCTAAAACTTCCGTGTTCGTTCTCTACACGAATTTTTAAAACACTTGATATGTATCGATCTAGCTTTCGAGAGAGTCTAAAACTCCTCTTCATTAGAAACTAAGTACATAGAATAAGCAATATCAGTTTCCATGTCTGTCGATTCAACCAAGCACTCGCTTTCCGTAAATTGAAGTTTTCGGTGAGTTTCATAATTCTGCCACGAAGGCACTGCCAGTCGGGATCGAATGCATAAAAATACAAACTGTAAAACTGAAAAGCCTTGGCCTATTAATAATTTCAAATTGAGGCGATCCTAACATATAGAATGCCTCAAGAATAGTTTGTTTACCGGCTTTGCATGATTTATCAAAGTTATAAACGGTCTAAACTATTTGCTTCCTGAAAGTAGTCGGATTCCTCCCTTTTGGCAAAAATAGATTTCTAACATCATGACTTTGTGTTTAAGAATCATAGTTCTTCTCGTTTCGTCTAAAATGTGTTCCAGATCCAAACAATATTACCTGACCCATAACTTCTGCTACCTTCCTTTGCATATGTGTAGTGTAAGGTGGCCTTGAAATTCCGCCGAAATCTCCGATTGCAAGAAATGTGAGACCTTGATTATTCTTATTGCCATCGACGTGGAAACAAATCTGTAACATGAAGAACACTGACAAGCAATCATAGTTTTGTAGCATGACACTACTTGTTCGGAAAGCTGAAGGAAATCACCGGGTAGTATTGTACTTATGCCAAATTTACAGATCGATATCGTTTGTCATGGTAATAAACAATTAGTTATGCTTACTGGTGCACTCTCAGCGACTATTTTAGGGCTCCTTGCGAATTGATTTACGGTCCATTCGCTACCGCAACAAACTCGCCACCACCAAATTTGACTCAGGCGTTAAGTTGTAATAGTATATTGCGAGATTAGAAACGCGAATAAATACGGTGAAACTTTATGAGTGCAACTCAATTATGGAACGTTAACCTCTAAATTAAATAAGAGATGTTGATACCATGAAGACTGATCAGTCTACGTGCGGGAAAACTAGTTAAAACCGCAGGAAACTTACATCGAATGAAAGCTAAGATCTATTAGCATATAAACACGTTTCTTGAGGGATGGACAAATTATGTAACTGCATAACTTATCATTGTTTGATTTAAGAAAACACGTCACTGTTTAATTCCTTATTGTTTCATTTTAGAAGACGTGTCAAAAACTCGGACTTTGTGCTTAATCACGGGTTCCAAACACTAACCTTCTGTTTCTCGGTGTCTGGAACCCTTGTTTTTGACACATGATATTACTTCTCGATTTCAGGGCTTTACGGGAGGCAGTTTTCATATGACAGCCAAGTTATTAAACCTAAAGAAAGTATTTTGAAGCGAATTCTAAGCGCATTTCGGGCAATTTTAGCGTCTGTTAACTCATCGATTTTCGCCACAGAATTGGGTAGATTTCGTTCGGTGTTTCGGGAAATACCTTTGGGGATGTGCACCTCAATCAAAAAGTCTTAAAGAGTTTTTTAGAAATTCAGAGAAAGAGCCTTAAACGATAACACTTCGTTCTTCAACGATATTGACGGAATAATTTAACAAATGTGGCCGTCGGAGGGGTTATGGCTGACATACTACTTACTATTCTAATAAATTCAAAGTTTGGTCCGTTTGTTCTTCAGGGACTCCTAGAGGACGCCAAGTCGCTTTCTGCAAAATTTCGCTGTGTTTGCGCACACTCTTAATTTCGCATCATCAGAACCAAAAAATACGCAACCAATTTTTTTCGTCTATCTCAATCTATTTAGATGCAATATTTTCAGTTTAGAGCATCTCAAAGAGGACTTAAATTGCAGATTTGAAATTCAAATCACACAAACACTGGAAAAAAAACAACATGTTCAACTAGTCGTAACAAGTACCGCAGAAAACAAAAATATTCCGTTAATATCCTTGTGCAAAACCAAAAGATTGGTATACCTGTGACAAGCCGTCGTGACGTCATCAATAGCCTTACAGAAACAGCTATGGCGGACGACTCATCGAAACTCAAAGAACAAATCGCGTATCTCACGAGTAAGTAAGGATTGTAAAGGTTCATTTTCAAAGATGATCTTGCCCATGAATAAATTATTTTTTTGTGTGTGTTGATTACGCGAAAAAACACTTCCTTTGTAACTTATTGGATGCATTATCCAGAAGCTAATCTTTTGTGCCGTGACAGTAGCAAGCTTTCTGAATTTTACGCTTTCCTTGTAAATTGTGCGTCGATGCACCTACAAGCATGTATCGGCGTGGCATATTTTCTGTTAAATACTTTCGACTGAAGGATGTCTCTCCGAAATTTGTGAATTACCTTTATGCATCAATATTAGAAAATTACGATTTGGACAGTGATTGTGAAGGAGAAAATAACAGATAGGAAGTTCTCTTTCATTTTACATGATAGGTTACTGTTGGTAGCCATAGCCGTCCATCATATTTTACGAATTGTCGAACAATCTACCTTTTTGTGGATTGAAACAGATTTTCGTCAGTATTAACAAATTTTACATGGGGCACGTAAGAGTGTCACGATGCTTTTTAATAAGCTAAGACAAAGTCAAGTTGTTTCTTTCAAATTTGGTAATTTTTTTACTTTGAATGTTCTTTCTCAGATCTTATTAAATCTCATAAAAAGATACCTTCCCAAAGAAGTGTATTTGGAGTTCAGCCTTGTACAGTCCAGGACAACAGCAGATCATTTTCTTGGCAAAGAACAACACAGAAAGGAAAAACAACCAAGCAGCAGACTTTACAGCCATCATTGAACCATGTGAGAGGGCAATCAGGAAGAGTTAACTCTTCATATAGTCTGGATCGCAGGAAATTGAACAGTCAAAGTTCAGGTACAGTGTACATTTACTGTATGAGAACTACCTGTCTTGTTTGAGTGGCCCTTCTCCATGGGCATTGACTCACAGTCTGCAATGAGTTCACTTCTGTTTGTTTTATCAGTCAAAACTATAACAAAATTCTCAAATGTGATTGGTTATCACCAGCCTGATTTAAGCAGTAATAGGACAGTGTAAGCATTATGCTTGAAATTGGACAGTTAAAGGGACAGTTAACACGTCATGCCTGTGTAAGTGGACAGAACATGTCATGTGCACTCACTGTTGTCTCACATTTCACCAAGGTAACTGTTGTTAGTTTCTTTAAATGAAAACGTGTAACTGATGTCCAATTTCCTTCTTAAATTTTTTTATAATTTTGATTAATTGGTTACAGGACTTTGCGTCTGTCTGTGATCATGCTCATGATTACAGACGGAATTGGACTCCTCTTAGTCCTATTACCATTATTAATAGAATTGATGGTGTTGATTCTTTAACTCCCAGAGGTGATTAACATGTAACTTCTCTCTATAAGATCTACACAGTATCCAGCAAACAGAATACTCAAACTTACCAGATAGAGTTGTTGTCTAAATCCAAAAACCAACTTCTCACAACTAATTTAAAAGGGGAGAATGAACAACAGTTAAAACAGTTAAGAATGCACTCATAAGTGCAGACTTTGCTCAATTTGATAACCCTCTCATTCCCAAGATCACATTAACCCTTTAACTCCCAAGATCTGATTGTTGATTCTCCCCTCTAGCTGCTACACATTTCCTTGTAAATTAGTTATGAGAACTTGGTACTAGATCAAGATAGCAGCTTCTATCTGATAAGTTTGAATATTCTCATTACCTGTTTGCTGAATAATGTATGGATATTGTAGGGAGAGGTTTTATGTTGATCGCTTCTGGGAGTTAAAGGGTTAATAATTCCCCTTACTCTCTGCTATACAATTTTTATGATGTTAGTTCAGAGAATTTGGTATTGGATCAACTAATAATCTCTTTGTTGATAATTGCTTTTGTTCCCACCACTGGTCTGCTTGATATTGCATTGGTATACTATCATTGAAATAATAGGCAGCCAGGTTATTATGGAAATCACGTTGTTTTGTCAGATTACACACAAGAATGGGAACTATTCAGTGCAAAGTTATCTGGGATTCCACAAAGTTTGCACAGATTTTCTGGCAAATTCTGAATGTGGAATGGATTTACACGTTATCAATTGTTGTGTTGTGTATGATTTCAGGTCATGATTCTGAAAAGACAAAGATAAATGCTCCAGTCACTTCAGGGTCATCTGGATGTTCACATACTATGAACAACAATAAATCAATTCCTGAAAGTAAAACAGTCCTAAAACAAAATAACAGAAGAACAGAATTACCAACTCCAACGATGGAACAGGCACAAAAATCACGCATGTTATCTTTACAACCAAATCATACCTTGACAGCAAAGAATCCTTATGTTTTGAATAAAAAAGAGATCCCTCCTTTGTCTAGTGTTAAAACTGTTGCACAGAAATCAGCCTTGAAATGGGAAAAACCCAGTGCTGCAAGTGCTTCAGGTTTGTCATCTGATGAAAGTAAAAGCCATATTGACTCAGAACTTTACAGGAAGAAATCACAATTACTGCAGGCAGGAATGTCATTGGGGAAGCCTTCCACTAAAGTGAAATCATCAACAATGGTTCCTCTTGAAGCACCATCCACATATGGAGCTCATGGATCATTCAAATGGTCAAAATCAAAACCATCTGCATCTAGTAATAAAGAGAAAAAAGGGAAAAAATCAAAGCCTTCAAGATCCAAGCTTAAATGGACAAAACTAGGAGCTCAAGTTGAGGCTAAAAAAGTACTGAATCCCTATGTACTCAAAAAAGAGAGTCCAGGAGGTGGAAATGCTTGTCAGAGGCAGAAATTTACATCAAACAAAGCTAAAAAACTGGAAAAGCAACCACTTTGTTTTTCAAAATATCAGGTACATGAAACAGTAGTTTTTTTTTTTTTAACAAAAAACAGGGTTAAGTGTTGTTTTTTTTTTCCTTAAAGAAAGGAACCACTCACAAGCAAAAATGTTATGTGGCCAATATTGTCTATAAAGGACACAATAATTGGCAAAAAAATTATGGAAAGCAACAGCAACAATTGGTATACTGAACTACACTAAGCATACAATGTAGCCCTACACTGTAGATTTGATGAGTGGATGAATTATTTGCAAATTATATTTGTTCTTTTTATGCCTGTTACATTCCTTTATGTGAGATTAGCAATGAATTTTGGAGACAACTGTATCTCAGGATTTCTTAGGCCTGAAACACCCTTCAGAATTTGAATTGACAGACTTACAATTTTGCAGACTGGTTTTATAATGTTCAATAGAGTGTACCCCTGTGACTTTCAAACTCTTTTCACTCAACCCTTTACACCCTAATATCAGTATGCATATTCTCCATACTGTTCTCTATACATTTCCTTAAGTGCTGACAAGGAGAATATGCATAACAAGCAAGATGATCATTCCTCTATTCTCATGACCATAAGGGGTTAATAGCAAACAATTTTACACTTGCTTAAACCTTGAATAATTTCAGGGCTAGGTTGTTCAAAGCTGGGTTAAGATAACCCAGGGTGAGTGTGAAATTTGGTTTCAGATCTGAAAGCTTTAAAAGAAAATTCAGTTTAAATCTTTTTGATGATCAATTTGATGATTAGATGTTCTGAAAAGAATGGGGAAATTTTTCTCAGAAAGACTTTTAAAGAGAAAAATAAGAAAAATTGGATTGAAATTTAACCCTGGGTTAGTGCTAATCGACCTTCAAACAACTGGCCCAGGAGCGTAAAAACTTACAGAAGAGCCGCTTTTTTTAAGAGGTTGTGTTTAGCTCTTACTGAATTAATACTTTCAGTGTCATCATTTTTCCTAACACATTTGATAAATGTACTTTGCAGACAGATTCTGTTGAAAGTAAAAAGGTTTTGTCACAAAGATCTTCTGCTGGGTTCATTGACAGGTATGGTTATGATCTTGAGAAGAATTGTTTATTTATTTATTGTTAGAGAGTGGTGGGCCTAAAAGTCAGTGTTCTGGACTGTGGGTGGAGTAATTTGGCAGTCTTTTACTATGAAAAACATTAACTAATTAAAAGTTGATTCTGTTGCATACTTTCATTATCATTTAAGCACCAAACTCAGTTTCTGCAACAAACTAGATGTATGAACTGAACCTTATTATGTCCAGTGTTTTTTTTAATTGGCCTCCATCACTATAATTCCCAAAAGTGACCAACACATAAATTCTTACTGCAGGTTTATTGCATAAACCAGCCAACATTAACCAATAACAAATCATCAAGATACTTATGTTATCATGATATAACACTAAACACTGATTGAGTCTTTTTTTGTTTTCTTGTGCACAGAAGGCAAAGAACCATTCAGGGAGAGAGTCCTGTGGTTACAAGGTGTGGAACTAAGTTACATGTCCTTGCAAATTTACTATAGAGATAACTGATACAACTTTATATTTGAGCAAAAAGAAAGGTGCCTTAAGTATTTTAGGCAGAAGATCTTCTGATGCAGTACTGTTTAAACTCTTGAGACATGCTGAGTAAAATGACTTTTTACTTGTGGCCATTAGATAAACTTACCCACAACTGAAAGTGACAAAATTTGTCTCCTTCACCGATTGTGGTATTTCAATAATAAAAATGTGTTCTCCATTTCAGGAAGCAACAGGTAACATTTACTGCCCATAAAACATGTACCTCCTATTCCTGCCTAAAATTGCTTGGAATTCTTGAAAATTCACAGGGTAAAAGGATTGCTCTACTGATTTGAAAATTTATTTACTTACCTTGCTTAAAAGAGGGAAAAACGCCTGACTATTGTAAAAGCACCATGTTATGCCAAGTATTTTTAAAACAAAGCTTTGAAATGGTACATTTAGGAGATGAAGGTGATTTTAGTGTAGTGTATTTGTATGCTTAAGTTTTTTGCAAATATTGTCCAAGATTGCAGCATATAATGTAAACTATCATATGTATTATTGTTTGCTCATTTTCCAGATACAGAGTTGTGAGGTCAAAGAGGAAAGAAGCTCCAATTAAAGCCCAGGTTTGTTATTCAATACAGACTTCATTTGACCTTTTATTGTGTTATATTGTATTGCCTATGTTGCCCCAGCTCTGTCCACATTTTGCTCTGACAAAGGGCTAATGCTCAAAATGCCTGCTTTGAAACTGCTAACAGGGGCCAATTTATAATATCAGCTCAGTTCATCATACCAAATTACCCTGTTATACTCTCCAACTGACACAGCACCACAGTTTCTTTATAAACTTACCCCCTTTATTCATCTGACCACTTAATTGTTTAAGTGGCTTGTTACAGAGAAAGTAATGTTACTGACAACAGTTGGTTCAATGTATGTGCTTGCTTTTTAACATCACATATCATGTGTTGGTTTGTTCATTTGTACAGGAAACTTAGTTATTATAAAAAAATGATAAATTATTTAATTCTTAACTTCTCATTTGGTGATGCTTAAAAACAGCAAGAGTAAGTTTGTGTATTATGGTTTAGCTTGAATCCCCCCCCTCACCCTTAAAAAAAGATACAATGTGAAACAGAAAGTACAGGGTTTTTATCATACTGGGCTCCTTACTGAGTGCCAATGAAAAAAAAAAAAAAAAAAAAACTACCGGTAACAAACTTATATTGCATAATTATAAACATAAAATTTTGAATTGCAAGGAGATGAAGGTGACATGAGTCCAGTATCAGCAAGTCCTATCTTGACCCTTTAACCTCTAAGAGTGGCTGGCTTCTAATTTATCCTTACAGTATCACCCTTGAATCAAATGTAGAAGCTCTTGATTGTCACACAAATTCTCCTTGTCAGAAGCATGGGACATGCAAAAAGAACAGCTAGGAGAAAATTGATATTAATGCTATGGTGTAAATGGATAAGGTTTTGATCCAAATTTCTCTGCTTGGACCTGCACTTAACAAGAGGTTGTTTTTTTATCTCTCTATCTTCCGTGATCAAGTAAAGGTGTTTTAGAGTGTTTTTGTCCTAATTAATAAGACATTGTGTCACAATAAAACATTTTGTCAATGTTCTTTTGTAGAAATTGAATAAAGTGGTAGTAATTGGAGGTGTTCCCTATAAGACTTCGTCCAATAAACTGACCAAAGCCAAGTCGTCTTCAGCTGAGAAGGGAATTAGTAAAGGCAGCAAGGGAGTTGGTGAGCCATTGCATGAATTTTGCAAACACATCTTTTAGTGTTTGTATGTTTTATCATCAATTTGTTTAAAAAATGCTCTTCCATTTTGGATTCATGGTAACATGATTGCCACAGGGATGATTTCCTATAAATTAATTTTTTATTTAAATTATGTAAAATTTGATGAAATTTATGATTATTATTATGATTAATATTATAATCATTATTACCATTTGATGGATGTCTGTTCCCAGCAAGATTGAGTTGCAAATTTTTAAACCAGCACGTACATTGTAACAGGTGAACTTTATCCTCTTTCAGGGAAGTTAACGAAAACAATCATAATTCAAGGTGAGAAGTTTGTTTCGGACTCAAAAGGCAAGACTCTTCAGAGAATCAGTAAAGGTATGTATCTGTCTGATGGGCCGCTTCTTTGCCAAAAAAAAAAACCCTTCCTTCAGCCCAAATCGTAAAACTCGTTATTGACCCACGAAGCATCAATTACCGTAGACTATTTTCAGTGTGACTAACTGCTTCTTACAAGGGGAATCGTTGTTTCATCCTTTCCTGGCTTATTTTTATTCATACAAAAAGTTGAGAAGCCCATACTGCTCCAATTCAGATTTAGAATGTGCAGAGACGAGCTTCTTTGATTGAAGGGAGACGTTTTAGGTTCCTCTAAACCTAATTCGTCAGTTGCTACACACCCAAAGAGTAGAAAAGGCGGACAAGTAACGGCCTCCCACGAAGCATCAATTATGATTATATTGCGAACGCCAACCACACTAATCAGAAGTAAACTGAACAACACACCAAGCAAGGCTCTTGCCAGGTATTTTGAGTTGTCGATCTCAGTTCATGTGGGGAACGCATGATGAAGTTTACTTGTATTACCAGAGAATGATATCCTGGCCTTAATAAAGTAAAAGATAAAACAGTGTACATCGAAAGTGGTAAAGTGTGTGTCCAAAAACGAAAAAAAAGGAGAGATACTCCATTTGAATCACTTTCCCCGCAAAAGAACCCAATGAGACCGTAGGAAATAATGTTGATGGAATCTATACTTTCAGTTACCTTTAAAAAATTATATTGAACTCCATCTGAAACTTTCCCTATGCATTCTTTCTTACAATGTTTGCAAACTACCGAGGCTAAATTTTATTTATCCCTGTTTTCAGTCGCGTATTACGGCGAAGTATTCATAATGCCAGGGTGTATAACAAGAACAGGAGTAAACCCGTGTCGGAGCAGTACTGCATGTTCTACAACAGATTCGGTGAGTTACATCTCCTTACCTTCGCCTCCATGAATACATGTACTATTGAGCGTTTCTAGGAACCCTTGTTAGAGCCGGTTTCCATTTCAGCAGTATTTCCGGTTCGTTCCCTTGAGAGTGCAATCGCTGTGATATCGCTATAAGAGTTCGTGAGCATGACCTGAAACCTTTGCCAAACCGTTCTGTTGCTGTTCTTTTTTATTTGTGTACAGTTTCTTAATCTTCTTTTACGAGGACGTATTGTATTTTGCCGGGTTTTTCAAATTCTATTTCTACTATTGACAGGACTGCAGAGAACACTTTCGTTCTACGTAATAAACCACTATAACTGTTTGTAGATTGAAGAACTTTGTTCGGGTTCTCTCTTTTTCTTCACGGGAATTATTTTAAAAGCAATGCCTTGCACTTCATCATTTACGATCCTTCATAACAACAAGACGAATAGATCGAAAACGTTATTATTGATACTTTAGGAAAATGCCATAAGAGAGACACCTGCCCATATATTCACGACCCATCTAAAGTTGCGGTTTGCACAAAGTAAGTATGCTTATAGGCTGATTCAGTTGTCTTTGTGATGGGAAAGCACCAAAGCTAGACCACATCAAATAATTGATCATTGCTGAAATGTTTTGTAGGTTTCTTCGTGGTCGATGTAAAAACTTGGATGGATCTTGTCCGTTCTCTCATAAGATTGACCCAGATAAGGTTTGTTGGCACCTTAGATATTTTTCTTTTTCCTGTAATGTTTGTTTTGGTTTTTTCCTTCGTTTATAATTGTGAAAATCCAGTTTTAAGACGCAAGTGGCACAAGTAACTTTCTGTAAATGTTCGATTTGTCTCAGATGCCAGTATGTCAATTTTTTCTCCGCGGAAAATGTTCAAACGACAATTGCCCATATTCTCACGTTAACGTAAGCAAGAAGGCGAAAGTATGCGAAGATTTTCTCAAGGGATTCTGTGCTCGTGGACAACAAGTAAGTATGCCCAACTTTGTTGGTGAAAAGCCCTTCCTGACGTACAAACTTGCTTAAAGGAAAAAGGCGCTGGTCTTGATATTTTGGTTTAACAGCGGTGCTGTGTTTGTTTCTATATTTTGGTGAACACGTTCGGGGTTAGGGAAATTGAGTTGCCTGGGTGAAACAGCTAAAATAATTTACAAAACAATTCTAATATAATTCTAAATGCACGAATCAGCTAAAGAACAAAACTTTAACCGCTCCGCTTCCCATCAACTGTTTTGATTACCAAGCTGTTTGCTGTAAACGCAAAGTAGAGTCGCCCTATTGAATCTTTCTTTTTTCTTCTTTGTTAGTGTAACAAAAAGCACATCTTAGAATGTGAAGAATTCTCAAGGACAGGCAAGTGCTCCAAAGGCTCACAATGCAAGCTTATGCACAAGGCTAGAAAACCTGCACCATCCCGGAAACGAAAGTCCTCCTCTAACGAGGAACATGGCACCTCAAAACTCCCTAAGAGAGATTTAACTGGTGACGAAGGATTCCTTCCTCTCATAGCTGGCGCCTCGGGTTTGTATAATGTGACGTATTGTATATAAAAGCCGTATACTGTACCAGAACAGCAGGTAAACGGATGCAACCGGCAAAACTACCCTTAAGAGTCTTTCTAAACTGTTTTCAGTTTGAAATCGCGTTGCATAGTGTAGAGGAATTCACCCATGCGAATGTCCTTTTTCTCGCTTTCAGATATTGTGGTCGCTATGAGACTGCCTTTATTTTGTTAGTGACTTTAGCAGCTGTACCTTATCTGATATCAGTCCAATGAATCAACGGTAAATCAACTGGGGCTAACCACTTTTCCAACATAAATATTTTCGTTGTTGAGACTTTATGTCTTCGTAGCCTAAAGATTCTCACTTGACTTGTTCACTTGGTCAAGACGAGTGGTTACCCAGCCTGCACTTTTCAGTCCTTGACAATTTTCTCTTTTCGCGTGGCTGTTGGTTAAGTCGTCTTATGTTTTAGATTTAGAGAAAATTCCTGCACAGGATTCATTGGGGAATTCTCAAGAAGAGACCAAAGAAATGACGGGTAAGACTGGCCGGGACCCACGTTCAAACATGTTGAGCTTCTTTTTTCAAATCTGAAGAAAAACATAGTTATATGAGAGCTGCTTCCTTATGAAGCAATTTATAAACTGAGTGTCGGAAAGAAACCCGAGATTTTGTTGATTTTTCTTTACTACACTCTGTGATTGGTCCCAAAATTCGTGCCACCCCTTAGCCAATCAGATGCAACATTTAAAACCACTTCTGCTTTGTGATGTGTGCCGCTTTTCCCGCTCTTTATGTCGTTTAAATTTATTTGCTCTGAGTTTTCATTTGCTCTATGCGATATTTTCAGCCGTTCTGATTGGTCGTTAGGATTACTTTGGGATTTGGTTTGTCTCTGCTCTTTCTCGAAACGCTCTCTATTCTTTTTGACCGCGGCAGCTCTTATTGTAATAACGTATGTAATAGCCACGGAAGGGTTTTTAAGCGACCATGCTTGCTTATAGATTAGGAATTACAATATCAGCGAAAAGAAGTCAGAACCAGTTAAAAAGGAAAAAGGCAGAAGAGAACACACACACACACACATTTTTTTCTGACGCCGCGAATTTACCTGATTTATTCTCAGCTGCACCAGTGGTAATTCGTCCAAGGTTCCTAAAGCCCATAGAAGCAGAAAAAGTCCGGACACCAGAACATACTTCTTCAGAATAGGTAGGCTTGGTTACAAGAGGTTCTTGTTTGATCCTCCTTGTCTCTGGGCCACTGAATTGTGGGGTTTATTGATAGATCGAGAGGCCGCTTTTTTCTTCCTCTTTTTTTTCTCCGGACTGAGTGAGTGAGTTCAATATATTTTTTGTGTGTTCTGCCTGTGATTGAGTATGTGATGTGTTTGCCTAACTCACGTCATAGTTATTTAAGGGGACTAGATAAAAAAAGGTGGCTAAATTTAACCCAAACTCAAAAAAGATTTTGCTGAATTGAAAGTAATTTTTATTTTTTACGATTTATATTGTTTTGTTCAATGTTAAGATTTTTTATGGGATGGTCCCCCTTTGAAGCCATTTTTGGCATGACGGTCGGGTCTCATACTTCTGAATCATATGATAGAAAATCTCTCTCCTGTTGGGGGAACTCGTAGAGGGAATGTCGAGACTGCGTTTTTTCCGCAAATTTACGTGCTTATAAGTTCAGCATACTATTGTTAAGTAGAAAAGTTTGTATATAGAATAGATCAAGTTTATAACAGTTGGACTGTAAAGAAAATATGTAAAATTTGATGAAGTCATTTGCAAAGAGATCAGATGGAAACCATCGCAATAAAAGAAAACGAATATGTTCAATACTTTCTTCATTAAACTTGTCTAGTTTCTATAAGAAAGGATCTGTACACACGTAAATGACATGATACTTGTCCGCCAACCCTTCCTACACACGGTAACGCCACGCGGAATGTGGTCTTCTGTTTACTCTCTGCGGCATTTAAGGACCATTTCATATGCAGGCGAGGGGGGGGGGGGGTCACAGGTTTTCAAGGTCAACAGAGGGGATCAGTCGCCGCCTACAGAGTGTAGAGGAAGGGGACTATGGAAGATTGGGTGCCAATTAGGAGGATCATAAAAATATTACAGAGCCTTACGGGGGTTCAGGTAACTGTTTTCGTGACCTAACCAAAATCTTCCGATTCCCCCCCTACCCTTGGTTTCTCCTCCCCATTGTTTATCCCCTCAGGCGATAAACAATGAGCGATCCCTTCATGGAATATTTCTAGCGTAACTGTTTTCCAATAGAGGGGTCCCACATAAACTTCCTCTTTCATTTGGACCATATACCAGGTTATAACGTTGTTTTGTTGTCACGAATTATTGTTATTCTTTTTTTTTTCGACAAAGAGGGACCAAAAGCAGCCCTAGATACCCCTCCCTTAACTTTTCCTTGTGTTATTTTCAATCCATGTGTATAAATTTGGGAGACAATCTCTTGAGTCTAATCCTACGGGTTGAACTGAGGCAAATCGTATAAAAAACAGATATAGTTTGAAAAGGAGTAATGGTTAACACTTTAACTCCCAGGAGTGATTCACATGTAACTTCTCCCTACAATATCCATCCATTATCCAGCAAACACAGGGCGTGAAATTAATTTTTTTTTTCTGATAGCCACTTGGCTCCTAAATTCTTCAAAGTGGTAGCCAATTCAAAAAAAGTTGGTCGCCATTTTCAAAGACAAACAAAACCTTTAACTTCTCCCACCTAAATCCAAGATGGCGTCTAGTTATCGATCGAGATGCATGTGTTGCGTTTTGGAAACAAACTTAACAAGGAAGTTTGTCACGGATTTATCTTCGCAAATCTTTTTAATTCAATATCCAACCATTATCCAGCAAACAGGAAACGAGAGTACTCAATTGTATTAGGTAGAAGTTGTTATCTTGATCAAACACCAAATTCTTGCAACTAATTTACAAGGAAGTGTGTAGCAGCTAGAAGGGAGAATTAACAATCAGATCCTAGGAGTTAAAGGGTTAATTAAAAATAACAGGTGTTAAGTCACAACTTTAATTACTGACGTAAGTTTTAAAGATGCTGCGAAAACTGAGATCTAAACAGGCTCAACTGGATCGAGACTCTAATGATTTAAACATAGACGACGTTTTAGAGTAATGAGTTGGCTAAAATCACTCTCGTCCAACCCCAGGGCTTGCGGCCACAACAGGTTGGTCAGGCGTGAAGGTGCTCTGGAGCGTTAGAAACTTACGGTTCGCTAAGCTCAGCGATGGCTTGGCAACTTATTCATGCCCCCGTCAGTCGGAGAATCAGAGATAAGCTGTTTAATGTTTTAACAGAACGCTTTAAAATAGTCGCTGGTGTACTGTTATCCGACGTAGACAGAATTTCTCCTCACAGGATCAATACGTTATCAAACAGGCAAGTGATGGGAATGAAGAAATATATAAATTAGGGGAATATCATTTGATTCAATGACAAATTCTCAGAACTAACATCAAATGAATTGTATGAAAGAAAGGAGATTTATTGATGAGATCTTTGGAGTAAAAGGGTTGAAAGAGATTCGTGTGCACGGTCACAATGTTTGCGGGAACTTCTTTACTTATTCAGGGGATGTATGAATGGAAATTACTCACTTGAATTCAACCCGACGAGCCAACACGACGAGATAGTCGAAGATTTTGGCACTTTCAAAATAATGCATCGGCGATAAGGAAAATTTTTTTTCCGTTAACTTTGTTTGACGACTAAAATTTATCAATTTTCATGCTCAACGGCTAGATTTTTTTTGTCGAATTACGGCCAACGATTGACCCCATTAACACCCTTTTATATGTATCCCCCTACAGTACGTGATCATAAGTTGAAATACGATGAGTTAGATAAGTAATACTTATCAAACACCCTTAAATAAACCCTAAAGTATGTGATGAATTAACCCTCAATGAACCCCCTAAAGAATACGTTGATGACTATAGCCATTAACCCCAATTATTAACTTTTGAACTCTGGATACTGTATTTCTAGTGTTCTAATTGTTTCACTCATTTCGTTCGCTTTCTGTCCCCAAAGAGAAGAAGACTTCTAAAACGAGTCTCGACCAAAATTTAAATAGCTAGCACAAAATACATTTCCGGCAAACGCAATAGGTTTTGGCTCTTCCCTTTATTATTAAAAGTCATGACAACGGAAACTATCCCAGTTACCTTATGTGTACTGATGGTAACTGACCCTAATTTGGCGTAAATTTCATTTTTAAGGCCTTTTTGGCATTAATTCAACAATATTGTCCAAAATCTTGGACATATTTAATTGTTGGCCTTCTATCGTCAGAGGCCGCCTGCGCCATTTGCCTTTACCCATGATGTAGTATTTTTCCAAAGAATTCAGGGATCATGGTATTTTGGCTTTACATATTTCTTTAACAAAAAAACGGGTGAAGTAGATGGCTTCCGATTCATTTATTTTATCTCCATTGTTATCTTGTGGCATCCATTCAGCAAAGTAAGTGAGCAGCCCTGTGTTCTCTGTGAAGTTCGTTCCGTTCTTAATTGCTATTCTGACATTTACTTCGGTAGTCCCTGTCTTTCAACTGTCGTGCCACCGCTGTCCACCAGTTCACGTAGGCTTCAAAATCTTCTTCTGTGGCGTAAGCCTCTGCGTCATGGTGAACCCAAGAGATGATTGTTATCACTTCGTGTTTCAGACAGGTTGTTAAGAAACCGTGTGAAGTTGGCAGCGGAGTAGTTGTAAGAGTAAAAATCAGCCCTGCATCGAAGTCTTAATTTACTAAAACCTTTATCACGAACATCTTTAATGATCTGCTCCGAGTAATGCTTAGGGTTAGGTGAATTGACAGAGAACATTTCAGTCTAGTTTATTTCTTTTTAAACTGTTACATTGCCCACAAGTGGAAATCCCAAAGCCTATTACGTTGAAAAATTAGATTGGTTAAGTGAGAATATACCGAAAGAAAGAGGGTGGCATTATAAAAACTGAAGGAAAACAAAACAAGTGGAAAAGAAGGCAGGCAATCAATTTGACAAGTAGGTAATTTTTGGAAAGTACCTCAGTAAGGAAGCATGATATTCTTTTAAGAGTAGAAAAACGAAAATTTCACTTTCAGTAGCGAGTGAAAATGGTAGACAACGGAGAATCCACTGACCGACTTTGGTGTAAAACAATGGAAAGAGTCAGCGACGCACAACAAATGTGCAATTTACTGATATTTTATCAATAATTGTTAATGGATTTGATGCTAGCTGATATCATACTTTTTAACAAATCGACAGCGATGCAGCGTGGTCTTTACTCGACAACGATATTTCTCATCACAGTGGTCAAAATGTTGTGGACTCATTCGGCTGCGCCTCGTGAGTCCGTAATAAGACATTTTCTTTCAATCATCTACGAGACTACCTTTTGCCTCAGTTTCAAACTCCACCAACAGAAGGAAAAACAGTGGAAGCAGAATCACGGTTCTAAGCATCTTTTCTTCCATCAATTCCTGTTAATGATTAAAAAAGAAAGTATAATTCGATATTTCGGTGTAAAGATGTCAGTGTTGACAAGGACTCTTCTCATAACCCGGCGGGAGGGGGGGGGGCTACTTCTTATCAGTTATGCGATACTCACTTTTACTTTCACTTTCACCGGTGTAAAAGTCACTCTTGTTAAACCTTGTTGCAGATGGTGTCGGGATGAACAGTTAGTAGGTGCTTTTGTTTAGCTCGTGCCACAACTGAATTTACCAGCTTCAAATCACTCAATTTATTCCTTTCGAGACGTACAATTTCGCATTTACAAACCTCACGTATTTTCAGTAGTCAAGGTTACCTCGGAACTGGTAAAAAAGCAGTAAGGTCATAACCTAATCGAATGTACGATAAAGGTATACTTATCATAACCTGATTATTTTAGGACAGTACCTTCAGAGGAATGCTAAACATCACGTCGTAAAAGCACACGTATTAGGAAGTTCTTTCCCTATAGAAGCGCCCAATATATTTTAACAGGTTGCTTCTTTTAGCCTTAAAGGGGCTTTACTCAGTTGTATTTAGGCTATGAAGAGTTTTTGTAGTTACTGCTTCCTACACGAGAAAAGCCACTTTTGTCAACATTGTTGGATAGTGTTGTGAGATGTTGTGAAGGAGCTGACCAAACGCACGTAACATCTTGCAACATCCAAAAATCTTGCAACAAAAAATTGATCATTTTTCAAACTTAATCCAACTTTGACTACGAATATGTGAAAATCATATGCGCAACATCTTGAAAATCATATATCCAACATCTTGCAACATGCTCAGGTCTTGAGAAGAGGAAAATATTATTTTCGGACACGTACGTATTTATTAATAAAAGCGTTAGGATTGTATCATAGGATGTTAGGTTACGCGAGGAACCGTTGAGAATTTGAACTCGCTAAATATTCCGAGACATGAACATTTTACACGTAAGATTAATAAAACTAACTCATTCCTTATGTGTCCATCGTAGTTTCTAATGATCTCTGCCGTTTTGGGCTTGCTTTGCCATCACTGTAATTCTAGTCATAACGAGCACTTGGAAATGCTGGTGGAAAACTCGTTTTCATCGTAATGCGCGGAGATTTTTACACTTTCCAGGGTGCGATGATCTCAGATAGTAAACTGTGTTGATATTTCGGAATATTTAGCGTTGTTAATGGAGCATATGTTGTTCCCCATTCTATTCCTCATAACAAATTCAAATTCTAGACGATTCCTCGCGCAACCTAACACTGTGTAACATACGTAGCCTACGTGTAGCCGTACCCTCCTTCCCAAGGCAAAACGGAAGGTAAGGAAACTTCTACGTTCCCTCGCTTCCGTTTCACCTTGTGGCTACACATAAGCTAACACATACGTGTCCGAGAATTCATATTTCCCTTTTCTCGAGTGAGCTTGGGATGCCCTTGGTGCAACACGTTGCGCGCAACAATGTTACAAGTTTTTGCGTTGAAATGTGGCGTGCGTTTGGTCGGGCCTTAAGAGTGAGTCAGTGAGTGAGAGTTACATTACAGCGCCGAACTTCACCCGATTTTCACCCAATTTTACTCGAAGTTTTTTGTTTCGGAGTTTCTTCACCGTAGTTTGACTTTCGCACAATAAACAATTGGGTGCAGCATACACTAAAGAAAGAAGAATGCGTTTTATAACCAATTATTTTTTGCCTAACAGCACCCAAGATATGATCTTCTCTGTGGTTGCCGTGACGCTACGTTCTAAGTCACTACATCGTGGCCTCTCGACCTCGCGTGCCCATAACACGAAAGCACGTACGACATCTCAATTGTCTCAAAAAGTACTGCTTCTAGAATGCCTTAAAAAGCACAACCTCTCAAATGCCATAAAAGCACGACTTCTCAATTGTCTTAAAAAGTACAACTTCTCACATTTCCTCAAAGGCACGACTTCTAATATCTTAAAAAACCCAAATTCTCGAATGTCCTAAAAGTACAACTTCTCAAAAGCACAAATTGTCCTAAAAAAAACAACAAATTCTCAAAAGCGCAATTTCTCAAATGTCTTAACAGGCACAACTTCTAAAATGTTTTAAAAGGCACAACTTCTCAAATGCCTTAAAAGCACAACTTTTCAAATGTGATAGAAAGCACGACTTCTCGAATGTCATAAAAGGCAGGACTTCTCAAATGTTTTGGCTTCTCAAATGTGTAAAAAAGTATGACTCCTCAAAGGTTTTAAAAAGCACAACTTCTCAAATGTCTTAAAAGCACAACTTTTTAAATGTCTTTGCTTCTCAAATGTCTTAGAAAGCGAAACTTCCCAGATATCCTAAAAAGAACGACTTCTCAAATATCTAGGCTTCTCAAATGTCCTAAAAAGCACGACTTCTCAAATGTCTTAGAAAGCACAACTTCTCAAATATCTGATCACGAAAACGTAGGTGAATGTACGAGAAACACTGGTGTGTTGCTCTGGAATGTCAAAGTCCAAGTAAGGCAGAGACGTTTTGTTGACACGAACAACCGGAAGAAGACTAAAACTAATTCTGGCACGCTTTGTCGTCAATGGAACCACTGTAAGGTTGTCGTTCGTTTAGCATTTTAAACCAAATTGTGCTGACCAGAAAGGTGTAGTGAGCACTAAGAATGAAAACTTCTAACTTCCAGCAGCTTCCGTCCACGTCACAAAGACATTTGTGCTTAACTGCTCCCTACACTAAATTATAGTTCACTCCTCAGATTTTTCTCGCTGACCCCACCGGAATTGTGTATGAAAATTTCACGTATCTGATTTACACGGTGTTTCGCAATGGTCGAGTGGCCACTGAGAGAGTAGATCCTCTCTTGAGGTCACTAGAAAAAAACGCAAAAAAAAGAACTCGGCCAATATCCAGCCATCTTGAACTCACGCCTAATCAATAACGCATATAAACAGGCGTAATTCATCTTCTAGAACTTACATGATGCAAATAAATAAATACAGATGCGAGGTAAGTTTGTTTTCAATCGAAACTAGCTCAGATTTTTGGGTTTGGTTCATTTCCATACAAACCTTTATGGCGTAAAACAAACAAACAAGACTGACAGAAGGCTACTGTCTAAGCTGCGGGTAAGAGCTGCCTGTTCCGGAACTTACACACTCGTTCACCTGCTCATTTCAAAATCGAGGAAAAATTCCGACGCAAAATTGACGTAAAAATGAGTTTCTTCACGTCAACCGCTGATAGGCGGATATCTTTAAAAGCTGTCATGTGCTCAATGATTTGCTCCTGTTCATGAAAGAATTCAATGGTCAGAATCTATGGCCAGAAAAAGATCTACTTTCTCTTTCTCAAGGACGGTAAAACTGAGGAGCTGTAAAGCATGTGCTGTCAGTTGATACTGGAACAATCTATCAACCAGCGAGGGAGTTGTGATGGCTCCTTGTGGAGCGTGAAATTTAGTTTGGGGGGAAACTACAGTCCTCAACCCCCGTCGACTGGCTCAGCCGTCTTTACTTCTACGTAAGTGTCAAACAAACAGGTAAACTGACAAAATACAAGCAAGCCAGACGGTGCCAGTTTCGGTGCCAGTCCATTATCTTTCTCCGTGATGGAGAGAGACTGGGGCATTACGTTACCACCTTCAATTTGAATTTTTTGTCGCGGATATTTCTGGTTGTATCCGTTGTAATCAATGTAATGAAGCTAAAATGAGCAGCCCGGAACATCGACAACTCATAGGAAGGTTCAGCTTAACCGTCAATGGGGAAGAGAAAAACGTTGACGTGTACGAATTTCGATATGTTTGGAAATCTCGATCTGGGATCGAGCTTGTCGACCGCCAAAATGAGAACGGGGACATTTATGCTATTTTGTCAGCCAATCATCCTGAGGTTAATCTGGAACCGGGAGAATTTATCGTGAACTCGAGCACTGAAAATAAGGAAATATTGCCTCAAATGCAGCAATTCCCAGAGTTTGAAGATACTGGACGAGTTGCAAATTTTTCCGGTGGCAAGTTTCCAATATGGCGACTACAAAGCTACGATGTTTGCCCGGGAGAAGTCGTCAGAAATAAGGTTGAAAGCGACTTACACTTTACAGGTGTTGTAGAGAGGCTGTTTTCTGATATGCACGAAAGCCTTCCCAAGAAACAGTACAAGGATGTGATCGCTGCAAGTCAATTGATTGAAAGCTTGCAGTTTTTGTCACAAGCACTGTGTGAATCAGATTTCTTTTCGGAGGACGCTCAAAGCTTGAAACATAATGAAAAATGGTTAACGAAAGACGCCAGAGGAAGGTGGAAGATTGTGAGAGAGACAGAAATATAATTAATTGTCATGACATCCAAACTTCTTGTACCGAACCGTGACTACTGGCTTACGTTTAAGTTCCACAACGATTCGGTGGGCCGTGTCGCAGAATGGTTACGACTCAACATTTGTGTAAACTGAAGTTGCCTCTTATTACTCAGCTGTGTTAATGATAATCACAACCTTTTATTCCTCTCTGCCGCTTCGACTGTCCACAAATCAATACTTGCAGTTGACTAGCTAAGATGAACAGCAACTGTAAACCAAATCAGTTTTCATAAAATAGTCTCTCGTTATTAAGAATATATGTTATTCACCAGCTGGGTGCCCGAGGGCTTGAGTACCGCCCAAGGCTCAAGACCTCGGGCACAGTTTTTCCCAATACGGACCGACCTAGTCTGTTGAGTAACATTTTCATTTTTTCCTAACTTAACAACATTTTTGCCAAAGGAACCCGATTGATTTAAAGCAGTAATTAAGGCAAGATCCTCCTTTGACTGAACAATTTTTGAGCGAGTAAATGGTAATCAGACCACAGGATTCGTTACCGTGTCCTCTGAGAAAAAGGAAGGTTTTTATTTTTTTCTTTAAAATACTGAACATCGCACTGCTATAACATGTAGAGACACGTGACACTGCATAACCTCACGCTCTGTCCAATCTATCTTTGAATTAATTCGAGGTTTTCTTTTTCATTTATTATAGGCAGTATAGTTTTCTTTGAAAACCAGTTGAAACAGAGGAAACCAAATTTAAAGGAATGTCACATACGAATGAACTGTGGCGAAAACCTTGTCCTGAAAATAGTACATTCGTAGAGAGAAAGACTTGAATGGCTTTTCATGATAAACTTTATTTCCTCTTCTCCTAAGAACAAAAGAGGCCCTGAACAGAATTAGATTTAAAGCTATCAAAACCAGCCCTGCTTGAGAGCACTATTTTCAATTCTTGCCTGTTTGTTTCATTCAATATTCACAAAACATTTCAAAAATATTATTAGTTATAATTTTGCAAAGGTTCCACCAATGAGTGCAACATATGAAGTAAACTGCATACAAACTATCCTTGTCTCTTAAAGCAGTTTTCAATTGAGTAATGAAACTAGTGGTGTTGCCTTAGTTTTGCTACACTTTGGTCTGAGTAGTTTTCAATTAACTGTCAAAAGTAATTCATGATTACTTTGGTTTTGCTTAACTTTGCTCTTTGATTGGATCAGAAAACTTCTGACAACTTTTAAACCAATCAGACTCAAAAAATTAAACTACTCATGATATGGTTGCCTACAATTTCCCTTATTTCATGCAGTTTGCTGTTTTTACTTCAAGCTCTCATTTAATGATGATGTCAATCTTAACTGACTCCAATTGGTTGTTGTGATTACTTTGGTTTTTTTTTTAAACAACTGAAAACTGCTCTTAAACAAAATCTCACTTGTTCACTTGTATTTTCTTGCCCATAAGACAGTTTATCTGTTTTAATTTAAATTCTCATTAGTCCCACGTGATGTTTTTCTTCCAATGGGCTTTTGTGATTACTTTGATTTTGTTTTAAAGACACTCAGTCAAAAAGTGCTGTATGTGCTGATAAGGAATTAAATAAGTTATATCATGCCTGCTGTAAGTTTCCCCATACTTAAAGTAAACCAGAATATATTTTTGTTCTTTTACTCTGTATTTTACATAACTATCACACAAACCTTTAAGCATATCATTTTAACCCTAGCTCATAAAGTCAGAAAATATTTATCTTTTGACAATTTTATTTAAATTACTTCCTACAAAACATAGACTACAGTTCCATTTTCAAACACAGTGTCATAAAATAATTATTTTACAGGGTACAGTCGAACCTTGATTATCCAGACTCATGGGGGACTGGGCTCAATAGTCCAAATAATTGAAAATATGAATATAAATGTTTGTAGATGAAAGGACCAGAGATGCAACTTACAATAACCAAAAAATTCCAATAAATGAGGTCTAGATGATCAAAGTTTGACTGTACTTGTACTTGCGAACTCTAGTAACAACAACATTCCCCAACAATTTTATTGTTTACATTTTCAAAACATCTATCTATCAAGGATGCATTTATTCCACCTGCTGTTATCAAGGTTAAATCATGAATGGCACACCCAGTGCTCCTTTAAGGTTGCTTACTATCTTCTTCACTTTCCTGAAAGATAGTTTTGTTTTATTTAGATTAGGAGTAGTGCAGGTTGAAAAGTTCACCATTGTAAGGTGAGTTAAAATTGAAAGTAAGCTGCAACAAAAGGCCCTTAAAAGATGATGAAAACAAAACACTTTATTTTTGGAAAAAAGGTTGTGGTATTTAAAAAAGACAGACACAGAAAGGGCCTGATGACAATTGCATCATTCCTGTTTTGAAGCAAAAGACAACCTTATTTCATTTGTAAGCTTGAGGGTATAGTTTGCTGTCCAACAGCCCTATTAATAAAAGCAAATGCAATTTTTTTTCTTTGTATACTAAACCATAATTATTTTTATGGCTAACAAGTCCTGCAGAGGGCCTATCAACTTTACCAAGTACACTACCTTTTTCTCTGCTTCTTGTTCAGTTCTTGAGGTGGCACTGACTTCAGGTAACTTCTGATTAAGTAGTTCTTCATCCTCGGAAGACAGTCCAACAAATGTTTGGTCTTTGTCCATACCTCCAGGTACATCACTTGTCTTAATTAATTATTAAGAATTCATTTCAGTCTTTTGCTTTATCAAAGGTTTCCCTTCACTTTTTTATCAAATTTTTAAGACTAATTTGATTTTTGTTGTTGTTTAGCAATCACTTGACTGAATGAAAAAAAGCCAAATTATATATGTAAAATATATAAAAGGAATGTATCTCACACAGTTTTAACTAAACCTCAAATGTTGACCTCATATGAGTGACTAAATAGGAATTTCCTTTTAAATTATCAATTCATTTTGAAGTAGAGAGGTGATGAGAAGACAAAAAATTTTAATTACAGGGCATTGTTTGATTTGGCACCAAATTCTCACAATAAAACACAAGAGAAATCTTTGAGAGACAGTGCAGTGAAGGGATGTTTTGATCCTGGGAGGGAAAGGATTAACTCACAGAAGACATGCTTTGTGAAGGCTATGACACCCATGTTAAATAAAATTCAAGGGTTTTAAAAACTGACTGACCTCAGCTTCTGAGCCAAAGAAATCATCAAGTTCCTTATCCATATCACTGTTGTCTTCTAACATGATATCATCCAGAGATCCGCTACCCCGACCATGCACCAAACAGATTGGTTCTAACATGCAAAATTATTAGTTGACAGACAGGCTTCAAGTTAATTGTGAATTTCATAAACTTGTTCTTTACAAACTATGAAGGGACTTAGAAAACTGTGAATACTTTGATTTGATTGTAAAGGTCAATTGTATCCTGAACAATCTCAATGGTAACAGAAATGCAAGCAAACTTCAAAATCACAAACTTAGAGCCATCACTATTTGCAGTTTTGCTTTCTCACCCTGATTAGCCTTTACCCTAAAAGACAATAACATTTTGTGAATATTTCTGGTCTTCACAGTTTACTGAGTTTCAGAGAAATCTTTAGTGGTTTGATATTAATAAATACACAGGAATATTTTGCCTGACAATCTTTCTCTTTTTACTTTCAGAGTGGTTAGTGACATCTGATCGTGAAACTGTTTGGATTTACCATACATAAAATTTGCCTACCCTGCATTTAATCATTTGTACATGCAAAAGAATGATATTTTGGCATATAACTGCAAGCAGTTAACCCTTTAACTCCCAGAAGTGATTAACATAAAATTTCTCCCTACAATATCCAGACATTCTTCAGCAAACAGGTAATGAGAATATTCAAACTTATCAAGTAGAAGCTGCTATCTTGATCTAGCACCATGTTCTCATAACTGATTTACAAGGAAATGTGTAGCAGCTACAGGGGAGAATCAACAATCAGATTTTGGGAGTTAGAGGGTTAAGTAAGAATCAATAAAGGTCATGTATTTTGTTTTTTCATACCTTCCGTTCTGCCATGCTGTATGTAGTAGTTCATTTGTTCAAGAAAGGCATCTTCATAGACTTGTCGTTTTTCTATGGAAGCTTGCCTCTCCAGTTGCTGTATTTTAACTTCATTCCTTTCCTTGGCTAATTGAAGCTCCTCTAAAACAATTTGAAGAGCAATCATGATTACAAACTACCATAATTGTATAACCTCTTCCTGAACTCTGATGACAACTTTCATCACATTTGATGTATCAAATGATTTATCCTATGATATCACAACCATCTTACATTTCCACTTAGTTTGAATCATAAACCATGCAGAGAAATTAAAGCAATATAATTAAACAAGTAGGACCAACAATCTCTTTTAATCTGCTCCCACTATTGTGAAAGCACTATGACTAGAAGAACTGGTTGTGCCTCTAAGAAAGTTATTAATTAACCCAGATCACAAGCTACCACTAGCGCCCATATTCTCCATACTGTTCTCTATACCTGTAAATTTCCTTGGGTAATGATGAGGAGAATTTGATTATTAATCAAGAGCTTTCTTAGCTTGGTGATCATTTCCTTTATTTGAGTGACTTCGGTGTGTGACTCAGGGGTCATATTGTGAGGAGAAATGAGACACTGGCAGTCTTAGGGGTCAAAGGGTTTAAAAGTGACAAAGAATATTTTCTTACCTCTAAGAGTTTCTAAATCATCCCTGAAAAATCAATTGCGGTAGAAAGTAAGGTAAATGAATAACTGATGTAGGTGACAGAAATGTAAGACAAGATACATGTACACTAAGTGGATGTAAGTAGTACATTATAGGTATTTTTAATCATCAAAGATACTGTCGTATGCAAGATTAATGGATGACTACAAGTGTACTTCAGTTTATAATACAGAACACCACAGTCACCAAAGTGCTTGAGGAAGGTATAAAAACCATAACTGAAGCTAGCAAGCTACGCACTGAAATGTTCAAATCATACAGAGAACTGGTAATGAATAGATAATGAAGGCTTCTTTGGGGTAGCTTGCTTTGCCAGTGTCCCATGGGGTTGTGCTGTGACAATTTACTGATTCTTAACAACTGCTACTTCATGCTGAATGAAATATATGTTTAACTTACTCTCTGTTATGTCTTAGCTTGGAAAGCTTGAGTCCTTGTGCAGCTTTCCTTCTCTCTAGGTCCAGCTGTTCACAAACCTCTTCCAAGTCTATCATCAAGTTATCCAACACTTCTATCTGTCCACCAAAGGCATCTAACAACAATATCACACCAAATAGCTTGTAAGCCAATGAATAGCTACATGATGTAATGAAATTTGCACATGAATACCATTATATAGGGCATGTTTTTGTAACTTACCAGTATGTTTTGGGTTTCTATGACCAAGAATTAATTAGTTACAGTTACCATAAAAGCTTTATAACTTATCATATCATTGAATTTAGCAACTGTTCTCTTTCTGGATGCATATAACACAATAGCACTGTATAATTCTGCTACTTATGAAATGAGACCCCATGGTACCAAACCACTTCATGCTGTATTGCTCTAACTGTCTCTAGCCTGGCTGTAGCCAACCCCTAAGAGTGACTGGCTTTTGATTTCTGAGAATTTCAGAGTTAGCATTAAAAGCCTTGCTGCAACTGTTCCTATGAAAACATATGTACTCAAATATTCATACATGTTACATGTACTCAAGTATACCTATATCTGCCTTGGCTGTTTCAATGTTCTTTATCACTTCAGGTAGTAAAGCCAGTTCTGTGTGGAACATATTCATGTTGGTGTATAAATTGGAACATATCTTGGAAAACTCAGCAATACTCTGATCAGACCTCTAGAAAAAGAAAATTTAAAAATAGACAAAAACAACAACAACACAAAAGTAAAACATTCTGAATGACAAGAAAAAAACTGACAGAACGACAAGAAAAAACCTACTATGGTGTTAATTAAGCTTACTGACCTCTGCTTTTTCTGCACATTCTCTAGATGCTTCATGAAGCTCTGCCCATTCTTTTTGGAACCTAATAAATGTTTACCCATTATTTTTGCAATGATTTATATTTCATATTAATTAGCAATAATTAAATATTTAACCTAAAGCTGTGTGTAGTCAAAGTTATAGGTGTTGAAACTGAGATGAGAACATTGATACTGAAAGTACAATTTTAAAACAGCTAACCATGGCTCGCTTTTAGTACAAAAAAAAATGTATTAGAGTTTCCAAAAAAAGAACTAAAGCATATTTTTCTTTCTCTGTAATTTATCAATCTATGGTCAAACATTTTATTCCTGAGCCAATTCAGTATGATACTAAAAAATGAACATCTCAACCACTGAGTGTCAATATGTAACATGCTGTTGTTCAATATGCAAGATGTACATGTTGTTGTTCAGATCTTTTTTAGATGAAGACAGCAGTGGGAAAATGACACTTCTTTCTGGTGGCCATTCCTCCAACTGTCTATACCATTTCAATGACAATTTTCTGGATAATTAGTTGATAGAAAAATCTCAAGAACATCTTTACCTAATCCTTTCAACCCTGATAGTGACTACCATGTAATATCTCCTTACAGTAATACTACTGAATTATTCATTAAGATTATGAAGATAAAGGAAATGATTGCCAACCTAAGAAGCTTTGATCGTTAACAAATTCTCCCTGTCAGTATCAAAGGAAAGGACTGGAAAAGAGTAGGAAGAATATACATGTGTGTAGATACTGATGTTAGGGTGTAAAGTTTTCAGTTCCCAAGCAGAATGTACTTTTAAGTTTTACCTATCGCTGATTTGTTGAAATTGTATTACATATTAACTGGAATAGAAGTGGTCTATTTTTCTCCACTAATTACTGGCACTTAGTCATCACTTACTTGCTTAGGATTTCAGAACCTGCCTCAAGGTTACAACTAAAGCACTGGTCATCACTATGGATCAGGGAAAACCACAAAATGATAATGATTATTTAAATAAAATCACTTTGGGCTCTCCTAAGCTAGCACAATAAAAAAAGCTCAGTGGGTCAGCATACATGCTGTATGTCAGCAATTTGCATCATTTACAATTCTCTTAGTGGTTTCTTGCTCTTTTTCTTTCTAAAGTGCTTAATTTTTTGTGCAAAACTTACAATATTTAATTCATGGGCATGACATTTACCATATTTCTTCAAACAAGCACCCTAAGTGCTTGATTGAAGTATTTAACAAATAGTAAGTTTATTTCACAATAAAAAAATAAATAACAATAAAATGTGAAGATATAGCACAGAAAGGGAATTCAAAGATTGTAAGCCAGTAAACAAATGATAATCAATTATCATGTGTGCACCTGAGTTTTTTTTTTTCATGTAGAAGGGGGTGTTGAGTTGGGTGGGTGCCTAAATTCAAACCTAGAGACTTAATCAATTAGATAGGTATGCAACTTTAACATCACGCGAATCACCAATTAAGAATTATTGCAATGAAACAGAGAGACCAGAACATGTTAACCGAGAGATGTATGCAATGAAATAACCCGTGTTCAAGTAGAGCAATTAACATGAAGAAAATACCTCGATTTGAGAACCTACCTTTCAATTACTTCATCTGTGATGAATGTCGTTCTTCTGTTCAATAAAACAGGATATCTGTACTCAAGCTTATTGTTACACAATACCTTAAGACTAACATCTAAGTCCTCATTATAGTATCAGCCCTGAACCTAACACAAAAGTCACGAGAGTGAAGGAAATGATCGGCATCTTAAGACGCTATCGACTGTTATAAAAACTATCCTTGTGAACATCACTAGAAATGTATGAAGATTATCTTAAATATACGAACTGATGCTAGGGTGTAAAGGGTTACCCAGGTTTAGGTAGCTACAGTTAAGGATATTAATCTTGATTATCCAGTTATATACACGTAAAAGCTTACACAAAAATAACAATTAACACCACATACTGATATACTAACCTTACTATTTTCTTATTGACAGCTTTGGCCTTATCTGCGATTGATTTCCAGCTGATGGAGGATAAAATCAAAACCGAGTAATGATCATAGGCTTCTTCTAAAACTCGTGCAAAACTATACAATCACAATTACTCTTACCCTTGGGTCAGATCATGTTGTACTGTTTGCAAACGATCTCTAAAATTATCAAACATTCTGTCTGCGTTATTACACCGAGATCATCTAGCCTTCTTGGTATTAGTTCGTCTCGAAAATTGACTAAATGTTCTCCATCTTTTCTTTCTATTTTTGTTCTTTGACTATATTAAACTACGAGAAACCGCTGACTAAATATGGCCCACAATGCATCTCTAGGTCATTTCTAATATGGCCGCAGGGCGCTTCTTGAGTTACTACATCACGGGCGACGAGCGGGGCAGGAAGAAATGACCGAAATACAAGCGGTCAGCGGGAAAAAAATTTAATAGCTCATATAGAGACATATCAGTTGTAGTTTCAGAAAGCAATAGTGTTGTAAAGCCGAAATGTGAATAGTATACTTCGCTCAATAAAATGTGAAACAATTTTTCAAAAGTGTTGATGGCACATATATCTTTTACTGCTGTAATAAACAATGGAGGTATCGGGAAAGGCATCGGTTGCATTCGGAAAGGCACTAAGAAAAATTATATTTACGTTTTGTAACACGCAAAAAACAATCGTGTTGTAAAGCCAAAATGTTACCAGGTTATACTTCTCATCAAGAAGAATGATATTTACGATAAGTAACTTGTTGTATGACGAAAAACAGTATCTTGACTTGTTTAAGGCATTAATCACAGTCGGTTTGCTTTTTACTTGAATTTTGCAATCTCGACTTTCGATTCCGGAAAAAATGAAAAGCTAAGCAACTCTAAAAAAATTTCGTTCCAGATTTTTATATTTTTAGAGTCATTAATAAGTTTGTATCCACAGCCTTTAGATAAGAAATTTTAAATCTCCATCTGCTGTAGTTCTTTTAGTGTATTTTATATATATTCAATCGCCTCGTTTCACGTGAAAAAGGCATGTAGGAAAACACTGAGCTTCGAGAAACAGCCAAGTTAAGGCTAATGTATTTACCATGCTTAAATATTTATAATCAGGGCCGCTCGTTTAGGAGACCTTTTTTCAAAAGACCCAGGCGTTAAAATAATTCTGTTTTCCGTTCGAAGTGTTTTTTTTTTCTTTTTTATTTAGCAAATGAACTCGGGATGAAAACTTTCGAAGCGAACGGCAGGTGAAATGTTGTGTTGGTGTCTCTGCCCCCCCACGTCTCTGCGAAAGGTACATCCAGACAACCTGCATGGAAAAACTGACCATAGCTATCGCACCACATTTTTAAAAAAAATCTTTTAAACTTAACTGGTTAGCAGCACTCTACGAACGGTAGTTGTAAAATTTCTTTATTCTCCGACGCGTTTCGTTTAACTGTCGTAAACTTCTTCGGGGAGTTTTACAGTTTAACACTAAATGACTGTGTTTATAAGCCATAGTTAGTGGCTATACGGGAGCCAATGACCATATAGGCTTGGCCGGACCTACGAATAGGAACTGGTGAAGTTGCGGAAAATTTGAAAATTTTTTGGGGCAAGGTGGGAGAATTAATTTGGGGTCCACGGTTTTGGTTTTCTTTTTTCGTCACGCACCAAGTTACAAAACGTAAATATAATTCTTCTTGGTGTCTTTCCAGATGCCACCTATACCTTTTCCGATACCTACATTGTTTATTGCAGCAGTAAAAGATATATGTGCCATCAACACTTTTGAAAAATTGCTTAACATTTTATTTAGCGAAGTATACTGTTGACATTTCGGCTTTAGAAGACTATTGTTTTCCGCAACTATAACTGATATGTCTCTATATGAAGTATTAAATTTGTTTACCCGCTGACCACTCGTATTTCGGTCTTTTCTTCATCCCCCACTCGTCGCCTGTGATGTAGTAACTCCCCGCTTCTTGTTCGTTTCCTGTTTGAACCTTGAAAGTATTGTGGAACCTGAACATTGACTTAAAAATTTTCCAATATATCAGCGCGTTTTGAGATTCAGAAGCTCGGAATTTTTTGGCGCATTGCTTATCTTTCTCAAGTTGTTTGGGATCCATCTGTGATCAAGTTTACCTTTCTTCATTTTGTTTGTAATTCTGGAAGATTCGAAGGCGCACTTAACAACGTAACCTAATTGTTTATGTAGTTATTTCAAAGTAGAGGAGGAAATGGCGAACTCAAGTGACGAGTCTCTTATTATGACTTTACTGGAACAGATCAGGGCTTTGGAAGATGAGAGGGATAAGGCTTTGCAGCTTGTTAGCGACCTCGAGAAGAAAGTGAAAGTAGGCTCAAAGTCAGAAACAGATTCTCACGGAGTCCAAGGTATCGACAGTCCGAGCGAGGAGTCTGAGACGAAACTTGAGAAATTAAAGGAAGAGAACGAAGTTTTAAAAGGAACCGTTGAATCAATGGCACAAGCGGTGATATTCGATCTCGAAGAAATTCGACTCAATGAAGAGCAACGAAGATTTAATTTAAAAGAACTCATTTGCGAGGAGCAGAATCATCAATCCGAAGAGGCAAGCAAGGACATGGATGCTGATGGTTATAAGACAATGTTGGACATGTGTAAAAAGTATTATGGAAAAATGGTGGCTGAGCTTCAGGACGAGAGAGGCTCTTTACAGCAGAAGGTTGAGAAACAGCAAGCTTTGCTCCTGGAAAAGGACATGAAAATTGCAGAACTGGAATTGAAGCTACAGCAAGGTTCTCGAAAGTAAAATATGCTAATTGCTTGAAATACATCTTTGTGAAAACAGGTTAGATTTTGTATATTTTGATACGCAACACTCAGAGAAACCAAAGTTCAAATGGGATTCATCATTCGTAAGTTACATGGAGATAACTATGGTTATAATGATGAAATAAAATTTAGGGGCTCCTGATCAAGTTAATTAAAAGAATTTGAAAATCAGACTTGGTTTGATGCTCCTCTGGTTTAAAGATTTAATGAATGTAACTGAGTAGTTACAATTCATAGACCCATCATACAGAACCCATCAAGAGAATTTTGAATAGCCACAACATTTAAGTTGCTCAAAAACCTTTAGGACTTTAGGGTATATTTTTGCAAAACCTTAGGATCCATTAGGAAAGGACAATGAACTGACACTATTTATTTTATTTTGTGGAATGACTGTGATCACAAGTTTATCAGACAGACCAAAAAGAGCATAGAAAGGGGTCTTCTTTTGGGAAAAAAAATTCAGCTTTGTCAGTGCATGCATGCGTTACCATGGGCAGCTCAAGCTCTAGCTGTGAGATGATCTTCTTGTGAAATAAGAGTCATTACAAAATTATAAGAATTTGTATGAGAATATTTACAACCACTCTAACAATTAAAAAAATAAGTCAAATTCTCATTAAAATACCTCACCTTACTTCTACAGTGCATTTTCTGTTATCTGAGCGCTTACTATGTTGAAAAGAACCCATTTTAGCTAGCTATCCATTTCCCATTTCAAGCTTTCCTTATGTATGTAGTAAACCTTGAAATGGATAACTTGCTAAAGTGGGTTCTTTTTAACATAGTAAGCAGTCAGATAACAAGCAATGTATTGTGAAAGTAAGATGAGGTATTTTATTGAGAATTTTATTTATTTTTTTTATTCCCTAGAGCTTCAAACTCACATCTTAAGAATTTTATGGTACACAGTAAGGAGAATTTCTAATGAGATCTTAGGCGTGAAAGGGTTAAGATAAGTCAGTGCTGTGGTTCATCAATGTCCTAACCCAGTGGTTCAGATTTTTTCTTTTCAACATATTGGGAGGAAACTTAGTGATGTCTTTCATGGTGATAATAACTGTAGAAATATAAAAAAAAATGTGAAATGTTTGCCATTATAGTATGTCAAAGAGAAATTCTGATTCCCCTGAGATTAATTGATTTTCAGACCTTTACTGATGCATATGTTTGCATATTGGCTCATTATTTTCAGTGAACCAAGGATGTGAAATAGTGCATCACTGCTGGGCATAAGTAAATGGTAAACTGTCTCTTGTAACTGTAAAACTGCTCAGGATTGATCAGGGTTACAGTTCATTCAATTAATGTTTTGACACACATAATAAAGAGTCAAATGACTCATTCTTAGGAAAGCAAGAATTTGAATTAGGATATTTCTCATATTTCATATTTAATTATTGACATTATCAAGTGAATGATTGGGAAATGCCTTCATAAATTAATAAGCATTTGTGGCAAAATGGGTGGTTTGATAATTCAATTGCAAAAATAAGTGTTGCAATCAGCTCTACTGCTGATTGCCAGAATGTTGCCAATCACTTGTTATGTGCAAAGTAATTGAAAACAGAGTCACATTTTCTTCTAACAACAAAATTTACAATGAAGAAATAACCCAACTTTTTTTTATTTTAAGCATTGCTGTACACAGACAGTTATTTAAGTTTTCAATAGTTTTATCATGAATATTCATCAATATGACATACATGTAGGTCAGAAAGATATTCCATGAATTAAAGTATAATGTTTTAAAATTACATACAAATCATAAGTGTGGTTGAAATTGTTTATTTTGTAGTATTTCCTAGGGTTGAATTAAATGCTTTTTGAGATTTAAAGGTACCAGATTAAAACCGATCAAACTTTTGCTGTTGACCCTTAAACTCCCATGAGTGACCATGAGAGATTTTCTCTTTACAATATCAATACGATATCAAGCAAAAAAGTGATGAGAATAAAGAAAAATATCAATTGGGAGATTATTAGTTGATCTAATACTATATTTCCTGAACTAGCATCTTAATAGCGGAGCTCGCAGAGTGTAGCCCCATAATTCTACAAAATAGTAGTAACCCATCAAGCTGAAAAAATCTGGATGTACGACCGTACGACCGTACAAGGTGCTACTTTTAACATGCGTGGTCAACTGTACCGCGGGCACGCCAACGCCACGGCTTTGTCCAGTGGTCAGTGCACTGGGCTCCGAGTCGGACGACCCGGGTTCTAGTCCTGGCCGGGGCAAGGCGTTGTGCCTTTGAGACGTGCGGGAAAAAAATGCGAATTCCGCTTTTAGGCTTGGCTAAATTTATATATTAATTGTATGGCAGACAATAAAAAAGAATTACTAATGAGATTTTGGGGAGTGAAAGGGTTAAAGTGATGTTACTTCTTTTCAGCTGGAAAATGCATTTACTTTCTGCATACACATCACTTGTTTGCTTAATTTTGCCAACTGAAACCACGTAGAGAGAAGAAAGAAAAGAGGAGAAATGAAGAGTTAAATAGCAAAGTTGAGCAAAGTGAAATTCATAGTAAAACAGTAAAGGTTTTGAAATTCTGTGTCAGTCTACAAAAAAATATTTTGCAGCTTTTAATTATTTCAAAACTTCACTATTTTAAATGGAAGTCTCTTCAAATGACTGAAAGACTCATTCTTCAAATTAGTTTTGCTCGACATTCAAAACACATTCAAGACCGTTGAAGCACAGGCAACCCAAGCTTCAGCTGTGAGATGATCATCTTGCGAAATAACTGTCATGATGGAATTATAGGAGTCTGTATGGAAATATTTACGACCGCGCTAAGGAATTAAAACATACGTCAAATTCTCAATAAAAATACCTCACCTTATTTCCAGTGTATCACTTGTTATCTGACCGCTTACTTTGATGAAAAGAACCCATTTTAGCGAGTTATCCATTTCCATTAATCATCTTACAGCTGGAGCTTGGGCTGCCTGTGGTTGAAGTTGTCATGCAGAAGTTGGTAATTTTTATATAAAAAAAAAAAGGTACGTGCAGTGAGTTCTTTGTCTCATACCTACAAACTTTATTTAATTCTGCCCAAGGGATTTTTCAGAATTAATTTACAATGTGTATATATAATATAAAAGACTAATGATATAAAATAATAACTTACTTGTACTTGATATAGAAATAACTTAAAATTACTACTACTAAATGAACAATCATAAAAACTAACACTATTAAATATTCTATAGTTATAAGTTGAGAGACCGGTATCCTATTTCTTCGCTAATTTAGCCTTTGATCTTAGTGATCGAGCAGTTCTAGTGTTGTTACTGAGACTATTCCACGCTTTTGCTACCTTATAAAAGAAACCACGCTGGGCAGCCGTTGTCCGGCATTTTGGCAAATTTAGATCTTCACTGTTGCGGAGATTGTAAACGTGCGATGTTGAGCGCTTCTCTATTTTACAGCTGATATATGCTGGCACTAAATTGTTAACACATTTATACATCATTGTCACGTCAAGCAATCGAAGTTGCTCCTCTATAGCTAGCCAGCTAAGAGCATTCAAGGCCGGTGTAATATGATCAGGAAATACGCAGAACAGTAGAATAATTTACTAAACACAATAGAGTTAATCATTATATACAGAACTTCTTTGGAGAACAGGTGGCGAACCCTACTTATTTTACATAAACTAGTTTGCAAAGATGACGATAACAATGAGATATGATTATTGAATGCTAAGCCAGAGTCCAGGGTAACACCTAGGTCTTTGGCGGACGAGACAGGACATAGTTGTTGTCCAAGAAAGGGTACAGTGACGTCAGGTAACTTTGATGCAAGTTGCAGTGTTCCAAGGAGCACAAGTTTAGTTTTATCCGGGTTTATAAGCTAGTGATTTGTTGTTATTTGCCTGCTATCCATCGCTCTAAGGATGTCGTCCGTTACTTGTAAGCTCAGCGTTTCCGTTGATTGCAGAGATCGGTTTCCACTTTGATGTGTCGTCAATCGGTTATGCAATGTCAAGTAGTCATTGAGCTGACGTAGTTAGTCTCAAATATAAGATTTTCATTGCCTTTTATCCACTATCACAGCAAGCTTAATCTTGGCAGACTAAAGTAGGTTGTCCATCTACCGCTCCTACTATTTTATTGCGACACAGATTTTAATATCACAAATTAGACAACAACCCACATATAGCATGGGCTAATCCTGGCAAATATTAATAATGCATGCATTTTGAGTATCAGTAAGCTAAAACTGCAATTTCGATGCAATTACATACTTATAGACAACACGAAAAGGTAAAACAGGCAATATCGAAATTTGTCCATTTAAAAAATAGCTGTATTCTGGGTTTACTGCCACCCTACATTTCACACCTCCGGTATACTGTTCCGCACAATTTGTAACTAAATTTATGTAACTTTAGCTTGATACCCACCTCTTTTTCAAGAATTTTTCACTGAGGCAAGCATGTTGCATGGAAACCACCTCAACTCCTTTCACGTCTATAAAAACTCGCTCTTGATATTCCCTAGCCAATCAGGTTGTAGGAATTCTCGTGGCTACGCTTAATTGAAGGTGACCAGGTACTTTTAACTTACCCCTCCCCATCTTTACCTATGACTAGCACATGCGGCTTGGTTAAAACCAATTAAATCATTTCTCAGGGGGGGCCGTTCATTTGACAAGCAATGACAAATGAAGTACAAATATTGATAGAGTTTGCGCATGATATGTATAATAGTGACCCAGAGAAGTTTAATCAGTTTCGTCTTCGTTGAATCACACTGCTTCAAACAAAAAACCACTTATAGGATATTCTACTTTGAAAAGGAAGCCACATCCAGCTCTATTACAAACAAAAGACTTATCCTGATCGAGGTACATGATATTCACTCGTGTCAACTTTTTAGGCGTTTTAAAATTGCTGAACGTTCCAATTTTTTCTCATGGCCAAGTTCAAATTAGCTGTTTATGTTGTGAGTATTAGTCTTCTTAACCATACAATTAGATATATGCATTCTTTAAAAGGATACATGATCTTAGTTTTGTTTCAAAACGCCACTCAGATTTGAGGGATATCTCTAAAAATGGATTAACCCTCAAACTGAGCATTAATCAATTATGCAATTAAGCTTTCACCGCACAGAGTTTGAAGACTTTTCCATAGAGGTCTGTTTTTTCTTTAACAGCCCGATTCAAATTTGAAATTTGAAAGAGAATCTCTTTTACTAGCACTAACCAGTGATTAAAAAAACACAATTATTTTTTAAGCTGAGTTAAACGTGACAATTAGGCCTAGGCTAAAGAGTTTTAGAAATATATATGAGAAATTGATAGTTGAAAACGTTTCATGAGCCTTTTCATGATGGAATTATAAGAAACTTCACTTATGCTAAAGCATTTTAATCCAACAATTTGGGATTAGTCCGATTCGATTGTTAGAGTTGTATTTATTTGTATGTGTACGGGCTCTTACACTACTATGATGGACAGTTTTTCCGCACGTTGTTGGACGATATTATGTTGCGTTAGTTACCCAACAGATTCTGTTAGGAATTTTGTATGTGTAAGCTGAGCTTGTTCTTCTTCAGCTTATTTCAGCTTTTTTCAATTTATAAAAAAATTTTATGCTAGGAATACGAAAAGGAATTTAACCATGATGATAGATTGATACAGAATTTCTATATTATTGCGGCTCGTTTACTTGTTTGAAAATAGAGAAAAAAAATATTGTCTAGACGACTAAGTTTCAACAGCAAAGATGCAAATACGAGGGACACATTAAGATCAATATACTTTTGCTTTCTTGTTCCAGGAAAAAAAATTCCGTCAAACACACACAGCTTTGAAAGACATATTAGATAAAGACAAAATGAAAACTCACAATTTAGAAAGAGGACAGAATTTTTTTTATTATGAATATGGAGATTAGCTTGCACGTTAAACCTGAAGGCTTTAATTTCAACCATTGTATATATTTTTTTTAATTAGACTAAATAATATTCCTATTTTTTAAAACTAAATTGGCCTTTAGCTCTCTCTTTTGTTTTCATCAACGGAAACGGAGCCAAGTAGTAGTCGCCTTGAGGCACTCTTAATTGTTTGGTTTCTTTATCTTTTTAAACAAAATCGTTTCGACACTAGCCCTTATTTTGGTGAGGTTCCTCTCGCTTGGTTTGAAAGAATTAGGTGTAAAACACAGTTTTAAAGGCCCAAACTCTTTTGAAGTATCGCGTAATTAAGGTGGATCTACCTTGCACAAAACAAGAGGAAAGAATGGTTTTTTCATATGCTAATCAGAAAAATAAGTTCGTTCAAGAGTCACGGGTAGCTAAATAAAGGGTGCTAACAGAACTCGCCATGACGTTATGGTGTAAGGTTTTACTGTATCTAGTTTGGCAATTTATGATTTCGATCAGTAACTCAAATAATGTGATGGCGCACCTTCATCAGAGGGGCACTAAGTTCGTTCAAAAGTCCAGGGCATTTTTAAAATGCTAAATGAAGTAAGTTTTAAAGAACCTGCCTTATCATTGTGGTTCACAGTGTCACAATGTCATGATTGGCAATCAGTTGTGATTTCGAGCAGAAACTTAACTTAAATATTGTATACCTTCTTTAGAGAGGCTTTGAATCAATTTAATGAGGAACGGTATTTATTATTATTTGTTGTGATCCATAACCCCTGGCTAACATGCATGATTTCTTCGTGATATAAATACTTGATTTTTTTCACTTGCTTCCCTATTTTTCACTCTTAAACGAATTACTGAATTCATCTTTATGCTTTCGTCTCCGATGAAATTTACACTTACATTATTCAATTCCTGCGCATTTTTTTTCAGTAAGAGAATTTTTTTTTTTCCTTTTTGAGTGACAATTTCGCAACGCAGTTTTCCTATTTTGGTAATCACTCTTCACTCTTGCGATTACATAATATTTTTCACCTTTGGAATTGAAAAACCGTAAAATGCGATTACCTAAGATTCCTAAAGGCCTTTAAAGTGTCTTCTGACCGAAACGAAACGTGGCGTCAGATGGAGCTGTAACCTACGTTTTAAAAACGTATTTCATTGATAAAATTGATATGCGCGTACTTTGATTTTATGACCACCCCCTTTTGAATTTACACAAGCGATTTTCATAAATAGTTTTGTATGTTGGTCCTAATCGTTTTATTTCTGTCGAACCCAAGTCTTAAACGAGAAAAGTTTAGATTTTTCTTAAGTCTGTTAAAAGCGCGTTGAAGATTATTATCTTTGAAACGAAAAAAATATATATATTCTTTATTGGGGAACCCCAAAGGGTGAGAGAAAAAAAGCGAGAATATTTGTTGGAAGCCTAGGATAGCGATTGAAAATGAAAAAATCGAAAAACTTCAGGGGAAATTCCTCAAGATAGACAGACTATGTTAGAATTAAAACTAGTGTTTTTCCATGCTATTGGTGAATAATATTTAACAACTACTCAACTCAGTGTAAGTGGCTAATGGAGTATTTCCCGAGCCGACACTGAATAGAATAGTTGAATAGTTGTTAAAGTATATATACTAAAACAGTGAGATAATAATTCGATTTTAACACATTTATTCCTGCAACGATTACAATATTTTCGGGCGTAAATCCCGCGCGAATTGCTCGGAGGTGAATAAATAAGGCTATTCGATAAAGATATTCAGAGTTTGAGCCGATCACAGCATGTGTTCAACACTACTCACTGTTTCAGTATAAAATAATTCTTGTTATCTTGATCCTTGTGATTTCACTATTACAGCTATATTGCTTAAAATATTTTCCTATGTTCTATCCTGTAATGAATGAATAAAACCTTCAAAAATAATTTTATCCTCCCATAATTGTTTACATCGCCTGTTATCGGAAACTTTGGAAAAATTGCAGGACTATTAAGTTAATCACTTTGATATTTTCAGCTATCTTTAGAAAACTATCTTTTCAAATACCCATTCAAGTAACTGGTTATTATTTTGAGCTAGTGTAGTACCAACGTGTAATAATATTTAGAAACCGAAATGCAGAGGTAAAAAAAAGTACTCATTGAAAAACGTCTTTTGATCCACACTGCTTCGGCCTGAGTCGAGCCAAAACTCTTTACAAAGTTTTATAAGCCCACAGTGAAATCGTACTCTGCAGTTTAAGATCCTCACCAAAACATTCAAAGGAACTCGCTTTGTCATGTAAATTGTTTGCTTTTTTGAAAAAAAAATTTAATTTGTCATTTTTTTTTCAACATTTAGAACCTTGATTCATCAAAACCCGTTCATCAAAACCATATTTCTCCTGTTGTTACTCGCCCGTACTTTTTCAGTGTTACTTCATCTTATTATGAGTCAAATTGTTTATATTATCTTGTTTTAATGTGAAATAAGAATGCAAATTCTTGTTCGGACAATTTGTTCGCATTGTTATGTTTTTTAAGCTTGGTGTAAATAGAAGTCGTCTTTTGTGCTCTTTCTGGGACCTATGCATATTGGAGGTACATTGCACAAAGCCGTTCTATAGAACACTACACTAAGATGGTGAAAGATATTTGATTTCGATAATTTTGTCTTATCAAAGCGCCATAAAGTTCTAATAAAAATAATGATATTGCCCTATCTACTGATGTCCGTATTGTTCAAGGAACAAAGTAGATTTCTTTTGAAATGCTACTAACAGAAACCTAAGTTTCCGCTCTCATTAGTGGCAAGTTTACACCTTGTCATCACATGTCGTTATTGAGATAACCTTTTGCTGTCTTTCTTTTGGAAAATAGCTTTAGACAAAGAAAACACCTGTTCCTACCACTTTTGGTTTATTTGTACGAGTTATAATCCGATTTCTGGAAGGGTTTAGTTTTTTTTATATCCGAAATGTTGCTATATCATTGCGGTTAGGGGAACTTTGACAAAAAAAAATTTTAAATTTTGTTTCAAGAATTTTCTCTCTAAAATATTCTGGAGATTTTTGGAAAGGAGGTCTCTACCGTCTTCGTACTAAGCACTATTTACACTTTTACAAGCTATTGTTGTATAAACAAATTAACCATATTTTTTCTAGAAACTTTGAGAGTAAATAAGTATCGATGTTACTCGGTAAATTGCAATTTATTTATTTCAAACTTATTTTAATTCGACCAGATCTTGACTACAGTGGAATAGAAAGTGCAATTGATAGTCGTTTCGATAGAAAAAAAAAACTCGAAGCTAAACATTTTCACACAGACATCGCACAGGTGTAGATGGTATGATAAGTACTCGTCTGTCTATGATGGACACGTTTCCGGCTAACAGATAAGCCCAAATTACTTTAAAAGAGCTGAGGGTAATTCTACCCAAGCACTTCAGCCTGAGTTTCAAACAGAAAAGTTCTCTTTAAGTAGTTGCCGTAAGTATCAATTGATGTTGTGCCAGTTTCATACTTGTGCAGTATGCGAAGGTTGTGGTAAAACAGAGAGCCTCACCCTTCGTCCTTCGTCGACTTTGTCCTGCTAATGAAACTTAGCTGCTTTTTTGCTTTCCTCTGTGCTAGCAGAAACAACATCATGAAAGTCTTGATTTGTCTTACCTTGGTGGCTCTTCTTTGTTGCACTGTAGAAGGTAAGCTCTTAAGTTACTATATTTGGAAAGTAAAGTTTTCTTATTCCGACAGAGGGTCTCAATTGAAGGGTACGGATCTTGAGCGGTCGATGGTTGATCACCCCACAGAACTTAAGTCGGCAAATTTAGCTTTATTTCTCACAAAATGTCTCATTTTTTAAATAATCAAAAGCGCCAATGCTCGTCTAATTTCAAGTTAAAGTGAAATCTTAGTCACACTTTGCACAAGCACTACAGAATATTTTGCCAGTTTCCTGCCCTCACTCCGACCAAGATGGAATGAAGTTACCATTCCATGGAAAACATGATAGAGAGAAGCCTAGCCGATGAGGTTGGTTTTGCCAACTAAACTTTTCTGATATGAGCATTTGTATACAGGTAAGAAAAGAAAAAAAGTTACAAGGACACAACAGCAGGAGGGAGAACCGTGCAGTCTTTCGTCTGGCATTCCTTGGGGAGACTGTTTTCAAGCAGTAAACTGTCCTTCTTCACCTTCACTCAACTGTGCAGATGGCCTGAGATGCTGCAGACCTCCTAAAGAAGATAGCAGGTACATTTACAACTTCTTTAAGGGAATTTTTACCACACCAGGGCCACCTATAAACCCCGGCTAAATCACCCTTCTGTAGCAAGTGTTTATGAGCGTTAAAATAAAAAAAATCGGTCAGTCCTCCTTGCCACGTAACACTTGTCGATAAGAGGGTCTTTGCGTCTTGATTGAGGATTGTTGATAGGGACTAAGACAGCAACGGCAACAAGAATGTTTGGAAATAAAAGATTTTCATGATTGGAACAATGCACAGTTTGCATTACTCGGCCATCCTTTCCGAAAAAAAAAAACGTAAAATCACCATTTTTTTTTTTTAATCTGAAAACAGCACTTGCGAATGCAAATAGTGCACGTGTCTACTATAAACTTAATATTGCATTCACATTTTACGGTTACTTAGGGGAGATCTGGCGTCGTGAGAGAAGATAAACACAGGGAATTGCTGACAAAATTCACTGGAAAAGCGAAAGTTTATTCTAAGGGAACTTTCAGTGCTTGGCTTTGCCTTCGGAACATCCTGATCTCCCATCTGATCTTACTGAACTAAAAAACTTCTTGTTACTCTTTCTTTAAATCTCAGTGAGGAAGACACCAATGCAAGTGAGGGAGATACAGCGTATGACAAATTCCTGATGGACATGAAAAAATATTATCCCTAGAAGAGCCAGACCGTTTCATGCCGTCGTTTATTATGAACATGACAAATATAAAGTTGTATGAGGGTTTCAACTAAAAAATTTTTTTGTAGTGTTCATTCATGTTCAAACTTCATTAAAATTGTAAACGTAACAAAGCCAGGGTTTTTACCTGTATTCTAACTTTTTTCGACTGGATCTTCGTTTTATTTTTCGTGGCACCATTGGGGCACACTCATTTTTTTGATCCCCACCTAAGGCTGCGGGTCTCCCGCATTGGCAGTCAAGTTTTTACATTCCCCCTTTATAATCTGTTAGCGAGAACTGATCCCTCCTCTGTTCCCCCAGAAAACCATGCGATCCCCCATGACCATCCGACCCCCACCCCCCAGGCGATCAAAAATACCAGCGAAGTCCTTTTTAACTTTGTATTAAAGAGTAGTGTATTAGTGAGGTAACGTGACATCTCTGAACCAGTTAGATGACAAGAAAAGGATTTGTCATCATGCTCTCTTATTAGTCGAGGCTGTAACATGATACAAACTGCTCTCTTAGCTTAACTTAACAGACTGCTCTCTTACCCTAACTTAGCAAACTGTTCTCTTACCTTAACTTAGCAAACTGCGCTCTCATCTTAACGTAACAAATTACTCCCTTAACTGGCTTAACAAATAGCTTTATGCCCCCCTTTTTTACCTTACATCTCCAAGAGGACCGCAGTGGCCGTTTGCATTGGGTTAGTGTAACTAGCAGGGGTTCCAATTTACAAGGAGTGAGTTGGAGTGGCGTGCGCTAGCGAGGAAAATCGTGCAAGTCTCATTACATTTTATTCCTCGATCGAACATGAGTTTAATCGAAAGTTCGGTTTATTATAAAGTGAAACAAAGAATTGCACCGCGTTCGCCCCCTATCGAGTTCGCCCCTTCGAGTTCGCCCCCACCTTATGCCGTGTTCGCCCCCACACTTTTCGAGTTCGACCCCATCAAGTCGAGTTCGCCCCTTGATTGAGTGATATCCAGATGAGTTGATTTGTGACGAAGGCACTAGCGGAATGTGCCAAATGTCACGTCAGCGACGACCATTTTGAATTTCGGCAATTGCGTGGAACCTGCTTGGGAACTGGGTTGACGGAATCAACTAAATACTCTGCGTGGGATCTGGGGTTACCAGAAATAACTGTATACACTGAACTTGTGATAAAGAGAACCACACGGTTTATCTAACGAACACGAAATGTGGTGATCGTAACAACCAGACTTGAGAAGATGCAAACCACGCTTTCATCGCGACAGCATTGCTTAAGTTGTTAGACTTGTACCCGTTTATGAAATTAAGACTGAAGAATTTACTCATCAACTTACGAATCAACTCATCTGGATATTACTCAATCAAGGGGTGAACTCGACTTGATGGGGTCGAACTCGAAAAGTTTGGGGGCGAACGCGGTATAAGGTAGGGGCGAACTCGAAGGGGCGAACTCGATAGGGGGCGAAAGCGGCGGATACCGAAACAAACTAAACCAACAAACAGGCAAACACTAAAAAAAAAAAAAACAAAAAACAGGATACTTGGCGAATTCTTGATAAACTAAAAATGGAAAGGAACACTAGCGAGCCATGTCTTGCAGAGAAATGATATCATGGAGCTAGAGAACACGTTAGACCCTGTAGTGTGAGCATTTGGGAAATGATTGGCACGTTTGAAAACAACTACTTTTATGTCATACTATTGTTCTGTCTGTTAACAGAGTGCATTGAAGAAAAAAAACCGCCGTGCTCTTTCATGACCCTGATGAAATACAAAACCTCACATAAAAAATAGATCAAATACTATGCTCTCTAAGCTCAGCTTGTATATAGAAAAATAGTCAGGACGCGCTTTCTAATTTAAGACAACTCCTACCGGGAACACCGCGTTGGTGGATTTGCAGTAAGAAAGATGGGGTTCTTTACAGTACTACTGTTCACCGTGGTTTATTTAAGTTCTTTTATCGATGCCCGTGATGTTTATCCCAGCCGTAAGTAACAATTTCACGTCTTAATTCATATCTTCATACCACAATATTTTGTCATCATTGTTAATTTCATCTCTTGGAACTCACACACATAAATTGTACGAATACTTACTTGCGCGCGGGCCTGTAATCCGCGCTAGAATTTATGAGCACAGTCTTTGGTACAAAAATTGGTGCAACATTACACTTTAAATTACACTTTAAATTTCTTCAAATTTGAGTCTGGATAATTATCTTATCGAAAAAATGTAAAATAGGGCTTTTTAAATTCTTTAGAATACTTCTGATTTCGTCCAAGTCTTTCACTCATCTGGTCATGAAAGACATGTAAGAAGCAATGTGGTGTAACAGTAGGCGCAGACCCCTTTAGTGACAACCGGCTTGAATGCAAGTCACTTTCGTTGTCTAAAAGATCTAGAACATGTTGAAAATAGGATATGCTAACATCGAACTCCTCAAATCCGACATTTTGGCCTGTGTCGCTATTCCTTCTTGAATAGTCTTCCTCTTACAGTACGCCGAGGAATGAATAAGGCAGTTAAAAAAATTACTTGTCACTGTATTTTTTTCCGAAAAATTCAAACCATGAAAGCATGAAGGCATCATTATTGCCTTTCCTTACCTTGTTTTTTTGTTTATTTGGTGCAGTTTTTGACGACGTTGTAACGCAAAGAACTCTTGTTAACTCCTTAAGCCTCAGTAATAACCTGCATCTAATTTTTCTTTGCAGTAATACTGCTCAATCATTACTTAGGATCAAAAGAATAAAGACAATGATCTTCAACCTAATTAAGAAGCTTTGATTGTTGCACAAATTCTCCTTATCGGCACAAAAGGAAATGTACAGAGAGGAGTATGAAGAATACTGATACTAAAACTTAGAAAACTTATTATTACCATAATTTAAATTCATTTTTAGGGGAGCGGGATAAAACTCAAGTTACTTACAACAACACTTCAATATCGTCCAAAGGCGAAAGGTGCGATCCTCTTTTAGCACATCTGTCTTATGATATATTGTAAAAGTAACAGCCTATTGCACTTTGACGGTTATTGTTAAACTGGAAGGTATCGGCGAAGCCCTGTGCACGAAGAAGAGAAAAAACGAGTGGAGAGAAAAATTAAATGAACGCAAAGCCGGTGTCCCATTTCAAGGGCGCGGGTTAAATATTACATAATTGTGAAATTCCTGAAGAGCAAATACATAGTCGTCCCAGATGTTTGTATAATACGATATTACACTTTTTAATTTTTAATCGGAATTCCATGGGGAGACTGGTGGGTACAAAATTCGCCTAGCCACTCTAAAGGTATATCTCTCTTAAACAGTTGCGTGGAGGCAAAACCATCCGCTGACCAGCGCCTTGCAAAAGTTATCTGCCATCCATACCGTCCAATCGCCAGAAGGGTAGATAAAAACGTGATGAGGACTGAGGTTTGCAGGTCGATAGTGGGTGATGATCTGTTATTCGCTACACCGGCCGAGCAAGAATGGCGTGAGAATCTTTTCGTGACGTACACAATACGCTCACGAGTTGGACAAGTACCACGCATGCCCGAATCTCCGAGTCGACTGCTGACCAAGTTTTGTTGGCAGCTTATCGTACACATGTACTGCAGATTCTTTTTACCAAAATGTGACATGACGTCATCCAGACCTCGGGCTCAGCCTATTTGTAGAGATGCGTGCCGGGAATTTAAGAACCAGTGTCAGAGGGCATGGACTCACGCACAAAGGAAATTCAAGAGTGTGTCATGGGCGGTGCAGAAACTTGCCTCTGGGATGGAGAGAAGTTCTTCGCTCATGTGGTGTAGGAACCTGCCCAGACGAAGAGGACCAGATATTCCAGAATGTTATTATCCTAAAATGTTGAAAGGTATTTCTTATTTATTCATTTATAAGCTGCATGTGCTACTGGATGTGATGAGGTTCAGCGAGTGAGTGATCTGGAAGTTAATCAACGGGGGAGATGCGCCGGTAATTTGTGTTCTTATTCAGAGAGTAACAGAAGGAGATTTAGAAAAATAAAATAGGAAGAAAATGTCAATCAATATTATGTTCAGATTGTTATAGTTTTAGTTAACTGATGGTCCATTCGCTGGGCTCTTTTTCCCCTTAGTTTCAATTTGATTTTCTCGCTTCTTGTTTCAGAAAAGAAAGAAAACCCTCGACCGTTTACGGGTAAGTACACGGTGTGTGTCTAAATAACTCGAGCTCAATAGCATTTACAGAATGTGAAACGCTTTCTTAAACCCACATGATGTTCTAAACATCTAGGCCCATATGTTTAAATATTGGATACCGCTATCAACGGATAAATCACCATCCAGCGGATACGTGTCTACGAACTGCGTTATTCACTTTGCTCGTTATCCACCCTTCGATAGATAGCAAGTGAGACTGAAGTCTTTGTCGAAAATATGCTTCCATAATTGGTGAAAAACCTTTTAGAAACTTTTTTTTGAAATTCTGAAAAACGTACCGTGGGGAATATTCAGAGAATGGCAATGACTTAAACCCATAATTCCTATTTGGCGATGTTCATCAAATCCCTTGTCCGTCACTATGCAATTATTTCGTAGGTTGCCAAAACACACACGAAGTACAAAGATGACCCTAGATAATAGCAGAGAACACGCCCCTTATCAGTCAGTCTTTGCTGTTTCATTGTATCGGCTTTGAGGTCGTTCTAAAGCTCAACCAGTTTCAAGCTAGTCAACCCCTTCCCACTCACATCATCCTTAGCGGTTTAATTTATTGATCTCTAGCGCCAGCGTCTCTTTCTGCTCGTCAGTAAACTGCGCTGCCCAAACATTGTAGTCTGTGTTTGATATCAATGCTGATTACCGCTAAAATGATGAAATACAAAAATACTTATGTACATACGTAAGACTTTGTTTACGGAGGGTAACACTAAACAGGTAGAAATCAATAATAATAATAATAGTAATAATAATAGTAATGATTTATAGACTTATAAATAAGACCAGTAAGCTATTTACAAGGCGTAGCTAAGGAATTGAACTTGCGGCTAGCGGGCTTGAACCCGGGACCAGCGGCCTAACCACTCGGTCACAGTGTCCCCTATTTGTAGCGGTTAGTTAAACAATTCCTCGAAATGGCAAGGCCACCCTGAGTAGCTTAAAGAAATTACAGATAACAAAAGAAAGCCTCTAACGAATTAGTCGATATTTTAGACACTTGTTTCTATGATGACGGTCGGACATACAACGGCAGTGTGTCTGTAACACGGTCCGGTCACAAGTGCCAGTCCTGGAATTCCCAGTGTCCTCATCGGCACCACAGAACACCAGAAAATTATCCTGAACTGAATGGTGCTGGCAATGCATGTCGGAACCCTGGTGGTCAGGCCCCTAACGGTCCCTGGTGTTACACTACAAATGTAACGCAGAGATGGGAGTATTGTAATGTGATCAAGTGTGAAACACTAAAGGAAAGCAAAGGTATGCTTATTAAATTTTATCTGAAGCTTACAAGACTCAAGTGTACCTTATATTTGAGACTTGCAACCAATCATAGCTCCTACTAGTAATTAAATGCTATATAACGTTCATTATGCGCTTCATGAATATGGCCGGATTAGTCCGATATCTGCGACAGGAGGTATTTCTTCCAAGAATTCCTATTCCCCGAGCGAAGCGATAAATGATTAAAGAATTAATGTCAAATGCATTAGTATCTCCATCACGTTGCGCTGTTCGGTTAGTTAGTGCGATAAACTCTTAAACGTAGATAGTCCCGCTCAGTATCACACTAGCTCCAAACACTCTAACCGGCTACGCCTGGCGTTGATAAGCAAAAAATTGACCAAGTTAAATATGAAAGTAATGAGTCAGTCTTCTCCCAGCCTATGTCTTTCATGGACCTTTAAGCAGCATCTTATGCCCATTTCTTTTCTATCTTTTCACAGGATGAGAAAGTGAAAGAAACGGCCACCAAACTGTCTCCTTCACTCACCCACCCACCCACCCTCTTTAAAGAAAATGTACATAGTGATCAGAAAACGTAATAGTAGCCTGCGTTGCTGGCGGTCTGCGGTTTTGGGAGCAGAGAGAAAAATGAAAGACCTTTCATTACTTTCTCCGCCGCCAAAACCGCAGACCGCCAGCAACGCAGGCTACTGAAAGACTTGCATAGCAATAAAAGGAGATGTTTGACAATGGTTTTACCTCTTTCTCAATTGGCGCCGTGTTAAAGAAAAACTGTTGTTATGGTTTCATCAATTAATTCGTGACATGCACTGTCGTGGCACACAAAGTGAACTTCATCGTGACGGAGAACTTGAGGAGGGGGAAGGGGGGGGTGACTAAACGGTTTTGAGCCAGCCATTCAACCGACCATGGTTTTCTCCTTGGGTGATCTTGGCACTTGTTTCAACATAAATCTTTTGAATAAATCCATATGCCAGATGAAATTCCCTGAGATGAATGATTAACCACAATCTTTACAACTCCTTTTCTTACCTAAAGTGGCGAAGGGAAGGAATTTTATCTTTAAGAGACTTCGAGTAATTAAACCTTACCGCGAACTTTTCTAAAAGCGTGGAGACTACATAATATGATAGTGGCTAAAATATAGATTCATGAAGGAGGCAAAATTATAAAAGGAGGAATAAGGATTGTAAAGGACGGATTACTACATCCCGAATGAAGATCCTGAATAAAATTCACGTCTCGAGGAAGGAAAAACAATTCTCGGAAACGTATGTATTTATTCACGAAAGCGTCCTTGTCTTCCCTCGCGACGTGAGCTTAGGATCCTTGTGCTTTGAATACACACGCCGGAATATCACGCTAAGAGCGTAACGTTTCACAGTGACACCCTTTTGTAAAATAACGCGCTAAGCCACTCATATATCAAAACATGGCGAGGAAAGATAACTTACCGTCGCAATGTGTTCGTTAGGAAGAACGCCGAAGCGGTAAGTGAGTTCTGAGTTTAATTTGGTTCGAGCAAAAAAGAAATTGAAAGTTGCAGCAGTACTATAAAACCTCTCAGGCGAAGAGCTGAATCGGAACTTTCAGCTATTCGAAGACGTGCTTCTGTTGTATAAGGATACAACTTTACTTTCATTGCATACTTCCCAGACGTCAGTCCGAAATCTACATTTTTACATCTTTTTGGAAAAATTTTCAACTTCAAGATGAGACTAACGTAAATACACTTCTTTGAGTGGGGTAGAACGGTTTCAGACAATTCGGTTTTGTTTTGTTATCACATAGCGATTTATCATTCAGCGTGTCAGCGTGTTACGAAAGAAGATGAAAGAGAAGTAGCTAATAATAGAGTATACTTACTTTCAGTCACAGCTTTCATCCGAAAATGTAACTTAATATTAGGAACATCAATGGAGAAAACACATTTTAGATAACTGGAAAGAGAGATGGCCAAATCGAGGTGAAAAATCAAGCTTATGCTTTTTCCTAGTAGCCTTCAAAAGATTTGAATGCAATTAAAACAATTAAATTATTTTATCGCTATAACTTCCCATAATTAGATAAATTTATAAGCTCCGGTTTCCACCGCAAACCCGAAACTTTACGGAAGGGTGTGACGCGAAGAGGTCACGAAATTCGTGCTTGATAACTAATAGTGTTGTTGGATTCTGCCGGAGTTGAACAAAATGACCGATAGCCGATTCAGAAGGCTGCTGTTGTGTTTTATGACCATATGGACTGTGGCGTTAGGACAAACAGGCAACTATTCTGTCGTCAGAGGTAAGGGCTAGAGGGAGTTATTCGACATAATTTAAAGCTTCTCAAAGTCAAATTTCTCTGATAAAAATATTTGGGAGTACAAATTTGTTTATTCGAATTTTCTGATTCCGAACTATCGGCCAATGGACCGTTTGCTTAGGAAATTTTGATCATCGGCTCACTTGATCTCTTTGGCGAGTTTTCAGTTGGAACAACAGGGAGCCACGACAGTTAGTTCCATGCATTTTACAAGCGTTTTTTCGTATGAAGACGACTCCATGTCAAATCTATTCGTGTTCCTTTCCAACTTCCGGTGTTTGTTGTTGGCCTGCTTGTTGTCAATCTCTTATACATTGTACGCCCTTAAATAATCTGTAAATTGGATTTTTGTTCTCTAAATTTTCAAAGTACCAAAACCTGAATACTGTTACAGCTCTTTTCAAACTTTCACCGAAAAAACGCTGATCGGCGAAGTACAGACACTGATTATCAAAACATTCATTAATGTCTGTCTGGCAGGAAAAAAGAAGGCTTCCATTCAGAAGTAGACTTTAAACAGCTTTTCTACTTAAGGTGGTATTATAGTCGATCAAGAGCCACAACTGTACTGAAAACGAATGATTGGCAAACATCATAATCCCCACTTCGCCAGAATATATGCTTTTCTAATTTGATTAACCGATACTACTAGCTTTGAATGACTTACTTTCATTAAGTATCAGGTGAAACATCTTCAATTTGGGGTCAAAATTCTAGAACAGTTCTTTTTTTCATCATTTGTTAAGACTTTAAGGCATTTCATTGTTGAATAAATTCACGAAGCATCTCGCCACTGGACTAAATGCTTCATTGATACTAGGATCAGGCTCAAACGAACATTACGGGACCGCATGGATTAAAGTTACCACGTAGACGTGTAATACAGTCGATATCATACCTTAATATTACATTACGCATCCCTGATGTGCACGATTTGAAGCGCGACTCATTGAGAGGTTTCTGATTACTGTCGAGCTTCACAAGGGAGATTCTAAAATCGTCTTTACCTCAGATGGTGCCTTGCGTAGTCGCAGAGCGATGCACCTCGTCCTAACTGCCTTGTCCTATTAGAGACCTCAAATATCTTTCTGGCCCCTTCCCCCAACCCATCTCTCCAGTAAGACATCCTCTCCCCACAATTTCTTCTAGAATGTATCTCTTTTATGTATTTAGATCACGAAGGAAACGAAGAATTCATAACCGTGAATAAAACAGGGTACGTAAGACTTAGGTTGTGTTCTATTGGGATAAACCCTTTAACCACTTCCACCCACACATCAGTATTCATATGTTCCATACTGATCTCCATAGCAAGGTGCTATGGAGAGGAAAATTTGTTTAATATCAAGAGCTTTTATAGTTTGAGATCATTTCCTCTATTCCCCTTACCTTAAAGTTCTATTCAGGGGGAAATTGTAAAGAGAAATTAGATGCTAATCACTCTTAGGGGTCAAAGGGTTAAACTGCCTCTGGATCAAGTTGAGGCGGTTGTAGTCTCCCGACACAACACTCAAATAACCCTTTTGGTTGAAACGCAGAAACTCCTGGGAATATCTATCATTTTTCCGCAGTAACTCGTCGAAGGATGACATTATGGCGGCTAATTCCAATCTTGTGGCGCAATTCCTTCGCTTTTTCGCCTTTTTTTCACGCCTAAGACTTCTTTTACTCCTTGCCTGTCCATGCCCAGGTGGTATCGAAAGATCACGAATAACGCGTCATATTGGTTTTGTTTACAACATGTGTCAAGGCCGAAAACTGAGAAGTATTTTGAGGGAGTTACATTTTCTACGGGGAAAATGGGAAGGGAACCAGTCGTCGTCAACAGAGAAAAAAGGGAGGGGAGACTGCGAATTAACTGCCAACGAGGGGGGATAATGTAGAGCACTACGGGAGGGGGGGGATCCGCTGAATTTTGTCGTGCCACAACCAAAATCCTGCGACCCCCTCCCCCCAGTTAATCAATACTGACAGAACAGCTTTTTAATTTTTTAAATATTTCTGTTTTAGCAATATCTCATGTGTTTCTGCTCAACCCATTCCTAAATCACAAGCCTACTGTAAGCCGTATCGTTACAAAGGAAGTAGTGGTGTTTGCGCGAGTATTGTCAAAGATCGCAATGTTTATGGCTCATCATTGCATCAAAGGAAGATGGAAAGTAGTCTGTATAACTTCAGAATGGCAAAGGCTTACATTCTTTCCAAAGGGGATATCTCTGATAGGTGCCTTCGCACTGTGGATCTGGTTTACTGCAACCACTACTTTCCAAAGTGTGACGACACGTCATCAAAGATTCTTCCAGTTCCAGTCTGTAGGGAGGCCTGCGATGTTATGGTACAGAGGCATTGCAAAGAAGAGTATCGTCGCGCTAAGGAAATTAACAAGGCTCTACAGGACTCCCCTGCACTCGGGCTTGGATGGAGTTTTGAATTGCTTAACTGCTCAGAGTTCCCTTTGAGAAACGGTGGTTCTATTCCAGAGTGTCATTATCCTGAGGAACTCGAAGGTATTTTGCTCTGCGTGTTTGATATCTGTCAACCAAATTGCACCTGTAATTGAAACAGTTTGCAATAAAATATGGTGGGAGAAGTAACAGGTTGGGTAGACGAGTTAGGTTGAAAGTTGTAGTGTGAAAAAGTATTATGTAAAATTAAAAAGCTTTGAGGCAAGAAGCGGGAGTCGATACGGTATAAAAAGGAACTCAAAACTGGAAAAGTCTTTTGCTTGTTACACTTGGCGTTTGTAGATCATGAGCACGAGGTGCTACCAAATCAGAGCGGGTTTTCTTTGTGGTAACTCAGAGTCTACGTAAAAGGAAAAAACGAGAAAAGCTGCTGCAAGTTTAAGGTTTTTTAATGAATGATATGTACAAGCCTTTGCAAACACCTGTTTGAGAACAGAAGCTAGACCACTGTTTTATCAGCTTTTTATCCTGGCATCACTCAGGTGATTTGTAAAAGAAGGACTCAAAATAAACTGATTTCGTCCTTTCTGCCACCCAGTTCATGCCATGTGATGATTCCTCTTGGAGATTAGAGTTCTTCCACTTGTACAAACTCAAATGCAATCAGCGACGTGTGACGGATTGTCCCGTTATATTCTTTAAAACGAATTATCACCGATCTAAATTGGGTGAATTCGCCGATTTCTGGTTATACTCAGAACCCTCCGCGAGATGTTTACTCCCTTTAATTGATCTTATGTCAATTTCTCAATTTAGAAAAAAACGCGTTGGAAGGAGACTTCAGTGGTAAGTAAGCACTTCCCTAAAAGCTTATTGTTGAGCGAAAGCTTTTTCGTAACAAGACCTTCATATTTATAATCTATTTGAACAGATAGGTGTTTCTATGGCGACGGTCAATTATACCGTGGAAATGTATCTGTGACACAGTCCGGTTACAAGTGCCAGTCGTGGACTTCCCAGTGTCCTCATCGGCACCACAGAACACCAGAAATTTTCCCCGAACTGAGTAACACCGGCAATGCATGCCGGAACCCCGGAGGACAGGCCCCTCTCGGTCCTTGGTGCTACACCACTAATTCTACAGTTCGTTGGGAATACTGCAATATCTCAACTTGTGCTCCAGGTAAGATTACTTCGTTTGCTTCAAGAAGATGGTTTGCTGAAATGGTATCACACTACATAGGACTAGGGTTAACGCGCCCAAAGAATGTTGGGACAGCAAGCCCGGTTGCCTTGTTGCTACCTAATCTAGCTATGTAACAAACTGCGTTTGTGCTAGGTTGTGGCATACTAAAGTCAGCAAAGTGAGGCTTTCATTTCGTGAAATTTCCACCTTTATTTGCGTTTACAACATTATCAACATTATCTATAATTTTAAAGAAGTACTAATTACTGCAATACTTAAATTCGGCACATTTAGTTCTTAATGATTCTGAAATTCTTAATTTCTGATTCTGAATGTTTTCTTATCCCACGGAACTAATTTTCATCAAATGATAAAGGGGGACAGTTTCTGAAGAAACTATGGTGCTGCGTCGGTGGGAGAGTATAACAGGGTACTAGTGTAGTTCCATTTTCTGCATAAAAACGCACACAAAACCCACAATTCCTCCATTCGCTCTAACGAAGGGCTAACGCTCGAAACGTTCGCTTTTAAACTCTTTACATTATAAACTCAGTTGATAGTGCCAAATTACCCTAGTTTTTTATCAGGTGGGTACTAGTTGCTGAGTTGTCTCTGAATTTGAGCAGAATCGATTATTTACCTAGGACTTATTTTGATTATTATCAATAGTGTATCTTCATTTTCCTATCCCTCTTTATAATGCTACAGAAGACGCAACACTGTCCAACTGGAGTCCTTTCACCAAGTGTTCAGTATCTTGCGGGAACGGCTCGATCACACGCACGCGCACTTGTACCAGACCACGCCTTGGCGGGAAAAATTGCTCCTCTCTCGGTGCACTCGTTGAACGGCAACCATGCAGCCTTCAAAATTGTTCCGGTAACTAAAAAACCATAATTCTCTGCTTCTGCCTCTTTACGATATAAAGATTGATAAACTCCACCCTGATCTGATACTGAAACGTTGAAATAATACAATGAACCTGTACATTATGTTTGTACTTCCGTGCTTAATCGGGCTTTTGGGTCACGCAAAAAAGTTTTACCGGATGATTGAAATAAAACGAATTTATGTTATATGAAAATCCAATTCCCAAATAAGGGTCAACGGGATGGATCAATAGATATGCAATCAGAGGCCTGTTATCTATTTATCACTTCCTTGGAGACTGAAGTTCATTCTTAATACACTTCCATTTAAATAAATGAACACAAGAATATTGATTTTTCTCAACTACTGTAACTTGTTCATTATAATTAATTTTAGAGAATGTCGATAATATCGAGGAAGTGCCAGTGGATAAAAAGACATTAGGTCAGTACTTTACAATATCTGTACTTCCAAGCGTGTGAATGAGAGTTGAATATTTTTAATGTTAATATTTGTGGGTTCAATCTGGACTCACGTGAATTCAAATGCTATTTCTTGACAAGTGATAGCAAGGTGGTTCAGTCGGGATCTCGATCGAACGTTGGGACCCAGGTCTCGACAGTGTTTGATTTCTTCTGATTGGGTGAGGAGGCGAAGAATGAGGCCAATGAGAGAGCGACTTGAAAAAAACAAAAGCAACAACGAATCACAAGTTGCTTTGACATTCAATTGATACTTGGGCAACTGGACCATGTGACCGAGGACGAGTTACCACGTACAAATCTATAAACAAATAATAACCACAAACTACAAAAAACATAGCACTCTCTTTCCGGGGCGGCAAGAGGTATAAAGAACCTTAGGAAAAACTCATTGTGGCTGCTTTTTTCAATACTATTAATGCTACTGAATGTCTCACTATTTCTATATCATTTCAGGGCTGAACTTTACGTGGATCATCATACTCTCAACCATTGGATCAGTCCTATTCTTGGTCAGCATAATTCTGGTCGTTACGTTGGTCAAGAAGCGTAGTAAGTGAAGCTGAATATTTCCTCGTCAATCTGAGAGTTTTTTTGGCAATTCCATACTGATTTGATTTAAAACCTTTTTTTTATCAGCAGGTCGTAAGCCAAATAACCCTAACATCCAAGATGAAGAGGAGATAACTCCTTATGCAACAGTTCGCTTCAATGAAGTTTTTCCAGCAAATGCGACAAGTAATTACTATCCCATTCCTGGTATGTATGACAATCCACTGAAAGCTTTGCCTCCTCACCCATGGATAAAAACAGGATCAAAAGCCGCTAATAAGCAAGAGATACGAAGATCGCCATACGGAAATCTCGACCACCTGGGGAGGCAAGCAGTCAATCCTCTCCAGTACCTCTTTTATCAGCCTCGTTATGAAAATGAATTAGCTGATAATACAACCCGAGATGTGATTTATATAAGGCCTGGGTACGACAAGTTGATGTCCACCACAAGGAAAAAGAGGCGGGAAATTTATAGAGGTGAGGGTACGCGCTTAGCATGCGAGAAAGCAGACATGTCTGTATATGATTCTCTAATCCGCGAAATCAACCTCAAGTGTAAAAGTCGGAGAGAAGATTTGACTGACTCAGATGAAGATGGTGAAAGGAATATCCGTGTCATTATGGAAGAGCCCTCTGGCGACGAAAGGAGCCCAACTTGCTCAACAGATGAAGGTGAAAATACAAGAGACTCGACGGACTTATCTAACAATGGTTATAAGGTTGATCTCGAGAATAGTTGCATTGTAAATGACTGGAATACATCCGAGGGGGAAAATGAGGAACAAAATCTAACTTTAACGGAAAGAAATGATAATTTGTCACCGCGTTCCCAAGCTGCCTTAAAAATGGAAGATAAAAGAGGTTTATTTCAGTTTTATAGCGCCAGTGATCCATCTCAGAACACTGAACAAGAACAATCGGCCATTTGATGTTTGCAGACAGGGAGAACTGCAAATGGAAATGAGAAATGAATCGAATAGTTCGGTTTTACACGTATTTGTATTTGTGGCAAAAAAAAAACACATGAAAGCAAAGGTATGTCTGAGAGAACTGAAGGCAGCGCGGCTCGCAATGCTTAATAACAGAAGTGCACCTTGCACGCGTGATCAAAAGTCTGAAATGTTTGAGTGTTATTAGTACTGAGCTGTGTGCGTAACATTCAATTAAAAAAATTCTCAATCATTGACTTTTTCCTCACATCCTCGACTTTGTCAGTGTTTCATTCATATAGATCTATGAACTCCATGATCCGCTCTTGCATCCCGTGTTACACATGAAAAACGTAACGAAACAAGCGGTTTTTATCAGACTTAATGACATAAACTGAAGAGAAAAAAAACCCGGGAGCATAAGCTTCATTAGAGCAAGCAAAACTCGAGGCATAGGCGGAATAACTGACGAGTTAAAGATAATCAGTTGCTCTTCTATTCCTTGGAGTTATTAGTCAAGCGGATTATTCCATAGACTGAAAATTAAATCAGAATAAGAAACATCAGGGGAGCATTAAGATGATGGCCAATTTAACAGTTTCACTTTATATAGCAAGAGCCCGTTGCATGGGTCTCGCATCGATAGATTGCATCGCTCAATCCGTCATAGGTCTGCATTATAAGCAGTGCTTACAAGCCTTTTCAGTCGTGTTCAGGAACGCCAAAGAAGAGGTCTTCCCATTGCACTTCTTGCAGGTATGTTTACGAGCATGATTATACGCTCTATGGAGGATATTGTTCACCCTTTAACTCCAATGAGTGACCAAGACTGAATTTCTCCTTACAATTTCGAAACAACATCAAGCAGACAAGTGATGAGAATAAGGAAAAATATCAATTAAGGAATTATCAGTTGATCAAACACGAAATTCTCCAATACAACATCACGAGAATTTTATGACAGACAGTAAGGAGAATTGCTAATGAGATCTTGGGGGTGAAAGGGTTAATGCAGATTTAAATGGCAAAACCGTACACAGTCCATCGACAAGTTCCCGTCCCCTAACCCTATTGCAGAGCGGCTTTGAAGTGTCTGAAAACAATGAATCACGTACATAGAGTGTTGCGCCATATTCAGGGAGATCAACTTTCAACTGGAGTAAGAATCAAATACGTGAACATGTGTAATCATACACTAAGTAATTTCAAACGCCCCCAGAACTTTCACACAAAAATTTGGGCTTTTCATTAAGCGACAGCCTTCACGTTGAGATGACAGATACTTTTTCATCGCAACAACAGTAAAGAAAAATACAAATAAACGGCCTCTTTGGTACATGCAGCATATCTATCTCTCCTGTTGACATAAGATTTGTATCGAACATTCTCGCACAGTTGAAGCTGCCTTGTCTTTCTCCTTTAAAAAACGGAAAATCTAGGCATTAAATGAATTGCACAGTCTAATTTTTTTCACGTGCGGAAAGAGTGGACAAAGTCTTAAAAATTAACTTCACCAAGCTACTGAAGCGGTGAAAGTTGACATATCCGCTACACCATACAGAAGCCCTAATTTCTTATATTCTTTGTTACATTTTCCCTACAGATAAAATGTCTGCCTCGATGAAACTCTGTAAGATGACTGTAAGAATGCGTACTTCGGTTAGATCAAGCTTGGGTGGAAGAGCGTACGCAAAAAGGGAAGAGGACAATTGAAAACATAATTTTTCAAATGCCTAATAACATTTTCCTTGCAAATAAAATACCTGGCTTTATATCAGAAGCTTCGTAAGATGACTAATGAAATATCCTAATTTTGGTTGGATCATTTTTTTAATCACAAGACGAATTTAAAGTTAAATAAGCAGCATTTGAGGGCTATACATTGTTCATAAAAATAATGAACTACTTTTGTTTCTTCTTTTTCTGCTCTTTTTTCGACTTCTTCAGAGACTTTGTGGCCTTGATAGCACTATCAATGAATTCAAACTCAGCAGGCTTGTCTGTGTCGTCAGAAAGGCGGTTCTTTTTCTTTTTCTCGGTCTCCACCTTTTTGCTCGCACACTGACCCTTTTTCGGTTTCTTTTCGAACGAGGCATCAACCGACCCTTTCGTGTCATCAACGTCATCTTCCTACGAGAAACGAGGCAAAAAAAAAAAATCACCACATCGTCGTCGCTAGTACTTACGGATCAACCTCCCCCTCCCCTAACCCAACAACAGTCAACTAATAACAAGTATAGTTAATATTGGGTTAGCGTAGGGGTGGGCGCGCAGTTGCTCGGACACTGACACTGCTGCGCACTTACTTAAAAGCACACGACCTATGAGAGAAAAGTTCCCAGTCGGAGAACTCGATTCCGTGGCTACCACATTTATATTTTTCCTAGAATAGAAATAATTCTGAAGTTGAAAAATATTTTGTCCTGTTAGAACATACTTCCTCTGAATCAACAGCATCTTCCCCTCTTGCTGTGAAACCCAGTGCCGCCATTTCTCGGCCGAACTTTCTGGACTTGCTGTCTTCCACCAGCTTCGCTTTCTTGATATGCTCAATATGCTCTCTCTCCTCTAGAATCTCTTCCAAAAATTTTCTTTTCCTTACTGCCTTTTGCTCCTTCCCGTGCCAGGTTTTGTCTTTCCTTTTAAAGTGCTGGGCGCCACAATTTCTGAGCACAATTCTGCCATAGAAATTACCATTGAGCTGTTGTTCACTAATGAGCAGCTCTTGGGTAATGGCTTCCTTATATTTCACCTCTGCTTGTCTCCAACAAGTTTCAACAACATGGCTACCTTGTTTTTCACACGCAAGTCTCACAAAGGTCCCCTGAAAGATAGAGACAAGATTGGTCTTCGATTCTTCATTGGGTACCAATGGTTTAATCGACAGAATTTAATTTAACCCTTTACACCCTAATATCAGAACATATATTCTCCATACTGTTCTCTATACATATCCAAAGGTTACTGACAAGGAGAATTTGTTTAAGAATCAAATACTTCTTTAGTGGGTGATCATTTTCTTTATTCTTGTCACCTTAATGTTGGATTCAGGGATGACATTTTAAGGAGAAATTAGATGCTTATCACTCTTAGGGGATGATGGGTCAATAATGATGTACATTTACATCGGCCCCTATGGGTCTAAAATTTAACTAATCACTCAATGTATGTTCGAAACTTGAGGAGCTTAACAGCTCTTAAATTTGTTGGAGTTTATTATATGCAAAATGATATGCAAACGATGTTTCTGGAACACTAAGCCTTGGCTGTATACCTGATCAGCTTTAGTCTATGGTATTTTATGCAACTGAGCAATTCTCAAATAAACATCAAAAGTAATCCAGGATTGCATCAGTTTTGCTTTACTTCATCCTGTGATTGGTTCAGAAAGCTCATGTCACTCTCTCAACCAATCCGTTGCAAAACTGAAATGGGTCTAAAACCAATCACAAATTGTTCTTCATGTTTTCTCGCCCTTTTTGCACCTTGGTTGTTGCTGTTGTTGTTATTTTTGTTCTCATTGGCTCTTAAGTTATTATCCTTCTGGTTGTGGTTACTTTGGCTTTGGTTTTAAGACATTCAATCGAAAATTGCTCTTATCAGACTACAAGCAGCTATGTATTATTAAATTTTTTTCTCATATAAACACCACAGGCCTTTACTGACAAGAAAAAAGAAACTTTTGACAAATGAAGTTGGATTGTCTTTGCCATTCATTCATCAACTTGACAGAGTGGCATGAAAGACAAGTTACATGTTAGCTGCCGATTGGCTATATTAAACATGTACAAAAGTATCTTAATATATGCAGTGTAATGAAGAGAAATGAAACAAAAATGTAAATATTACCTTAAACTTCTCAATTAGAACATGTTTCTTCTCTGATGGCACAAATCTGCTCTTCAAGAAAGCTTCCAATGCATAAGAACCCATTGAGTCAGAGGCAAGAGTCATTAATTCCCCCAAGGAAAGACAAAGCAGACTTGTTACCAGCTTGTTTGGGTCTTGAAAATCAAATAATGTCTTCAGTAACAATGCTCCATGAAAGTTAATGGATTTAAGCTTAGCTTCAGGTGGAGATTCTTCCTATGGAAAATAAAAGGGAAGATAGGAGAAACCATAATATTGTTGTTTATGCACAAAATTACAATGGAAGTTTATTATATCATAGACCTAGCTATACAGGTGTGACATTACATAATGAAATTACACACCATCTAATTTAAAAGTAAATACTACAAGACAAATAATTCCCTGTTACACTAAGAAGTAAAAACAATAATATAATAAATAAATAAATTCTAACAATAATATAAGAATTGGTAAAAAGATGAAGGAAAACTTTGCAGATGCCCCCAATTTCTGTAGGGTACATTCCCTACTATTTGGGAGAAGTGCTTGGGTTCTTTAACTACCCCTGTTAACTAATTAATACAAAGAAGTTGCAGGAAATGGGGTGTACAGTTTATCATCTTTATCCAAGAAGACTATAACATCAAACAATTGCAGGTGTCACAAAAAAGGTAGCACATACTCCTCAGCTATTTCAAGACCCTGAGTATTGGTTTGCTCTGGGGCTTGAGCCCACAACCTTCTACTAAACAGTTTGACGTTCTACAACCTGAGCTAACAAGGCAGTTACAACCAAAACAACCCCAGTTTACTCACCGAAATAGTATTGACACCTTCTTCACTTTCTCCTTTTTCATTTAACTTTGTTCCATAGAAAATGTCATAAGTTGTTAATGACAAGAACAAAAGAACAGCACTGGATTGTTCCTCTTTTCCTTCACAGTGAAATGCTTGCAGCAGCGCTTTCAACATTGTTTTTTGCTTGATCACAAACCGCACAGCAACTTCAGCCATTCTTACTACAATGCCCATATGCTCATTTGCAAGAAGATCTTCCAGATATGGTAGCAGCTCTGCTAACATTTGCTTTGCCTAAATCACAGAAAAGTCAACTTATAATCCAGGGACTTAAAATGACTATAAAAAATGACTTCTTCTTGAATCTCACTACCCACAATCACAACTAAAAAGATTGCAGTCAATCATAGGACAAAAAAAAATGATGTGCTGGATTAAATATGAACCATATTTGAAGAGTCCTCAATGAAATAACCCTTTAAGCTGCAGGAGTGATAAGCATCTAATATCACCCAACAGTATCATCCCTGAATCACACATTAAGGTCATGAGAATAAAGGAAGTGATCACAAACTTAAGAAACTCTTGATTGTTAGACAAATTCTCCTAGTAAGAGCCATGGGAAAGGTATGGAGAACAGTATGGAGAATTTGCATACTGATATAAAGGGTTAAGCCAACACTGGATAGAGTAATGAAAGTGCCTGCTTTTTAAAGGTTTCACTACATGAAATTATCACAACAATTACCAAAAATAAGTAAACAGTTAAATAACAGAAAACAAATCTAACCTGAGCTTTATCTGTTGTGCTTGCCATCAGATGTTGTACAATAAAATTAGCAATAGGATGGCAGGACAACTGAACCAAGTGAGTATTGAAGTAAGAATCATAAATTTCTTGCCAAAGTTCAGGTGTAACAACATGTAAAATCTTTTCAACCAAGTGACTGCTGATCTCATTTGAAAGCAGAACAGGTACCCTGTAGCTTCTGAAAATGAAAGAAACAAACAGTACATGAAATCATACAACCTATATACAACAGTATGTACATGATGTCATAACTTAAAACTAAAAACAGCCATGATGAACAAATTTATTCACACCCCGTGAGCACCTGTTGGTACAAGAACTTTAGAATGTGATGTAATCATGTGCGACGAAACACAATAGTAACATTACACAGTCACTGCCCTTGCTTGCCATCTTAAATTTGCAGTTGATTTCATCAAACCAATATATGTGATTTTTTTTTGCTGTTGTTCTTTATGCAGATATGACCATTACCTTTCTTGCCCTTTTTGGGCCTGCTCACTGTCACTTTCCTTAGGTTCTCTGGGTCCTTTGATCCTTCCTTTCTTACTGTTGTACATGTCAATTTGAGACATAACTGCCTTGCATAACTTCATACACAATGACTGATCTTTCCTGTGTAGAACCAGTAGTAATGTCTGCAAGAGGGGATTACTTACTGGGTGAAGAGCCAATTTTTGGAGTTCCATTTCAATTATTATGTTGGTGAGTTGTTTGAGAACAGGTAGAAAGCTATCTGGAACTGCAACTGTCTCCATATGTGTGATGGCCTCTGTTCCAAAGGCATTTCCCACTGTATGATAAAAGGAAAGTATAAGAGAGATTAACCAGGTAACAGAAACAATCATGATACACCACATGCACTGTTTCTACTTTTTCTCACACTAAATACCTCATTCACAATAATACAAATAAACTTTAAATTGAAAAATCATTTTGAAAATTTTATAACAACTTGTTTCAAAAGTGGCAGTTTCTTTTACAATTGTTTCATGATAGAGTGATATGTAATTCTGAATCTTGGCCTTGAAAGCACCTGGTCTCTTCTACCCTCCGGTTCTCTATTATTGATATAAAAGACACCAGCCAGTTGCAGGTAAAACTAAGAGCACTAGTAATTTTGAAGAATACAAGTTCACTCCATTTTCTTCCAGTTTCACTTGTGGCAGTGGCACTTACATTCATTTGATATTACTGGTTACACTCAATAAACCCATAGCATGATAAACTTTTGCTCTTTATACACTTCTTTTCAGCTGAAAAACAGCCTATTTGATAAGTCATTTACGTTATACGCCCTGAAAAAAACTTTAATATCACCTGTTATCTATTTATCCTGTTATTCTACTCATCTTGAGTCAATTCTTTTTATGAGCCTCTAGGAAGAATCAGCTAACATAGTTCAGGGGTTTCAAAATGTTTTGAAGTATCAGGCTCTGCAAAAATGGATGACTGTGAAAAGTTCATTAAGAGCCAAAAGGTAATTATTTTGACCAGAATAACCAGCAACACGTTATCAAGTAGCTGGCAGAATTCTGGCTGTTACTAGCTTGTTTTGAAACCCCTGATAGCTGTACACTTAATTAAAATGTTTAATACCTTGACTCTGCTTGATTGACTGTCTTTTCTCCTCTGATTGATAACTTTTTTCTCTACTTCGCCGTGAGGCTCGACTACGTACCACATTATCCGCTACTTTCACACCACCCAGCACCTCAAAGGCAGTTCTGAGAACATGGCTTCCGTAAGTATGGCTGACAAGTTCACCTATATTCTCTCGAAAACAATCACAGAGACTCAGGAAAAGTTCCTCCGCACTTTTCAAATCGTCGATATTATTTTCAATTTCTCTGTTTTTACTGCGCTCCGACCTTATTGCTTTTGGAATAGCACAAATGAGCGATTGGAGCACATGGCTACCGAATTTGTCCATAGCGATTTGGCAGAAATGATCCTCAATGTTTTGTATTACGCGGCGAATTTGGATATCGTTCAAATAAACGATTAGCTTCTCCATAGTTCTGCTGACTATCATATCACAGGAAAGTTTAACCTCGTTGTTTTCAACTTGTGTAAACACGTTTTCCATAAATAGCTTTCGACTCTCATCATCATCAAAATCGTCTTCATTTATCATATCTTCTACCCTTTTGAAATAACTGGAAGTTTGCTCGTCGAGAGCGGATGTTACTTTGACCTGCTTCTTGCTGTTTTTCTTTTTCATCGCGTCTATTTTCTCGTTAAAGCCTGATTTCAAATCCACCACAACCCGTCCGCCATATTGAAACCTTATGGAGACTCAGCAGCCTGGCCTTTTCACTTATCTCGCCCAGTCTACCAAACGGATAGCTCGTTCAAAACAATATCGACCGTTCCCGCGTGGGTGCAGGTCTCTATGCAGCTGGTAAATCTGGACCAATTTGGCGAGTCAGGTGTTCGATTTTTGCCATGGAAGGAACAAGATGATTGCTTGGATTTTTCTGTCCCTTTTAATTACTAAAGGAGTGTTCACGACCACTGGAAAGTGTTTTAAAAATGAATTTGTGGGTACGTTCTACTGTGCGCGATTAATCGAATGCACATGAAAACTTTAAGTTAGCATCAAACTAAAATTTATTCATCTTTTTTCCTGTTTTTGACAGAAAGCCCATTGATTTCCTGTGCATTTGTTTATAATTCGTTAAGTGTGCCTTTAGTAACTTCAATTTAAATGCAAATTTTTTTGCCGGTTAAAGAGATAAGACACAATACCGGTGGGCTTCAACTTAATTGAGTGCAATTATGTGCCCAGGCAGATTTCCTTTTTTTGAAGTATTAATTAATTGAACCGTGGTCCTTATTTTATTCCACTAGAGTGTTTGTGCTCTAAATGCCAACTTGAATATTTAAATTGCCTACCGAAGCTTCATTTTTTAAAATTTCTATCCAATTAACAAATGGAAGAAATCTCCAATTCCATATGAAAGAAAAAGCATCAGAATCCTTAATGGAATCGTGACCATCGTACAAATGGTTCACTGAGGCAAATTAAAACTTTTTGATATTATAATATTTTAATATTTCGTTGTGCATCAATGGTTTTTTGTGATGCAAAATTGTACTAGTCTAAACACATCACACTAATATATACTTCAGCTTAAACTGGCAACATCAAAGTGGTATTCACCAAAATGTATTCTCCAATTATGAAATCTTAAGTCTGATGCAAAGAGAGCCTTCATTTAACAAGAGAATTCAACTCAAGATAGGGAGCATTTCATTGTTACAGAAGAGGAGAAAAGCTTGCTCATTGATATTGCCTTAACAGCAAAAGCTGAACAACTAGCATCCACAGAAACACCTTTGATATCAAGCTGTTTTTTCATCAATTTGTTTTGCATAATGCAAAAATTTTTGGGGAATGATAAAAATAATAGCTGTCATTTTAGTGCAGACATACTCTCTGCCTTAAGACATTTTCTGTTCCTGTAAGCTCAGAACCTTTCTTGAGCCTTGTCCTCAGAAAAATGTTGTTAAATAGAGGCTCTTTTCAGTAATTATTTATTTTGAATTATTTATTCACGCTTTAACCTCAAAGAGTCACTAGTATCTTATCTCTGCTGACAACATCATCCCTGAAACACGAATGTCACAAGAGTTAAGGGAATGATCATCAATGAAAGAAGCTCTTGATTGGTAAACAAATTCTCCTTGTCAGCACCTTAGCAAATGTATAGAGAACAGTATGGAGAATATGCATACTAATGTTAAGTTGTGAAGGATTAATTTATTGAATGTTTATTAATTCTACATATACGTATACTTTTACTGTTAGAAATTAAGAAAAGACCTTGTATCATACCACCTTGACAGATAAGATTATTGCTATCTCTTCCCTCAGCAACATTTTGATTCTCTATTCAATATCTACTCAGGAGACACAGTGAAACGGCATTTCAAGCTGTATGGTGATGGCATAACATTACTTCCCCTAAAAGTGAGCTACAGCAAGCGAGCATCTCATCAGATTTCCTCTCATGTGCTGCGCATTTTATTAGAAGAATTGTTAGGATATGAAGATGTTGTTCTGGTCCCTGATGATTCTGGATTGTTTGTCAACAAGGCTCTCCAAAAGATATCAGGATGTTCAAATCACAGGTATTGTGTATGGATCTATAGCCTGACTGCTACTGCTTGTTGTTGTAGTGAATCACTACATTTTGTTTTTCTTCTTACAATCCTTGTCTGAATAACTTTTGCATTTTAAAATGGATGCAGCATTTATTCAGGGACAGCATTCAACTGAGTTGATATGATACAATCAGGAGCAGAAATGGGTACTACCAAACATTCAGGGGAGTTTGACATAAGGGCGGGGGGGGGTAAGCTGGGATGGAGTGGCATCTAGGGGGGAGCAGCAATATTGCTAGTCACTTTATACTTGAGAGACTGAGATAAGCTTGGGTGCCTTGTTGGCCATCTAAGCTGAGTGCAGACTTACTTCTCCACTTTCGATAATTCCCTAAAACCAGTCATTCCAGAGCCTAATACTTTTTCTGTTCATATTCTATGTGTCAAGCTGTGATGCCAGTGATGTTCCAGATGTTATGATTAATACAGAAATCTGGGTACCTCCAGGTTATCAATACGGCAAATGGTTGGACAAAAAATTAGTGAATGAAGTTGGAACCGTCTCTACACATGGGAGGTACAAGTACATGTTTAAGTCATTACCAAAAGTGGAATGCCAAGAAAAATACAATCAAACTTGTGTGTAAAATTTTGTGCCAAGAGAAAAAAACAAGCTCAATGTGTCATGTCAAACAGCTCTGACTCTCTTTTTCATTTTACAGATTTGGATGGTATCTTCCAACCTCTTTTGTTGAAGGACTATGGAATGACAGCAGAATCATAGCAGACAGCTGGAGAGCTTTACAACTACAGTCAGTGGTGGGACAATTGTTGCAAAATGCATCATTGCTCAATTCTTACATTAACATCTCAGAGTACAAGAAATCTTGTGAAGATATAGCTGGTTGTAGTCATGGCTGGCTTCATGGCACAAAGTGTAGGGATGGTGATAATGCAATGCATTGTGCTGTTCTTTTGGCTGATTTTCCAGGTGGGTTTGTAAGTTAATGTAGAGATATGGTGGTGGCTAATGGTTAGTATGTGGGGCTCCAGGTGGAGAGATCCATGGTCTGAGACATGGGTAAGTCATTATGTTGTGTTTTGGGCAGGACAGCTTAATCTCACAATGTGTCTCTCCACCCAGGAGTATGGGAGGGTACCAGAAAATTGTCAGGGGGAGATTTTTAACCTTGCAATGGACTAGTATCCCATCCAGGTGGGAGTAGTGATACTCCTAGTCATTTTATGCTAAGGAAACCACAATATTAAGATATGAGGGCTGGGTGGGCCACCAGGCTTGAGTACAGACTTTACCTTTAATGTAGAAACTCACCAAAATACAATAAATTTGTATAAGTTGACAGACCCTTGAAACTTGATCCTTAATGTTTTTTGGTGGTGTAAGTAAGTAAAGATTTCTTCTGAAAGTTCTGATTACTTCTAAATGATGTTTATAGACCACTATGGATCATTACTACAGCAGCAGATTAACAGCCTTGGTCTGAATATGTCAGTAGTATGGCTGGCCTCGGAGTTACAATATTTTGTCAATGGCAGGGGTGATCAACCATTCCTTCTTTTAAACTGGGAACCGAATACAAAACCAACAGCAGAGCAGTTGACAAGAATAAGTCTTCCGCCATGCAGGTGTGGATAAAAATCAGGTTTTGACTGTGTTATTGTTTCAGAAAAAATTCATTTCCCTTTAGTAGGTTTAATTTTGCTTTAGACCCCCACAGCCATCCCCCCTTCCTCCCCTAACCCTTCCTCATTTGGGAAATCCCATTTTGCTGCTTTGTACTTTCCTTGTCTGACTTGTACTATTCCTCTTGCCACTGGAATTTCAAATGACCATCCTCTGGCTTGATATCAACCTATTCCTATTTTAAATTCTTGAATTTCTGCATTGCACTTGGGTAGATTTGATACATACAGTAGTTAAGGGACAAATTTTATTCATGCTGTTGGATGGTGAGAAATTTTGTGCATGCTGTTGGATGGTGAGAAATTTTGTGCATGCTAATATTATGATACAATGATGAATGTTTCAAACAATAGGCCTGATTTCATTAAGAAAGATTCATTTATGTTAAATATATTTTTTATTTATTTTCAGTGCAAATGTGTCTTTCATCCATGCCTTTTCATCTCAGCAAGGTTACTACAACTGTGATTTTCCACCAAGTCACCTTTTTAAGTTTGCTTGGGGAGCAGTTCAAGATAGTGCCCCTGATGTATACTACCTGTTGTCAAAATTGTACTTTGATAAGGAGACACTTAGTGGCCTGTTGCAGAAACATGCCTATGGAGGGGGGAATTTAACAAGTGAGGAAATTGCTTGTGATTGGTTACAGCAGAATAGGGATACCTGGATGCAATGGTTACCATCTGGGAGTTTTAATAAAACACCAGTTTATCTTGGAGGGATGTTCCCTTTATCAGACAGCGAGGATGCTGTTTGGAGCAATCCTGGAATTTTGCAGGGTATGAGAAGTTTATTTAGACTCCAAAGAGGTCATAGATACTTGAAGGGCAAACAATTTTGATGTTTTATGTTGTCACTTAATGGCATATATGGTTTAATATTATTGTTATATTCCTTTGTTTTCAAACCCAATGAACTTTGATGTAACCAAAATATTCACGAAAAGTAGACTCAGTTTACTATGAATTAAATTGAACCATAGCGTAAACTGGTTGGAGGTACAGTCTGCAAAAACCAAACATCCAAATTTTACCAACCTCTGGACCAATCAAAACCAAAATAATCCAGACTTGGTCACAGCTCTTTTCCTGCATTTCGGTCAGTTTGCTTGTTTTTACTTAATGTTTTCATTGGCTCCACGTGCTGTTTCCCTTTGATTTGATTGGCTGTTGTCATTACTTTGGTTTTGGTATTATGACACCAAATGAAATGAACTCTTATATTGATTGCTAGTTATTCAGTGTTTTGCTTTGTTGCAGGTGCCCTGATGGCTTTGGAAAGCATCAACAATGATTTTAAAATTCTTGATAATTACAGCTTGGAGCTCATTGTAGAAGACACACACTGTAAAACATCTCTCATTCTCAATGCATTCATCGAGTTTATGTCACGATCTCATAATAAATCAGTTGTGGGAATCATTGGCCCTGCCTGTTCAGTTCAAACTGAGATCATTGCAGAAGTTGCACCATTGTATAATACAATGGTTATGGGTTATAGTGTGGAAGGTGTCGCACTGGCAGATCGGGAAAAGTACCCTTTGTTCTTCAGAACCTCTCCTAGCTATGCAGAATTCAAGTTTGCCTATGCTGCCATCTTTGGGTTTTTTCAGTGGAAGCAATATGCCTCATTAACAGATACAAACTATGTATCACGCACTGTGACAACAACCCATGAGTATCTTGAGAGCCAAGGAATTGACTTGGTGTATGCAAGACAGATCACAAATCAAGACAGTGTAGATATTAAGACTTATGTTAGGTCCTTAAAGGAAAGTTCAGCCAGGATTATTATTTCAACTTTGTTTGAGGGTCTGGCAAGAGCTGTTGTGTGTGAGGCATATATTCAAGTGAGTGATTGTTTTGGCTTATGCATGAAAATAGTTTTTTTGGGTAACTGTGATTGGTGACTGTGAATATGAGAGATGTTTATGAGCATTACTCCCTCATCAGAGCAACGTTGGGCTAATTCTCAAAACCTTAGCTTTATAGACTCTTTACAATGGCCAATTTACAGTATCAACCAAACCAGAAACAATAATAACCCCTCATGGATGCCACTCCACTGTGACAGTTTCTTCAGAAACTTAATTACTTCCTATATTCTGAAATATATATGGAATGCGTTAATTTGTATTTTTAAGATAAAACGAATCAGGCATCACAAAACTAAATCAAAATCCAGTGGATAGCTTTATACACCTTTCAGACAACCAGGGCCCAGTGCTTGTAACAAGGGAATAGACTTAATTGAGGAAAGATCCCCTGTGAAATTATGAGTTAAAACATTTTGGTAGCATACCCATATTTATGTTACCTGTAATCGACTTGATTTCCTTTAGGGCTTGACTCCTCAAAAAGGTTATGTTTGGTTTCTGCCAGCATGGCTAGCACCAGATTGGTGGGATCCAAATCATTCTCACCTGGATGATGACACCTCTGAAGGGATACCCAGCATACCTTGCTCTGCAGCCAACATGAAGGAGTTTGTTAGTGGAGGGTATTTCTCTCTTTCCAATGCATTTTACGGGGAGGACTTGGACACAATACTAAGTGGAGGGACTGTGAACCAGTGGAGACAAGAGTATGAAAGGAGGGTCAAGAATCAGGTTATCTCTGCAGTGTATACATTTAGTTGTATTCAGTCACTTACACTCACTCTCTCACTCTCTCACTCTCTCACTCTCTCACTCTCTCACTCTCTCACTCTCTCATTCTCTCAATCTCACACCCTGCAACTGCGCATTGCATTGTATGTAGTACTTTGTAACAGCATGTAACTGCTTGTATGAAAACATTAATCTATCACTTTTAGTGTCTACAGCCGTGTCCGGCGTAACTTGTTTTTTGTGTCTCAAAGAAGTCAGTTATGACAATTTACATCTTTACGTTTATTACACTTTTTCATGAAGATTAACTGTATGTGTTACTCGTTTGTCATAAATGAATGTTAATGTCACTAATAATGCACGTTCACACCAGCCACTGAACTAGTTCCTATGTAATATGTATTTTTTCAGGGTCACACTCCCTCAGGATATGCAAGTTTTGCTCATGATGCTGTGTGGGCCTATGCACTGGCGCTTGATAAACTTTTTAAGTCTCAACCAGCAGGACTGGATACAATAAGAACAAATCACACAACGCAGTAAGTTGACGCTTCTAACAGTCGATGAGAAGAATGACTGATTGTTTACGGTTTAGTTTGTAGAAAAGACCTTTGTGTGGAATTGGAATAAGAAGATCGTAATAGCTGTGAAAAAGAGTCGATTCTAGTTTTAATCTGTCACAGAGTTAATCATAACCATTACAATTTCCTCAAATTGGTGCATTAGCTGTTTTATTTTTCATCCATGAATCAAAACTATAACAAAATTCTCGAACGTGATTGGTTATCACCAACCCGATTTGAGCACTAGTAGGACAGTGTACGCGTCATGCTTGTAATTGGACAGTGAAATAGGACAGTTTAAGAGACAGTTAATACGTCAAGCCTATCTAAGTGGACAAATCGCGTCATGAGCGCGCGCTGTTGTCTCGCATTTTGCCGAGTTAACTGTTGATTTTTTTTGTGAAAACTTACAATCGATGTCTAGTTTCTTTCTCAAATTTTGTCATAGTTTTGATTAATTGGTAACAGTACTTCGTGTGGTCCGATTCTGTCTGTAATCATACTCGTGATTAACGAGTATGATTCGCGGTCGTCCGATTTTGTTAATCACTCGTATGATTACAGACCAAATAGTAACAACCACTTATCCTATTAAAAAAACTGTGGAATTTCCAAAATCGAGGAGTTTTTTACTTTAGAAATCGTCTCTACCGGATAGATTTGTCCTAAATGTATTTTTTGTTTTCGGAAATTGTAACAGCTATGATTAATTGGTAGCAGGACTTTTTGTCGTCCAATTCTGTCTGTAGTCATACTCGTGTTAACAAATCGGACTCCCGCTTCGCAGTCGTCCGATTTTGTCAGTCACTCATATGATTATAGACCGAATTGGACTCCACTGGTTCCTATTACCATTTTTAATCTGCAGCCCGACCCTCCTTTCTCGGAGAACTGAAGCTCAAGAGTTGTTTTTGTTATTAAAGGCCCTACACCTTTTTAAGCTCGCACGAGTTACATCTTCTGTATGAGTTCAATTGAATCCGTAAAACGTTGACTATCTCAGGTTTGAAAAGTGCGACCTTACTACTCTGAAATGTAACCAGGTGAAATTTATTTAAAAGTATTTTAGTCACGTTGAATTCTGCGTCACCTAAAGCTTAGTATTTTGTGAATGATTTCCATTCCCGGCCTAGACTTTTTTCAAGGCTACTTCAAAATGTTCAATCGTTCTCAATTCGAAGCATTGTGTATGAGTTACAAATAAAAATGACGGTGATCGTAAATCTTACGACGGTACTGTTGGGTATCAAACCCAGACTTCGTTGGTGGGAGGTTGGTGATATCTAGTAAGCGCAATCGCTCGATTGTGTTCGTGTGTGTGTGTCAGTGTGTTTTTAAACCTTCTGTATTCGAAGGCTTTAGGAAGTAATGACTAGTGTAACCATACTCTCCCAAGAGAATACTTCCCTGCCATTGTTTAAAATTATTCTTACTACTTAAGACACTACTTGCTTTTTTCCACAGGCTGTTGAAGACTTTCCTCCAACAGACCAACTTTAGTGGTGCGTCTGGGCGTGTTATTTTCAGAGATGGCGAGCGGTACCTTCCCACAGTTGAAATGGAGCAACGGTTTCCTGCCAGGGTCGTAAAAGTCGGGCGTGTGCTCCCTAACATGTACAAAGCCTGTGGCAGTAGCAACCGTTGTCTGGAAATGAATGAGACCAGTATCCAGTGGCCAGAGGGGAGAAGACCAACGGACGGTAGATCAAGTGAGTGTATGCAGCTGGTAACTCGTAATTGCCGAGAACTGAAGTGAAATTCTCCCCACAGTTGATGCACATTTTCTTGATTATGGTTAAAAGAATTTGGTGTTTAATCAATGTACGTTGTATCGACCTTTAGCTTGTGAGTTCGCCTATCCTCTTCAGTCCTTTTTGGAACAATGTTGTGATGTTTTATGGAGAAAAAAAATCAAGCATTTCTAATCTTTATTTCTCTTTTCAGAGCCGTCCTCTATTGAAGTTTGCTCAGTGGAGTCTTTCAGAGCCGCTCTCGGTATTTCGTGCACTGGAGCCATAGCTGTCATAAACGCAATAGGTAAAATGACATTTCAATACAAAATACATTCAGCTGGGGAAATTGTATCTTATTTTCCGCAATTACTGTAAATTCGTATTTATGGCACGGTTGTCAGGTGATGTATAGTATTTAATTTTTGGGGCACCCTGTCACGCTTCTCTTTTTTTTTAGTTTGTGTTTGGTTGTGGAACTGAAAAGTCCCTCAAACCAAAGGGCCTGAGAGAACATATACTGAACATTCACTATTTGTTTTTACTACCGTTCGCTTGAGTGATATTTTTTGTCACAGACAGTCGTAAATGTTATGACAGACATGTTCTCTTTTGGCTCCGCCCTCTGTCAAATTTAAATTATTAGTTAACCACACAAAGCGTGGGAAAGCCCGAGTAAGAAAACATTATTGCTGATTGGCTGATAGGGTGGCGCGAACGAGATTTCTAGACTAACTTTAGAGCGTAACAAAGAGAAACAAGTGAAATCCCGGATCTCTAAAGAGTAAAAGTAAAACGCAATGTTTATTTTTTACACTTGGTTTGTCTTTCTTTCCACAGCCATCGGTTTGTTCCTTGTCATTGGTATAAGTCTGATATGGATCTGCATAAAGAGAAGGTAGGGATGATTGATCGTTGTCATGGTTGTCGACATCAAGTATTTCGAAAGAATCAATTCAAAACCCGTACTTTAGGTTGCTTCTTCGTCGCAATTTGGATAGTCACATTTACCGCCTGAAAGAGAAAGAAACCAGTCGGATTCATAATTTTTTTAAATCGGGTTTTAGCAAGTAGTTGCCTTCCCTCAAGGTGCGAGACAATTGAAGGGAGAAATTTTATCAGAAATAAGAAATAGTTTAAATAATTGTTATTAAGATTTATTTGGCCCCTTACTTGGCAGTGAAAATAACATAGGGACCAAGAGTAAACTATCCAACGAGGCAACGACATAGCTGACTTAGTGTGATAACAAGGAAAGAGGAAACACTTGACGTGATAACATTCAAGAATCAAAAATATAATTATCATTAAATAATCAGAAATGAATTTGTAACATCTATTCTCTACGAAAATGCAACTGTGAATTTATTCCATTGACTAAGTTTCACTGATGACAGAGCAGTCGACCAAAGTGTTTTTAAATGCTCAACTAAATTGTTTTAAAAGGCCATTTTCATTTGAGCGAAGACTGTGATGGGACTTGTCTTTGATTGTATCTAGGAATATCGTAAGACCATCAACGATTACCTTAATTTAAAATCCAACAGCACAGCGACAAGGCTGAGATTCAACGTGCCATATCTGGCTACCCGTGAAGTTTGCTTCAAATTTAATTATCTCTTAACGACCCAGAACCCAAGTACTTTGGCGACCAAGCGAAAACATAGACAAAAGAACATGCATTTTTCTTTTCGTAATCGTGAAAGGTTTGTAAGGGGTTATAACGCATTATGCCTCGATTGCATTTTTTTCCTCTCAAAAATGTTTTGAGGAAGAAATTGATGTGAACGTATATGGGCGCGCGCCGAGTAGCACGCAAAAGCACGCGCAAAGATGACGAAACAAGTGATGTAGAAGCTCGTCATAAACAAACCCAAAGAAGACTTGATTTGTTCAGAGTCCAAGACGATGGATTCAACAGTGAGACGCGGAACGTTTTTTCTTCGTGAATTGTTTATTATCGTCTCCTGTTATTTTAATTGCATTTTGTATGTTCTCACAAGACCAATTTGTCTTCTGGTATGCTGTATTTTTTCCTTTTTTCACAAGTTGTGGAAAGTATTAAGTGATTTATTCGGTGATCACTTTGATGAAGAAGGACCCGCATCTGAGCGGAACAATGTGAGTACAGCAGCTCATGCTATTGGAGAGCTGCGTATTGAAACTCAAGACAAGAACGATACTGAAGGGCCGAGGGAAGGAAGGCGGAACTCGTCAAGAAATTCTGAGAGTTACAAAGCTGGAACAAGAATACACCGGCTGGCGGATGTGCGACGGACGTATGGCGATACAAGATTTCGTCAGTCAGAGAAGGTCGCATATCATAATCAAGTAAGAACAGGTAATTTTAAGAATTCAGTTACTGGTCTGCAGTTGCCGCTATGGAGACAAAGACTATTTGAACGTCGGTGTCCTTGGAACACATCTCAAATAACAAACAAAATGAGATACATGGGAAATAGCAGTGCATTCCGGTGCAGCGACCGGATGAAGGGTAGAAATCAAGTGCAGGCACCTCCAGTCGAAGAGCTTTATTCAGGAGATGTCAAATGGAAACCCAAAAATTATTCCCCAGCAAGTGGACAGCGGTGGCCATGTGTAAGACCAGGACCCGTTGAAGGCTGTCGTAGTGAGGAAACACTTAAAAAGCTGGTAATAAAACCAAGACCCGCTGAAAGCTGGCGTTTAAAGGGAAGATCTCAAATGAGAGTTGGAAACAACTACGTATTTTCATGCAAGGACCGAAACAAGGCCGGGCTTGAAATGCAACCACCAGCACCACTAGTCGATCTTTTTCACGAGAAGAGAGTCTCTGGTGCGGATTTAAAAAATGCGCCACTAGGTGAAAGTAACATTTCAAACTGTTTCAAGAGGAATTGTTTAGTTTCTGAAGACTTCTGGAGAAGAAGTAAGATGCTTTTCTGGCCGTTCATTTGCGTGGTAAATGGTATGAGAGATGCTCTGGCTCACCTGGCTCGGAAAATCTGCGCTTATGGCCACAGAGTTGTGAGTAGGTACTACGTGAAAAGCAGGGTGAAGAGGCCTTGTCCAGCGGGCTTCACTGATGATGATGAATGCGCACCTAACAGCGCGATCGGAAAGAACTTGAATCAATGCCGACAACGAGAATGGAAATTGTTAAACCTTGGTGCCTTAGCGCGTTTGATTCGAGAACTTTTTTGTCTCGTTGTAAGTGCTTCTTACCGTTCTCTTTCGGGAGTTTTTTATGGGATCAAGAAACTGTGTACAATTGTTCACGCCTTCTGTTATGTTAGTAAGAGACAAAACCAAAACCTTAATGTAAGTGTCGACTGTTTACATCAAGTGAAGGAAGAGCGTCAATCTGAAACATCCCGTCTGAGAATTGAAGAGCCTTCGGAACCTCGCGGAGCAGTCAGGTCAGGACAAGTTGATATGTTGAACGTCTCTCGTGGTGTGCTGAGATCCTCTTTGAATGAAGTTGTGAATTTCCAGGCCTCTTCAAACAGTGACATATACTCTGATCCACTGGTGCGCAGTCCTTTGCAAGTTTCTAAGACTCAGGATGAATGTTTGAACAACTCACCGCCTGTTCAGCGACGCAAAAAGACTTGTTCTGAATTATTCACCGACAGCAAGGTAAAGAAAGAAGCAATCCCACCAGAAAGTAAGAGTGAGACTGATGCAAATCCAAGGAAGGAAGAAAACGACTCTACTTCACCTCCCCAATTAGCAGCTGCTAGGAGTGTCGTTAAATCAATACCACCCATTACAGAAAAGAAAGTAAAAAGTACCCGATCACGCTTAACCCAAGAAGTCCCAACTCAAGTTGAAACACAAGACCAAGAAGAGAAGTATCACACGGGAAAACTCTCCAGGACCAGACGCAGGCAGAAGCGTCAAATGTTATCTGATAGAGTCACCAAAGGTGCGTTGAAAAAGAAGGAAGAAACGCAGTCTACTTCGCCTGTCCATTTAACTGGTAATGAGAGTTTTGTTGCACCAACACCACCAAGTGAAGAAAAGGAGGTACAAACTGCCCTATCTTTCTCTACTCAAAAAGGTTTAACGCCAGACCAAGAACAAAAATTATCAGGATCTGCGCAGAAACGTCGACTGTCTGACAGTGTCACCGAAGATATGAAGACTAAAAAGGAAGTAACACAGTGTACCTGTCCCGTTCATGTTGTCGCTCGGAAAGACGTTTCTACACAAACTGAATTAATTCCAGACAAGGCAGAAGAGAATGCGATACCAATTTCAACTGAAGCAGTCCCGGCGTACGTTAAAGAAGAGGATGATGGGCAGAGATTACAAGGAGGGGGTCGTGAATGTCAAGCGCTGTCTGCTAGTGGCACGGGAGTCCAAATTACCCAGTGCAATGCAAAATCGTCATTGATTGAGGAGTACATTGATGTCAACGCACAAGTGTCTAAAGGAAAGAGGACTAAGAGAGGTGACAAATATAAACAGCTTAAGTCTGTGAGGTCCAAGGATGCCAGGACAACTTTACTCTGCTCGGTCAGTTCCTCAGAAGTGTCGATAAACGTGAAAAGAAAGGCTAGAGGCGATTCACCCTGCAACGTGGAGCTTCATACCACGGAGTTTGCAACAGAAGAGATTGGCATACCACTCTCCATTGAGGTAGTCAATGCTAACGTTGAAACAGAAGATGAAAGGCAGAAATTACAAGGAGAAGTAGGTGAATGTCAAGTGTTGTCGGCTAGTGGCACGGGAGTCAGAATTACTCATTGCAATGCAAAGTCGTTAGTGACTGAGGAGGACACTGACGACGAACCAGAAATGTCTACTGGAAAGCGGACTAAGAGAGGTGACAATTGTAGACAGCTGATGTCAAAGAACCCTGTGACCTCTTTTGTCTGCTCTGGCAGTTCCTCCGCAGAGTCAATAAACACAAAGAGAAAAACTCGAGGCGACTCACCCAGCTGCTTGGAGCTTCATTCTTCTGAGTTTGTACCAGAAGCGAGTGCGATACCAGTTCCATTCAAAGAAGTCCCGGCTTACGTTAAAACAGAGGATGAAAGAAAGAGATTGCAAGGTGAAGTAGGTGAATGTCAAGTGTTATCAGCTAGTGGCGCAGGAGTCCAAATAACCCAGTGCAAAGCAAAATCGGCTTTGGCTGAGGATTATACTGATGTCGAACCACAGATGTCAATAGGAAAGCGAACCAAGAAAGGTGACGGAGATAGTTCCTCAGCAGAGTTGAGAGACGTGAAAAGGAAAGCTAGCGACGACACATCAAGCACCTTAGAGCCCCATGTTAACGAGATGATGCTCGGGAAAACATGCCAACCGCTCAGCCAAGCCACAGAAAAACAAGTACACGACACTGAAATGGTGGAAAGCGTAGATTCATCCTTGACTGATCAGGAAGAGCCGATGGAATTCATCGATGGGCAAGATGCTGACACCTATAAATTTGGATTTGCTAGCGAAGATCATCAGCCTCCTGCAAGAAAAGACTTTATGGAGGACACGGATGTAATGGAAACAGACCAGCTGATACAAGAATGCACAAAAAATCAAATGGAGACATTGGAAGCATATCAACAGCATGCAATGCAAAATCCATTTGGTGTAGTTTCTGATCGTATGCAGGCATTCCATGTGCAGCCACTTGTGGAAATGGAAACAGATTTTCCGGCCATTCCGACCACGCCCTCCTTTGTTCAGCACAAGTCAGCGCTTTCAGGTCTGAAGTCATTTTCATTTAAGAATACGTTGGGACAACAGAAAAATGTTCTGAAGCCAATTGATCGTGTGCAGACAGTCCAAGAGATGGAAACAGATCACATACACGTACCTGTCATACCATGTTTTGCACAGCAGCACGCAATGGAAGGAAATCGCGAACCAGCTCAATTTACAATGGCATTTGGACAGAAAGTGGATGTGAAGTTGCCAACCTGTATTGATGAGGAGATGCCTGAGGAAAACGAATCTGTGCCAGAACAAGAAACAATGGAGACTGATCAAATCCCTCTCGATTCATGTCAGCCACCAGACACGGCACCTGGGAAAACGGTAAATGATAAGGGGCCATTTGCTTCTGTGGTAGACAATTTTTGGAAGGAAACTTTTGGAAGGTCACTGACTGATGGAATCCCTACGGTCCGAGCTCCGCCAACATTGATTGACTCGTTGACAGACACAACACCAGAATCTGCAACGCCAATCAACAACCAGAATCCTCAAGGAATTGAAAGTACACTTAGAAATGAACTGAACCTATCATCAACTGAGCAGCAGTTGTCAGAATCTTGTGAGTGTGATCCAATATCAACAAGGCTTTTAACCATGGAGCAGCTTCAACTTGTGCCAGCAGTCTCTGACAATCCTGATGGCTCAGACTCCGAATCAGACAGTGAGTCCAGTAATAGTTCTATAGTGAACTTGGCGCAACGGATCCTTGATGATCTGGAAGCAGAAAATGCTGAAAGAATGAAGATGCAAGAGCTTCAGCTCGTGCCTGATACGTCACATACCCCTGATTGCTCAGACTCAGATGAAGCGGAACATGGATCTGAGGACGAATATGAACTGGATTCGGAGACGATCGACAAGTTTTTAATTCTTGACACTGCACCAGAGCATGTTGATCTCATAAATAAGTTGATAACGCAGAAGGAATTATCTTCTGATGATTAATTTTATAGAACGTGTTTTGGACAGCTATAGAAGCAGAGTTGACTAATCGTTTATAGTGTACATTATGTTTAATACCATAAGCTGTTTTGTTTTTAACGAATTGAATGCAGTGGAAAGTGGCAAAACGTTTTGTAATATTTTCATTAATAACGAGTTAAAATTGATCAACAGTCAAGTTAAGGAATGATCAAAGCAAAGTTGAGTAAATTGTGATTAAAAACATGCTTTAGAGAATGAATTGCTTTCTAGATTGATCCAACTTGATGTTGTAAATATCGAGAATGAGGTTTTTCTTTTTTTCTTTTTTTGGTTTTTGAAAAGAGACAAGCCAAAATCAAATGTTAGCATGAATTTGCGTTACTTGTAATAAAGAGTACATTTGATTAAATCTTGAGATCTTGAGAGTTAGAGATCTGCATTCTTTTAATCGTTAATGACCGGGATATTCAATTTATTGCTAAAGAAGGAGAATGATTCCTTGTGAAGGATACGTAGTGCAGGAAATTTAGGGTACATAAAAGTGCCGTAGCGGCGAGAAGGGAAGTTAAATGTTTTGCTTGCTTGGTTGCTGCGCTAAAATCTGATGGCTGCATCAATTTAACCTTCCTATGACTAAAAAACATTTTTGTGGTTGAGAAAAAGAGCGGCTTTCCCAAGTTGGCTTACTTATCTGCAAAACATGTGGATTGTTTACGAAAGTCATCTTTGAGCCTGCGAGCAGGTTTTCGCTAGCGAGAAGAGAAACAAGCCTGTAAGACTCGAGTATGCGCGAGGTCTTCGGAACTCTGATACGAAAAGTTGTCAGATCCCTCGCAGGCTTCACGCTGGCTTTAACTCTTAGGCTTCGCCGCTCTTTTCGCAGCGCCATTGAGAGCTTGTGCGCAAGCGAATACCTTTCCTCATTTTACGAAAATTAAATTTCTGAATATCGCAATTACATCGAACATAATTTGCTACGAGTTTAGAGAGGCTGTTGCGTACACGCAATGTAATAGAAGTTCTTTTTCTGTCTTAAGGCATTTGAACAATCACGAGCTACGCAGAAAGACAAATTTTTGATTCAGTCAATGAATTTTGTCATAACAACTGGAGCAGCTAGTAGCAAGCCGCCCGTTGTGGTTTTTCACATAAGAACAAGTTACTTAGCTATTTTCAAAATGGCGACGTCCATAGTCGATTTTTTTTTAACCCATTTTAAACCATTCTGTAACAAGGTAATGTGATTTTATCAACCGAGTTGATAATATGAATTGGTCCCAATAAGGAGATTCTAAATCTGATGTTTCGAGCGTTAGCCCTAATACTTCCCACAGACGCTACAACACAATTCCTTTGTGCTAAATTCTGCCATCAGGTATGATCGTAAGTACAAGGAGACACAACAGAGGATGGAAGAGTTGGGATTGATGGAACAGTCTCCTGTGCTTCACCTTGACGAGTGGGAGATCCCTCGGGAGAGCATTATTTTAAATCGTAAGCTTGGTGAAGGAGCATTTGGAGCTGTGTGCGGTGGGGAAGTTATTGGACTTAGGTCAGAGGGAGAATGGTTACCTGTGGCAGTGAAGTCTTTGAAGATTGGCTCCTTACCCGAAGACAAGGTAACAGGAGTGTTAAGTCTTAAGTAGTGTTACGCTGAGTAGTGAATGATTCAAAACAAGTTTTCGTCAATAACGTTAGAGACTTGCTGTTAAGAAAATTGCTCCAAAATTACAAGGAAAAGCCAAAGTTAAGAGGTTAATTATTCAAACTTTGTGTTTCTAATGAGATGGCGGACTCAAATAGGGGCAGTACCAAGTTTCTATATAGTAAATTCGTAACTACACTTTTTTATCGTCCTCTGTCGCGACCGGCCATAGTTTGTTAGTTTTTCTGTTCCTTTTTTGTTGTTGTTGTTGTTTTTAAAGCTACAATCAGCAAAACAAAAAAATTTTGACTTTTTTTGACTGAGGGGATAATATTCTAGAATACCGGACCAATATTATTACTTATTTCTTTACGGGAAGCCCCTGTCCCCTGATTAATGTTACACTTCGCTATCTGTGATTGCGCACAATGTAAGACACTCACAGGTTCATTAAGGTATGCTTGTTTCTCTTGCAGCTTGAATTTCTGAGTGAGGCAGAAACGATGAAGATCTTTGACCACAAGAATATTGTGAAACTGCTAGGTGTTTGCACCAAAGGAGAACCAGCTTTTGCCGTAATGGAGCTGATGATACATGGTAAGTGATATTGAGAGTAGCCGTTCCTATGTTATTCGCGTTTGATCGTTCAATTGGTGATTCCTTTGAAAGAGCTGAATGATATTGTAAATTCGCAACTATTCGTATCGCTTTTCGTGCGAAATCATCTTTAAAATTACGCTATTTATTTGTTGTGCTTTATTCGGTCCTTTTAGGTGACCTAAAAAACTTCCTGCTGGCCAGACGTCAATTTGCAAATCAGGACTGTAGAGAGGTATTGTCAGTTATCTTCAAGTTATTTATTGTAATCTTGGGTGAAAGTCTGTTCACATGCCTCTTAAAACTTAGGTTAGAATGAACATACCTGTTGTTCAAAGGGGCCAACAGGAAACTTAAAAGTAAATCATCAAACATAATTGCATTATTTCCGTTCATGGCGGTCTTTAGGTTGATCTGTTTAGGTTAAAAAGGGGCCTAGTCGATATAATACCATCGTTTATAAAGAAGTTGACATTCTTAGATTGGTGATGCGCCGTCTCTTACTAGACAAGTTATATTTGCTAGCATTGACATGAAATGATTTTAAGTTATAAATTTTGAAATGTAGACTACAAGCAATCCCTCCTTTTGGCGAAGTGCGATTAAAAAATATGAGTGAAACAAAGGTTTATGTTAGCGAGTCGCACGAAACTTGGGAGTGAGGCTGCTGGGAACTTTTCTTGCGCCTCACCTCCAGAGTTCCGCGTGGCGTGGTAACATTGATTCTTTTCACTTAGATGGGACTGCTTATGGTCTGTTTAAAATGGAGAGAAAGATTTGAAGAGTAACGATTACAATCCATTTTTATTGTCTTCAGTATAGCCCATTCATTACAAGTTGTTCTCTCGCGTTCTTGTACAGTTTTCGAACCTTGCTGTAGAAGTTACTGTAGTTTTTCACGGACGTTAATTTTCTTCTAGGCCGAAGATGTTACTCCTAAAAGGTTAACTGCAATGGCGTTAGACATTACCAGTGGACTGAATTACCTCGCAGAAATGAAGTTTGTTCATCGGTATGATGGTGGATGTTATTCCTTGCAATAGACCATCTTCTTCAGTGTTTTTTTTTCTTCTCTAACATTTGTTTTGAGTTGGGAATCAGCAAAGCGTATGAACCTGCCTCGCAAATGAGGGCGTTTCATTATTAATCTGGATGTGAGTGTTTCTGTGAAGCTCAGAAAAGCGTGAACACTTGAAAGCTATTATGGAATGTTGTTGTGTTTCGTGGATTACACCAATTAACCGTCACTAAACTTAACCGTTAGCAGAGACGGTAATTTTTTGAGGGCGAGAAGTTTGCGCGCGTTTTCAGGACACCGTTGACCTGTCAAACTCAAATGAAAGTGTTCACAGTTTTATGAGTTTTACTGAAAACGTGAAATGATTTAGTTTTTGTGTTCATTTTTAGTGACCTGGCTCTGAGGAACTGCATGGTAGGGTCAGGTCATGTGGTCAAACTCGGCGACTTTGGTATGGCGCGCGCTATGTACGATTCGGATTACTACAGGTTTGGACGTAAAGGTAAAACTCTGATTTATGTCTACATACCACAACAGAGCACTGAAGAGAAGCCAAGAAGGGAAATTTATCACGCTTTCGGGTTTCGTTTGACTGTTAGAATTAGGTCGG